CGTCGTCGTCTCGGTGTCGAGCACACTTTTTCTCTGCGGAGTCGTCATGGCCACCGATGTGAGTTCGTAGCTGCGCCACGGCCTCCCAGGGCGCTAATGCTAAACACAGTGCGCTCGTAAATTGCGGAGTGTCGTTGTAACTTTTGAACATTTGCAGGTCTAAAAATGCAGTTCAATTCGAGTTTACGACCTTTATTTCTTTCTTTTTGACTTGAAAAACGTCTAGAAAACAATATTTCACCGATTGGAAACCGTTCTTTCAAGAATTTAGAGTTTTTCATGTTTTTCGCATTTCGTCAAAACTTCAAACCTTTATATTTCAGCTCATTTTGCATTTCATGAGCCCAACGAACGATAAAAATGTTCGCTGAATCTTTCTTCACAAAATTCATTTTCCGGCGGTTAGTTTTCTTGAGCAGTTTTCGAAAACTATTCGAAAAACATCAAAATCCATACCAAAACCTTCAAATCGAAATAACTCGGCTAATTCTCAACGATATGCGAGATTTCTGTTACCAAAACGTAGCTAGTGCTCTGATTATTCGAATCCAGGTTCCAGGCGTACAAAAATCGGCCGTCGCGTAAATCGACAGAGCCCGCCTGTTGCAAGTGCGCCCCATTGAAATCATTCGCGCCGAGGGAGACGCGCCGAGGGAGATTTCAGTTGCTTTTCAGTAATTTTTGCGGTCCGAGCGCTCAAAATGCTTGTATTTACGTGATTTATCATTTTCAAAACCAATTCTGCCTGAAAACGGTCAAGAAATCGCAAAATGAGAAGTGCGCTTTTTAGGCGGTGAAGGCGAAAAAGCAAAGTCCGCGAAAAATGCGCCAAAACGTCATTAATTCTGAGAATTAGTGTGTTTTCATGTCGAACAATCATTTTTCATCGCCTTTGACCACAAAAATCAGAGCAAACCTGCTCAATTCGTGAAAACGCCATTTGGCCGCCGAGGCCACGCCCATATTGCCGAAAAGCAACTGAAATTCGCGCAGTTTTAGCCAAAAACCTTCAAACGGATAAATGTGATTTGCGACTTGAACAAATTTAACGCTCTTGCGCTTAAAAAATTCGTAATAGCCTATAAAATCGGTCTATCAAGAGACAAATGAGAAATTATCGATTTTTCGTGGCTAATCTGGCAAAAAAACACAAATTTTGTTGTTAAAATTTGAATTTCGCTCCAATGTATTTCGCACTTGCGCCCATTGTCAGCTCTCGAGACCGTGAGCTGTGATATGAAAAGTTGCGCCATTTTTGTGCTGACAGAGAGCCAAGTGTACATTTTCAGGCGGGCTACTACTGGTTCGACATGTTCGACGAGTACTCGTCGGGCGTCTCGGCGGTCATCGGCTCGGCGCTGACGACGATCGCCGTCTGCTACCTGTACGGAATCGACAACTTTTGCGACGACATCAAAGAGATGGCCGGCGAGCCGAAATCGAAGTGCTCCAAGTACATGGGACCGTCCAGCTGCATCTGGTGGGCCAGTTGGTACGCCTTCACGCCCGCGTGCAGCCTCATCCTCATGGCGCTGTTTGTGTACACGCGCGAGTATCCGTTCAAAGGCGACCGTCTCATGTACCCGCCCGTGTTCGACGCGCTCGGATGGATCGTCGCCGTCCTCCCGTTTTTCGTCATTCCGATTTTCGTCGTCACCGCTGTGCTCAGATTCAAAAAGAAGAAGATTGTGAGCCGCCGCCGCCGGCCTTCTAAAAACCCGGAAATTGAAATGTTTCAGGCTGTGCGCGGAGCCTTCATGCTCCAAAAACAGCATCCGTCGTTCGAGCGAATCTACGAGAAGTGGCCGGAGTCGAAGCAACTCATTGCCGGCCTACTGCCGGAGCAGGAGCCGGGCGAGGAAGTGTCCGAGATTGACGGCGTTTCGGACGGAAAGGACGAGGAGTCGATCATTGAGTGAACTGATTCGAATGAAGACTTTTTGGCTGACAATTTCTTCAAACTTTTAGACTACATCTTCACGTTTATCGCTTTGTGTGTGAGAACTCTGAAAGCTTCTAAAATGCGCAAGAACTTACAAGAGATACAGATTGTTAAACTCATATATTTTGAAATCGAACGGAGTCAATTGGACGAGATGAATGTAGGTCTGAAAAATGCAAAATTTCACAAAAAATTTGGAACGCTTCACGAATTTGCGTGTCATCCTTGCGCAGGGGCCATGCTAATCTTCTCTGTATTGTTCCAATTTTAGTATATGTTCTCGGAAGAACGAGATACGAGCGGACGACGGGCGGTTATAAGGGGGTGGTTGGGCGAGCAGCCTACGTCTCGCGGGTTCCGCCGTCCGCTATGCAATTCATGTCAAAAATCTCGAAAAACTTGTCAAACATCTAAAATTTCCTGGTTTTTCCACTTGAAAACTCTCGAAAAGTATGCAAAATATGAAAAAAAAAGTAGAGGAAACATCTTTTAACCTTTGAAAAAGTTGTACGACTTATACCAAGAGTCGAAAAATGTTTCCACTTCCATGTGGAGTTTATAGACCATACCAGACGGTCCGGACTCCGGAGAACCTACCTGAGAAACTTTGTTGGGTCGTCTATTTCTCTTCTCTCTCTACTATCATCTTTTTTCAATTTTTCACGTGTTTTACTGACAAATTCAGTGATCATTTTCCCTAAACTCATCATCATTGATCAATTTTCACATTCCACATTTCCGCTGAACCCTCTGATCTTTCCGAATGCGTCCGATTCTCGTTCTCATTCTGTCGGCACTCATCGCGTTGAATTCTGCGTAGTTTGTATCACTGAAAACCATTTTTTCGCCGAAATTATCGATTTTTCAGTTCAACTCCCGAGATGTCGGCCAGAAAAGCGGTTCGCGTGGCGTTTGCGAAATGCGTCGGCGCCGTGGAGCCACGTTCCATCGTTCAAGAGGTATGCAAGTGCGCTCCAACTGAAAAAAAAACAATTCCGTACACTCTTTTAGGCCATTCGTGTGTCCGCCGACCGAATTTCGATCGGAAATTCCCATTTTCCCCGCTCAAATGCCACGAAAATCGTGTTGCTCGGTTTCGGAAAAGCCGTGCTTTTGATGGGCCGTGGAGCGGGCGATCGGCTCACGGCGCCACTGCTCCAGAAGACATTTTTGATTGCGCCGAGCGAACAGAAACCGAAAAGTCCAGAAAATTCGACGCGAATCCGCGAAATCTGGTACGGCGGCAGAAATAACCTGCCGGACGCGAAATCGGTGAGCGCCACGACGAGCATGCTCAGCGAAATCGATCGTCTCGATTCGCCCGACACCATCTTCGTTTTTCTGATTTCGGGCGGTGGCTCGGCGCTCTTTTGCTCGCCGCGTCGAAACCTTGTCGTGGAGGACAAAGTCAAGACGATCAAAGCGATGCAGGCGGCGGGCGCGACGATCCAGCAGCTGAACACGGTCCGCCAGAATATTTCGGAGGTGAAGGGCGGCAAAGTGCTGCGACGGATCCGCCACGGCCAGTCCGTCTCGTTGATCATTTCGGACGTCATCGGCGATCCGATCGATCTGATCGCCGGCGGACCCACGGCCATCCCCACGCAGTCCGAGGGCTCTGTCGAGCACATTTTGAAGGATTTGGGAGTTGGCCAGCGGGAATTAGGGTCTGTTGTGTGGAGCGCGCTCAAGCAAAAGGAGAAAGGTGAGATCGGTTGAGCATTTTTTTGGAAATACTTAAAACTGGCGCTCAAATCTTCCAGACACGTCCCCGATCCGCAAAGATCACTTCGCCAACCACATTATCGCTTCGAATCGGATCGCGCTCCGTGCCGCCTACGAATCGCTGACTTCCGCCGGCTTCCACACCTCCATAATCACGTCATCTCTTTCCGGAAACGCCGCCGAAATCGGCCGCCAATTCGCCGACCTGATCGCCTCCGAATCTTTCGATTCGCCGCTTCTCAAAAACGCCTCCGCAAACCTACAATATCCGATTGCGCTTCTTTTCGGCGGAGAAACCACCGTGAAATTGGCTGCTCACCCCGGAAAGGGCGGTCGCAATCAGGAGATGGTGCTCGCGTGTTTCGATGCTCTCAAATCCCAAACTCCCGCTCATCAATTCGTGTTCCTGAGCGCCGGAAGTGACGGTCAGGACGGTCCGACCGACGCCGCCGGGGCCATCATTACCAATTCGGACCTTCTGGTTCCCTCGCCGACGTCTTCCGCATCCCTGGCCGCTTCGGATTCGTACAACTTCTGGAAACACTTCAACAACGGGAAAAGCCATCTGATAACGGGACCGAGTGGAACAAATGTGATGGATATTCAGATTTTGGTGCTGAATAAATTGTAATTTACACTTGTCCGGAAAACCCAAATAATAAATACACAGAAAACGAAGCTGGGTGTAAATCACAGCGATTTGCAGGCGAATAAATTAGAAAAAAGGCGAGAATTAAACAATTTCAAAGTTATCCGCGTTGAAAGTGGCCTCCGCGGACCAGGGGACCGCCGATCCGTCCGATCTGACCACCTCCTGCACAGTGATCGGCACGAACAGATTCTCGGAGGTGAATCCGACGGAGACGGGGAAAAAGTGGTCCGAGTGGCCGTTGGGCACCGTGAATTCGAGCGTTCCCGACGGGTTGGACGCGTCGATCACCGGCATCGACCAGACGATCACGTTCTTCGGACGGAGGTACTCGTACGATCCCTCGCATTCGCCCACCACCGGCGCCGTTGCTGCTCTGCAAGGAAAACGAGTTTATTTTTGCTTATTTTTCTGGCAAAACTCACGGAAGTGGCACAATAATTCGGACGTTCTGAAGTGTGATGTCCTCTCTCTGAAGCGTGTACTCAATGTTCACTTGTACTCCGTCGGCAGACTCTTGCGGCCAGCAATTCACTGAAAAATCGTTGTTTTTGAAGGGTTAAAAAATGTAAGTAACAAAGACTACAAATCAGGAAAGCTCAATCTGAAACGTACACGAAATGGGCAACTGCTCCTCCTCGGCCAACACCATTTTCCACTTGAGAATGCCGACGTCGCTGTTCACCGGATACGGTTTCCCATTGGACTTCAGTTTGAGCACGCCCGTCGTCTGCCACTCCTTTTTATCGAGATTCGGATGGACTTGCAGCGCCGCGACGCCGTTCGACCCATTATTCATTCGGACCGCCACTGAATTTAGGTCCGGCGAGGCGACTGAGAGCGAAACCGTGGCGAGTACTTCTCCGGCTTCGAGTCCTCCGTCGCGGCTCACGCGCGCGTTGATCTTCTCCTCGGTGCGCACGTGCACCGCCTCTCTTTTCACGCGCGGAGCACTGGCCGAATTCAAAGAAGATGCTCCGGAACTTGCTCCACCCAACGCCTTCTCCACTGGGGCGATCGACTGTCCCTGTTGGCGAAGAGTGTTCAAAAACGTGTCCTCGTCGTTCGTTTTCCCGCCCAATTTCAGCGCCTTTCCTCCGCCGATCGGTCCTTTCGGCGCTGTGGGACGTGGAACCACTGGTTCCTGGACGGCCGCGGCGGTCGGAATGGAAGAGGACGAAATGCCGGTGGATGACTGATAACTGGGCTTCAACCCGCGGCTCAACGCCTCCTTCTGCGCCCGCTTCAGCTCTTTCGCCTTCTCGGCCATCGCCTGCTTCGCCGCCTTCTCCTGCGCCTCCTTGATCTGCATAAAGACGCGCTCCTCGTGCGAGTCCATCTCGGTAAAAGTGCGAATTTGCGCCAGATTCACCGATTCACGATAGCCGAGCGTGACGACCTCGTCGAACGCGAAAATCAGATCGAAATCGTGGGCCAGGATCTCCTTTTCGTCGTTCGATCGACAATATTCGGGAATGACGCGCGAGAACAGACGCAACGTCTCGAGATCCTCCAGAATGTTCGAGTTTTTTGTGGTGATCAGCACCACGTAAATGTTGTCCAGCGGGTGATAGACGTACCGGACGCTTTCCGTTTCGACAAATGTGTGCTGACGAGATGCTGAAAGAGCAGTATTTTTTATACTTTATTAGTGAAATTAGCTCACCAGCATCTTTATCATTGCCGATAAGCTTGGGGAAGGCGTCGAGAAGGCCTTCAAGACGGGCTCTCGTCATGTCGGTGACGAATTGACGGGCCACGAGGGCTTTGCCCGATTTCGAGAACACTCCGGCCGCGATCAGCACCATTTGGATCTAAAATTGACTGGTTGTTAATTTTCGAGTCAAAAATCGGTTTTACACATGAACATAAACGCAATTTAGCGCGAAACCTTGAAATCTACTTAAAATGTACAATTTTACTAAGAAAATCAGCCGAATAGCAAGAAAAACCATAATTTCTTGTAACTTTGTCATTTTTCGGACAAGTAATCGATTTTTCATATGAAAATGATCGAAATTCAACGGAGAGTCTAGAAATTCAACTGTAAATTCACAATTTTCGCTTTAAAACGCTGAAAAACGGCGACAAAGTGCAGAAGGGCAGATGTGTGCCACGAATTCACAATAAAACGTCACTTCGTTGCGAGACACGTGGCGGCCGGCGGCCGTATGCGCCTTTAAACTCGGCCACCACCGCAAATTGGCGATTTTCAAATCTTTCTAGGCGGAATTTCCGCTAAAAAAAGCGTAACATCGTCCTAAATTGACGAGGAATCTGAAATTTTCAACAAAATATCAAATATTAAGGCAGAAGACTTGACAAATTTGAGGTTTATTGCAAACTTTGTGGATGTCTGAGAGAAAAATTTATTAAAACACATTTATTCGATTAAATAAATAATTTTCAGCTGATACTTGAGGGAGGAATCAAATTATAGCTTTGCAGCACCCGTTTCTAGTGAAGAGAAGAAAAGTACAGATAAAACGGTTGAAAAATTGAGACCAGAGCTCTATACAAATGAGAAAATGGTTAGCAAACAAGTTCCAAGTAGAAGAGAAGTCGGGTGAATTGCAGAGTTGCTTCGTTGGGCTTCGGCTTCTGAAAAATATAACATTGATTCAATTATACTCAAAAATTAGACATTTTCGGTGAAAATCATGAAAAACGTGAACATGTGTGACCAGTTCAACTTGTTTCCCCCAAATTTTTCGAGTTTATCACTTTCCCCATCATTCTCTATTCCGCCCACGCACACTCATCTTCGTGTACTCAACTCTTCTCATGGCCGAGCACGACACCTTCAATCCGTACACGGCCGTCCAGCGGAGCCCCTCTCAGCACTGGATCTTTGCTCCTCAGGCGCCGCCGCTTAAGGATGTACGTTTGTTTTAATTATAAGTCGGAAAAATCAAAAAATCCGATTTAATGATCGATAAGTGTCTTTTCTTTTCAGAATTGCGTCACTCTGCTGACGTTGTCGCACGACGCGGTCAACCTGAACACGATTCCGGCGTCGTCGGCGGCCTCCTCCGACTCGATCGTCTCGTTCGCCAGCCGCTACGTCGTTCCGGAGGTGATCAGAAGCGACAGCGACGTGGACACCCGTTCGGCGGGCAATCCCTACTCGCACCACCCCAACTTCACCACTCCGTCTCAATATTTCGGACATCTCGGCGAGACTCTCGACGTGGAAATTGGGCAAAAATCGAAAGAGCCGGAGGGCGACGTGCTCACCGTCGCCGACATTCAGAATTTGAAGGATCCGTTCGGAAGCGGTGCCAGCGGATATTATTCGAACGCTCCCGCCGTTAATATCAATCCGCCCAACGATGTGGTAAGCCAACGATTTTTGCAGAATTTTATGCTTTTTTGATAAGAAATTTTTCGAAAATCCAACGATTTACACGAAGAATTGATTTTCAGACGCTTCGCAAGACGGCATTGTCTTCGAAATCGCTCGCGGAGCTCCATCAACTTCACGTGGCGTTCCCGTTCAAAGGATTCCCGAACCTCGTCGAAAATTCGACCAACTCGCCGACAACGACGCTCAACAAGAAGATGCTGAGCCCGGAGTCGATGTACGAGCTGCAGCAGACGGACGGAAAATTCGACGACTGCGATTCGAACCTCGCGGTCATTCGCGAGTTTTCGCCGCAAACGCTTGCCGATTTGCGCGAGCTGCGCAACATTTCGCAATACTCGGACTGTCAGCGATCGTCGAAGGACGTGGCCACGTGTCTCGGAATCTCGCCGTCGCCCTACGAACGTCAGCAGTTTGAGTGGACCGAAAACGTGGCCTACGGAGGCTTTTAAATCATGTTCTTTTGTGCTAGTATTGTAGAAATAAAGATTTTGAAGAGGGCGCCTTACTGTTGATGTGCACAATCTGCGAGGCTTTTTGCTGCATGTGCTCGCACGCGTAGTTCCCGTCGTCCTCCATCGTCGCTTTTCGGATTCGCATCGTTTCGATGACGACGCCGGCGTCGCGCTTCACTTTCAGTATGTATTCTGCAAATTTCACAAATTCAGATGGGCTGTGCCTTTGTCCCTAGACATTTTTGCAACATTTTCCTCTGCGCGCCACGGCGACCAAAAACGTAGAAAGGGGCGTGGCCTAGCGTGCACGGTTTTGTCACCATTTTGGCGCGAAATTCGAAATTTAACCCCATTTATTTCATGTTTTTCGTCAAAAATTACCCAAATTTTGTACGATTTCGACGATTTAATTGCATAACTTTGTTAAACTAATCATCGCGCGCACTTTTTGAGCCGAAAACGAGCAGGTTTCATTCAGAAATGAATCAATTGAATCGATTTTCAAGTGTTGTGCTGAAAATGCGCGAATTTCAGTCATTCGCCGACACTTTTTGCCGTTTGAACGCTTAAAATACTTGTATTAACGTGCTTAATCACTTCCGACACTCACTTCGTCTCAAAACTATCCACATCGGCCGGTATGAAAATTCCGAAATTGCGAAATATGCCAAAAACGTCTCAAACGCGGCGTTTTCACGAAAATTTCAATGTTTTCTCTGTTTAATGTCTCTTCTTTCGTCGATATCAAACACAAAAATATCGGAAAAGTGCCGGAATTGCGGCAATTTTCAAAAAACGCGTCTCAGATTAGGCCACGCCCCTTTCTACACTTTTGGTCGCCGTGCTGCGCAACAAAGTTTTATTTCAAATTTCGGTCTGCGCCTTTAAAACTGTACCCAACGCGCGTTTTGCAACTATCGATTTTTCCAGTAATTTACAGTCAGAAAACGGGGTTTGCCGCTAAACGATGCTCCGAATGTGTCGATCCCCTCACGCGGTCGGGCGGTTGTCTCCTCGAATTTCAGTTGGCGCGTCAAACATCCCCCTTTTCGAGTGCCTATTACACATACGCACACACTTGTACTGCTAACACCTCTGAAGGGCCCCTGTGTAAATTCGAATTTGGATTCGAGTTCGGCGGTCCCGCGCGAGTTGATGATGATGATGAGTCGGATATGATGCATGAATAAAACATGAAACATCCCTTTTCAGTCATCCTCGCTCCACTGCACCTGCCTTTTCCCCGCCAACAACCGCAAGGCACCATAATCGTATTCCCCCCCTCCTCAATTATATTGTAGTCTTCCTCTTCCTCTAAAGATTTGGTGGTAGTGGTGGTGGTGGTCCCTGGCGGTAATTGAGAGGAAATTGACTAAACTCGGCGGCCGGCGGCGCTCCGAATTGTTTGTTCAAGTTGATCGACTTACACAACTAGTCATTTGCAATTCTGAATATAATTGGGATGCGATCCGAGAGGAGCACTAGCAATTTTCCGAATTCTTCATGAGCACTATGAGAGAATGGGAAAATATTTTGGGTTCTGGAGCGAAAAGTTCATTGTGCAACTTTAAATTACGGTAGCTACTCGCTTTTCGTTATGCGCCTTTAAATTGCGGTAGTTTTCGATTTTCATGCTCAATTTTCGCTGAAAATCGAAAAGTACCGCAATTTGAAGGCGTACAGCGAGAAAAAGAAGAGAGAATTGAGAAACCGACTCACTTTCCGTGTTATTAAAGTTGATCGTCGTGCCGTCCCTCGTCCACACCACATCGATATCGTCGTCCTCGTCGTCGGCAGAAGTGACGGTGCAATTGAGGACCACCTCGTCGCCGGACATGTTCGCCATCAGTCTTGTCGATTTTTCTGCAAGAAAATCTAAATCTAAACAAATTTTTCGAAGAAAAAGTCGCTTTTCCTACTTTGCAACGAGGCCGGCGACGGTAGTGGCGGGTCGAGAACTTTGAGGTAAACCGCATAAACGGTACTGTGCTTGTCGTTGATCTCACACAGATAACATCCCGAATCGGCGTGCTCGGCTCGTCTGCAAAAAGAAGAAAAAAACATGTTGTTCCAGCCTCAAAATTGGCTCAATCAGGTCCCGCAATAACTATTTTTCGTATGTTTTTGTGCCGTTTAGTTACCTCAAATTGAGAACCCAAACATTGGACGACTTTTTCGACACCTGCCATCGCGGATCTCTTGTGAAGGTGCGGTTGCCGGCTGTCAAGAGGGCTCCGTCCGAGACGCGCGTCCACGCGATCTGAATTACCGGTATTGTTGGTTTGGAAAACAGTTTTCTAGAGAAAAACTATGTTTCAGAACAAGTTTTGGGTCGAGAACTTGTTTGAGAACAGAATTTGTGTGAAAAAAATGTTGGAAAACCAATTTCTAGGGCAAAAACATTTTTCGGAACAGTTTTGCAAACGAAAACATGTTTGGTAGCAGTTTTAAGTTTAAAATTTGTTCCAGAACACGGCGACCAAAAACGTAGAAAGGGGCGTGGCCTAGCGTGCACGGTTTATCCACATTTTGGCGCGAAATTCGAAATTTAACCCCATTTTTCATGTTTTTCGTCAAAAATTACCCAAATTTTGTACGATTTCGACAATGTAATTGCATAACTTTGTTAAACTAATCGTCGCGCGCACTTTTTGAGCCGAAAACGAGCAGGTTTCATTCAGAAATGAATCAATTGATGCGATTTTCAAGTTTTGTGCTGAAAATGCGCGAATTTCAGTCATTCGCCGATACTTTTTGCCGTTTGAACGCTTAAAATACTTGTATTAACGTGCTTAATCACTTCCGACACTCACTTCGTCTCAAAACTATCCACATCGGCCGGTATGAAAATTCCGAAATTGCGAAATATGCCAAAAACGTCTCAAACGCGGCGTTTTCACGAAAATTCCGATGTTTTCTCTCTTTAATGTCTCTTCTTTCGTCGATATCAACACACACAAAAATATCGGAAAAGTGCTGGAATTGCGGCAATTTTCAGAAAGCGCGTCTCAGATTGAGCCACGCCCCTTTCTATACTTTTGGTCGCCGTGGCAGAACTGATTTGTAGGACAATAACACGTTTCCGAACATTCGTAGGCTTTAAAACTATTTTCCGATCAATTTCTGTGTTAAAAACATGCTTCAAAACTGTTTTTCCTTGCTTTTAGGGTTCCATTCCCCCCAACCCCTCAAAACCCGATCCCAATTGGCACCTTTTCCGTCCGTACTGTATACACATCGCAACTATTGTCCGCCCGGGAAATGCTAATGTTTGGGTGTATAATGAGAGAGCCGATCGGATCTTCTGGGCAGCTAGGTACAATGAATACGATTCGATTACGGTCGTTGACTTTTCGCGCGCATACACACACAGTTAATTGTGTTTCTAGGCCATCAGTGCGGGGATTGTTAGGCCACGGGCGGGTTTTCGAGGACAGAGACATGTTGTGGAACGGTTTTAGGTGGCAAGACATGTCATTAAACATGTTACATAACGGTTGTAGGTCAAAAACACGTTAGCACCCCGCCTAATCATAATAAGCGCCCCATTTCTTATTTGCCGCTTCTCATTGCCTTCATCATCTTCTCCAATTAGCCATTCATGACGCAATCGCTCTCTTTCTCGCGCGGAAGTCGATTCAAAAGAAAACGGGCGGTCCCACTTGACTCGCAGGAAGCCGTAATTGGCCATTTCCTCCTGTTTCACCACGGCTTCTTTTTGCACAGAAACTGAGAGAGAGAAGGAAGGAAGTTGAGGGCAAGCTTGAGTATTCATCAGATTTTCGGGTCGCAAAACTGTTTTAGAACTGTTTTAGGACAAAACTATGTATGCGGATATCTTTGTGACCCAAAACATGTTCTAGAACAAATTTTGGGCCAGCGAGACATGGGTCGAACCATTTTTAGGCCCTAAAATATGTTCCAGAACCTTCTACAGATCAGAGTTGAGCGGAAGAACTCAACGGAAGAACACGGAAGAATTTTTATCTTTTTTATAAAATTTTTTCATGGAATGTGATCAACTGACGAAATGTATAGCAAAGCGAACTCTGCTCATAGAAAAATAATTGTAAATTTAGCTTTTCATACAAAAAAGTTATTCGAGTTGTTCCGCGAAAAAAGGGCTAACGGAAGGCGGAAGGACATTTTCACGGAACACCTCGAATAACTTTTTTGTATAAATAGCTAAATTTACAATTATTTTTCTATGAACAGAGTTCACTTTGCTATACATTTCGTCAGTTGATCACATTTCATGAAACATTTTTCTAAAAAAGATAAAAATTCTTCCGTGTTCTTCCGTTGAGTTCTTCCGCTCAACTCTGCTACAGATCAAATACACGTTTCAAAACAGTTTCAGATGCCATTGCAAGTGCGCCCCATCGCCAATCACCTCATGTTCAGCATCGGGCGGCACACTGCAGTGCAGATAGGCCGGATTCTCGGCCACCACGTTCACAATAGTCTGCGACGGATTTTCGACGCGGGAGCGCTCCTGTCGCAGGCACGCCATCACCTCTTCGGAAGCGCAGAGGCCTGAAACCAAATTTACATTATTATTACTATTACTATTCATTCGCATATTTTCGTCCCCCCCCCCCCTTTCACTTTACTTTTAGTAGTCGGTGCCCGTGAGTTGGGAAGAGAGATTCGCATCGCTTCCATTTGCCACTTTTTGATGAAAAGATCATAAAAGATAGGAAAGGGGGGGGGGAGGGGTTAGAGTTCGCTTTCCGATGACGGGAAACTCTCGAAATATTGTTCATTCTCGAGTGCGGACCACTTTTTCAACAAAGCGGGCGTGGACGTGGAGAACTTTGATTTCTAGGGTGTACTTTAGGATTTGATAGGATACAAATTGATGGCCTAGGATCCGACTAAAACTAGGCCAGCCAGGAGTATGTCTGGAGGGGCTTAGAATGTTAAAAGCTTGTAGGTAAGAAGGCCAAGAACCCTGTGGCCTAGGATCCGACTCAAGTGCATCTAGACCGAAAACCGCATGGCCTAGGTTCCTGGGCGGTGGCCTAGGATCCGTCAGGCTTAGGCGCGGAATTCAAAAACTTCCGAAGACTCTTAACCGATGGCCTAGAATTCCGACAGATGAACTTCCAGGGACTACGGTGCGTACCTAGTCCCTCGGTAAACGCGTCTTCACCCATCCCACAGGGCCATTCAAACAAATCCCATTTCCTTATTGAATGCCTCTTCTTCTCTCTCTTCTTCTTCTTCTTCTTCTTCTAAACTTGTTTATGTATTCGTCGGAAAAGAAGCAAACTCTTTCTCTCTCTCTCTCTCTCTCTCCCGCTCCCTGTGAATACCTAAACATTTGAATGCCCAGAAAGCACAGAAAAACTCGTCGAAAGCGACGAAGATTAACGCGTTCAGGCGCCCGCGCGTGGTCCCCCGGGGGACGGGAACGACTTTGTTCATATCCGGCCGAGCGAGCGGGACCGCAAGAGGGGAACGGACGGAAATGGTGACAGAAAGAAGGAGAAGAAGGGAGGGGGGAGCACTTCTCAAGAACACGAAGACATGAGCCGCCGAGGGACCGACTCGCGCACCAAACGCAACGCACTTTTGAGGTTCTTATGACAATCGAGAGCGGATGGGCACCGGAAGTTGCCAAATGGATCAAATTCCATAACGGGCACCGCGACTTTTGCTTTCCGATTAATCCCTCATGTAAAAATGACACCAGCCCCCGGACCGTGGGGCGGTCTTTTAGAAAAGAGGGGTGTCTGCTCGAAACTTGTCATATTTCTGTGCTGCCTTAACACCTCACAATATCCTATCCCTGACTGCTTGGACCATTTCAAAAATGATTTAGTGCATTTTATCACCGGCTCTTTCACTTTTAAGTGAAAGCGCTTCAGGTAAAGTGGAAGAGCGAAGGAGAGAGAGAGAGAGAGAGAGAGAGATAAAAACAACAAATTACGTTTTGCCGCTCGTCTCGTTTTTCCGCTCGATTGAGTCGAAATACACAAAAAGTTTAGAGGAGGGGGGTAAGAGCTTCTTCTTCTACTTCTTCTCCTACTTTTTCTTTCGATGCGCCCAGCACCACCTGCCCTTTTACACGCTCCGCTTGACCGATCCGCTTTGCATAATTGAGACACACACTGCAGCAACTGGTAGTTTATATTTTAAAGTTTTGGCCTACTCTTTGGACGAGCGGCCAGCTGGTGGTGCGGGTCCGAAATGGGATTAGGACGAATTGGGATCAAGGTGCTATTAGCCTATTTCAAGTGCCACCGCGTCTGTTCCGACGGATCACGGCCGAAATTTAAATAAACGAATCGGCAAGGCGTTGTGCGATAGAGCGTAAATGCAAAATTTTTGGGAGCAATGTTATCTGGCCTAAAAATTCTCTCAATTTTTAGATTTTTAGGCCATAAATCTATTTTTGTTCAATTTAAAACTAATTTCTTCGTGGAGAAAGTAAAATCGACTGCAAAAGTTAAAATTTTAGGAACTATGCTCATCTGGCCTAAAAATTAACCGTATTTTAGGCCATTTCAGTTCCATTGCGCTCTATCGCACTATGATAGTGGGACAGAGCGGTTTTTTCGATACAATCCTCTAAATTTCTAGACCATCAAATACTCACCTTGTTCGAAAGCCGAAAAAATGGCAAAAACCGCGAACACATCAGTAATCCGACGCAGCATCGCTCGCCTACACGACTTTTCCGCGTGTGCCTCCTCGGTCGAATGTCCCAAAACATGGGCGGGGCTTAGGAGATAGGGGCGGAGCATTCGGACCGCGCAGGAGGAAACACGGGCCGGAGGGGGGTAAAACAAACAAAATCATCAGTTAATCAGCTCTTTTTTTCTTCTTTCGTTGTCGGTTCGATGTGAACTTAAAATCACAAACATAAATACAAAATAAGCGAGATTTTGGGGGGCGGAAAGTGGGGAGAGGGAGGTAAAAACGAGCAGAAAAAGAGGAGGGGGGCCCAAAGAAACGAACAAAGTACAAAGAGAGAACGTGAGGTACAGAATGTTGTGGCGATACAGAAAAGGGCCAAAATGAACAAAAAAAAGGGAACAAGATGATGAAAAGTACCAGTCAGAGGAGAAAAAGCGATAATCGATAGAGTTTCTATTTAGAACGGGTAAGAGACGGTGAAAATGCTCGAAAAAGTTTAGTGGATCGAGAGAGGAGGTGAAAAACAATGAAATGAGAAATGCCTAGGAGGGTGACGTCGGGTCAGACCGGCTGATCGACGTGTTGTTGGTTGCGGGCGAGAATGTCAGCGAGGCGGACTGCATCAGTGAACCCACGCGGCTTGTTCCCGCCGGACGATCCATTGCGGATGACGGTCGCCGCGGACGAGGCGGTAGGTGCTGCAAGACTCCACGAGCGAGTAGACGGTCCCGATTATTCAATGCCCAAAGTTCGGCTTCATTTCCAGTCCCTCACGCATGCCTCGTCCATTTCAAGAACATCAACGTCCTCCTCCGTCACTTCCCTTTCTCTCTATTTGTCAATGGATCACCTTTCGTCTCGCTTTTTCTGGCAGGTCCGTGCTGCCCGAATTGACAAATTGTGAGAAACATTTCGAAATTCGACCTCCCCCCCCCCCTCCTCATCTCATCACTTTTTCATTTAAACTACACTCACTGCTCGGCGAGACGGTCCTCCTGGATGACAGCGTCGTCGGCGCCGAAGAATCGGTCGTCGTGTCGGCTGCGGCGGTCGGAGATCCCACTCGAAGCGCTTCTTCGAGTGCCTCCTCGTAGGATTGTGCTCCGCCACGTGGCGTCGTCGACGAGATCGTCGTCTCGTCGTGTCGGAACGAACTTCGCAGCGATGAGGACGCTTGACGAGGTGTGCCTGCAAAAACAATGCTTTTCCGCACAACTTTTCCGGGTTTCAGAGCTTTCAGCACAGAATTTACGCCAGAAATCGACAACATCGAGCGGCCAAACTCTTTACAATTTTGAGTCGATTTCAGGGCTCTGCTCTTTTAAAGCTCATAAATACAAATTAGGCCCCTCCAAAATCGCCATCAATTCGAACCTCCTCTCTCCAATTCGAACAGATTGCAAGTGGACCCATCGGTGGCTCCGCCCACAGCCCCTCGTGACTCGTCGCACGAACTCATCGACATCGACTGGCTCTCCGACATCTTCTGCTGACTGTCCGACACCGAAACGGAAACGGTGGTCGTGGCGCCCGTCGATTTGGAGAGTGTCCGTCCCGAGAGCAGCGGTTTCAGCGGGATGTGGCTGCCGACGACGTTGTGCTCGTCGGGGATGTAAAGGCGGGACGTCTCCTCGTTGTCGTCGTCGTTCGCCTGCAAATAGTTTTGTTGAAAATGAAGAGGGGAGCTAAACTCTGCCTCTGTTTGGCGGAGGACCCGATTTTTGTGAAAGTTTCCTCTGATTTGTCACTAGTTTTTGACAAAAATCGTGTCCTTCGCTAAATCGGCAACTGGCAGTTACGGAGGTTGACGGCACGAAACACCACGCCGCAAGAATATCAGCCTCGGGTTGGAGTATCTATCTTGAAAGTTTCAGCCCGATCGGGGATCATCTCTCGAGAAATCTTGATTTTACACCGAGAAACTCGAATGCCGTGTCGAAAGTTTAAGAGAATCTGTTGGATTTTGCAGTTTAAAGTTCGCAGCAGGAACAGTTTTCCCGGCATAACTTTCAGCAAAAATTGGAGTTTCTCGATGTAAAATCCCTACATCTCGAGGAATGATAATCCAATCGGCCTATAACTTTTCAGATAGACAGTCTGGGCCCGACAGGACAACTCGATAATAGCAAAAAGCCGGTCGGCCTCACCGCATTTCGTTCCTCGATCGGCGCGTTCTTCATCGTCGCCAACCGCTCCTGCTCCTTCTTCCGTTCTTTTCGGAACTGCATCACGTGCGATTTGAATCTGAAAAAGTTTGGGTAAAGCTTTTTCCACCCCCCAAAAACGTACGTCGGCAGCTGGCTATGACACAGAGTCCGTCGGCAGTTGTTCCAGCATCCGAGCGTGAACGGATTGTATCCGGACGTGAATTTGCCGGTGACCTGTTCGTTGGTTGTCCGTCCGCGGGCGACCAGGACCAAATGGAAGACGGTGAGGCCGATGACGGGCACGCACAGCACCGCGCACACCGCCAAAAGAACGATTGCGCATAGGTAGGGCGGGGTGAGCAAGTGCGTCCGCAGACTGTCCTCACTGAAACGATGGGCGCTGGCGGGCGGTGAGCGACCGCCGAGCGACGGGACCACTCACGTGCTGCTGCTGCTGATGGTCGTGGCCGCGTTGGACGGACTGCTCGCCGTCGAGCCTGTCCAGACGACGAAGAAGCACAGGACGAACACGTAGAGCATGTGGACGCTCAGACTGCACAGGAAGAAGAAAAAGTAGCTGAAAAAAGGTTAGAATTCCGCCGGAAACTGCAAGAATTTGGCTTTTTCCAGAAAATCTTCATTTTTCGTGTCAAACAGAGCAAATAAGCAAGTTTCCAACCGAAAAGTGATAAAAAATTTGGTTTAATGTTTTGAAATAACCAACCGATAATTCCGTTTTCCGACACAATTGTGAACCCACGGACAGTGGTGGTCGAAAGTTTCGATGCATCTGCAAATCTCATTAACAGTTCCTTTCAGACCTAAAATGTTTGCTCACCTATTACAGACGCTGCAATGGCTCGAACGGGGCGGCCGGTAGAATTTGCACGTGACGCACCACTTCATGCGCACCGTAATTCCGTTTATGTCCACGTTCTTGTAGAGCGGCGCCCGCAGATCGTCCACTTGCGTCGGCTCTTCCGATCCGATCGCGTACGGATGCACCGCCGGATCGATGAACATCGCCATGCACAGATTCGAGGCCACGATCGCGAAGAGGCAGAAATCGACGAGCGTCGCCGCGAGACCCCATCTGCAAGCACGCACCTATTCGCATGATTTTAGACCACGTGAGCTCAGGCCCACTGTTGAGAATCGCAACTTTTAGCCGTCGGAAAACGTACATTTTCGATTTTTTGGGCTCAAAAAAAAAACAACCGACTCACACTTTCCACGTCTCCCACAATTTGGGCGCGATGAACCAGAAGAATGAGCCGGAGCATCCGATGATGAGTGCCCATGCGATGGCGGCCGGCAGCAACGCCGAGATGCGTTTGCACATTGGATCCGGCTCCGACTCGGGCGACCACTCACTGGAAGACATCTACCGATTGTGATTGCGCGTTTTGAGTAAAATTAGAGAGAACATTCGATCGGAAATGTGATGAATAGTTGAAAGATGCAGTTTTACGACAGATTCACGGATTTTGAGTCAAAAATTGTTGCTGATAAGTACGTTTTTAGCAAAATCCGTTTCAATGAGCAGAAATTCAACGAGTGTTTGGAAACTGGCGCAAACTTTGCAGCTTTTGAAGATCGCAGTGAATTTCTGCTAGAGCCGACATGAATTGAGCCGGGAAAGGCGATTTTTTGGGTCAGTTTGATAAAACTAGTCGCGTTTCATGGAAACCTGCTGATTGCAATGTAAATTTGTAGTAAAATGGAGTGAAGAAGAGATAAAATGGGAAAAGCGGAGAGAAACGCGGAGGAATAGTTGGTCGGATTAACATGCACCAAGATTATTGCATTTCGCAGTCCTCTTCTTCTTCTTCTCCCTCTTTTTCTCCGCCATTTCGTGTTCCATCGTCGGCGAGACGCAGACGGCGAGAGCGACGGAAATTGGCCGCCGAACGGAAGGATGGACAATAGCGAATTGGTCATTTTTGGGGAAAGCCGGTAAAAATCGTGGTTTTTATGATTTTTCATAAGGAAATCGGTCATTTTAAGCGTGATAAAGCGAGAAAAAGTTAAGGAAAATTTGGTTAACATTTTTTTCTTAACTTTTTAGGTAAGAGAGCACAAATAGCAAGGTAAAGCGTAGAGAGAAAGATAAAGGGCAAAACTCATAGTTTTTCCGCCAGACGTGCTCTTTTTCTGTGCGGAGCGAGTCAACAATGACGGGGCGGCGAGAGAGCACTAATTTTCGGGAGACCCAGTGACCAGTGTGCAGTATTTCGTGGCTTTTGATGCAAAAATGCAAAAGAAGCTACCTTTTAGTGCGCCGAAAAGGAAGCGAGGCCCAAAAATGGGGAAAAGGAGAGGAAATTAAAGCGGGAGGCGAGAAAAATGAGCTCGCGCGCACGGAAATGACGATGAGAAGCGGAAAATTGACGGAAAAGGGAGCGAAGCAATCCGGTAGAATTTTTTGTGATGACCTGCTATTTTGCGACGATGGAAACACGATTTTTGCGTCGGAAAATGCAAAAAAAAGCCTGAAAATAAAATGTTCGCGCCGATTTGCTTTGAATTCCACAGTAACAATGTGCTTATCGTGGCGAGACCTGCTTTAACGGCTAGAAGTGTGTGCCTTTAAAGCCTTAAAGTACGGTAGGGCTTGCCGCCAATTTTGGGACTTCTTCGCTGAAAATTTGCGCGTTTCTGTTGTTTTTACCGCTAAAATGTGTTTTTGTTTTTCTGAATAAATAGTATTCAATCGAAATATTTCAAAAACAATTGGAAAAATCGTAATATTCACCGTTTTTCATAAGAATTTAGTGTTTCTGAATATTACACTGAAAATGTGTGTTTTTCTTCCGTTCTCTTTCTGAAATGTGTTTTTGTTGTTCTGAATAACTGATATTTGATCGAAATGTCACAAAAACCATCGAAATCCCGTTAATGATCTTGAAATTCATTTTTTCTTCTCCATTTCCCAACATTTCACAATTGCAACATCTTTCCCATAAACGCCGCCAAAAGTGTGTCCGAAACATAATAATAATAGTGTTTCCAATGGGATAGGGAACACGGGAACGCCAGAGAAACGCATAGAAAGAGAGAAAAAGGAAATGTGGTCGGGGCAGACGGGCGGTTCTGGTTACGCGGGACGACGCCTTCTCCCGCGCGTCGACGCATCGATCTCTGAACACACAGGCACACCTTCAGTTCCATTCTCTCGATTATCATCCGTTTCGGTAGTCGTCGTTTTGTTTCAATTCCTCGTCGCTCCCTTCTGTTTGCTGAGCTTCATTAACAAATATATGTTTTTTTCGGCGTCTACTGTAGTTAATTTGCGATTTTACATGAGCAAACCAGTTTATTTTCGTGGCTTCTAAAACTGCAAAAAGCGAAAAGTTCTAAATCGATTCGAAAGTGAAATACTTAATTAGACCTCTATTTATTTCAATTTGGAATAAGTCTAGAGTTTTTGCAATCGAACCAGACAAATTTTAGCTTTTCTTACAGTCCAGTTAAAATATTTTGCAGTAAATTAACAATCAACCTATCAAACTCAGATCAGATTTACTAGAGCTTACCACCCATTGGCCTAAAATGTGACCTGCGGTCAGTCGACAATTTTGTTTACTATAGATAGGGACCGCAACGGGTTTCACGAAACTCCGAATTTTCATAAAATTTTTGTTGGAATGTGTTCCCCTACTCTATATGAGTACGCTCCCAATTTTTTTTTCCAAAATTTTCGGTACATCCCGAGTTACACCCATTCAAAGTTGGCCTGTTTTCTCCCCGGTCGGCGGCAGAGGAGACGGCGGAGTCTCGCTGGCAGGCGATTCGTGTCGCAGTTTGATGGAAAACACCAAAGAGGCAACATATTAAGTGGTCAGAATTGATGTTTTAAGAAAGCAAAACAACTTTCGAGATCAAAAGTTTCGAACCCGACACCTCCAGACTGCCCAGTGAGCACTCTGCCACTGCGCCAACCGGGCGGAGGCGCGGCGAACGCCAATGGCAATGAGAAGCTGGGTGTTCGCCATTCATTTTTGATGCAACTTTTACGGAATTTCAGCGCAAAAATGTGAAAATTTCAAGATGTTTGCCGGGCTGAAATTTTGAATAAATAGATGGATTTTGTAGAGAATTTCACGCTGAATCCGATTCCGTAGAGAAAAGCCGCGTGTTGGCTGTTTCCGACCTTCAAATTATCGAAAAACAAGAAATTCGGCCGAATGTGGTCTACTCAATCTAACACAAAATTTCTCCTAGGGGGTCTAGAGCTCTGAAATTTTATATTTGGGTTCTCAGAGAGTTTATCTATGCATTCCAAACATAAAAAAGTGGGGTCATCGCTGAAAATTTTTCGCTAACTTTTTTGGCACTTTGACGGTCTGAAAAACAATGTTTGCCGGAACGAAATTTGAATTTTATTTCAAAAACGGATTCCCCATCCCTTAAACTGTCAGAATCACTTCTCAAAAGCCGCGTGTTGCACAAACTCCGGCAACAGTGGCTCTCAGGCTAACTTCCATTTTCGTTTTCTCCTTTTTTTTAGAAAACTGTGCGTTTTCATGGAAAACGGAGCTGTTCATTTGATTCAGCATGTCCGATTACATAAAGTAAAACATTTTTAATATCGTACTTAGTTTGGGGACCTCGGTACAGGCCCTCAAACATGCGCGGCGCGACCGGGGAGAAAATTCGGCAGGCCACGCCCCCTTTGTTGCGCCCCCTAACTATAGATCGGCCGTATTTGTTCACGACTAGACTTGTGTCCCCGCGACAGTAGTTTTAGTTTTAGTTCATTTCGTTTTTCTTCCTCGATTTCCTTATTTTCCACATATAGTGCCTGAAATTGACAGCCTCCTCTTGAATTCAATCAAATCAGTTCTACTGTTCGCTTCCGCCACTTTTTTGAGTACTCGGCAAACAATGGAAGCTTGAGCACTGAGCTTTGGTGTTACTTTTCACGACGGTGTGTAGCAGTTTTTGATGACAATTGGCAAAAATCAAAAAGAGCTCAAGTTACATGGGTCAGCAGCGAATTCAAGTGCAATTTTGGAGTTTGGAGTGTCCGTCGGTTCGAATTACGTCGAAAATAGCTAGCGGCTAGTTTTTTTTCCGAAAGTTCATTAACTTTTTATGCCTTAATGAAAAATGAGTAAGTTATTGCTTGTTTTTGAGTAAATTGTCCGGAAACTAAAAAAATATGAGAACTTTGCTGTTTTCCTCAAATTTCCCCTCAATTTTTTGAGAATGAATCGACTAGACGATTCCAATTTTTAATTCGACCACTCCCCACCGATTTCCCCAATTTCACCGCTGTATTTTCCACTCCCACGAGGTCGAAAACAACACGGACTGTCTGGTTTATACTTCCCTCACGACGGGAAATCGAAAAATCAATTATTTCGCGCCGCTCTCTTCGATGTAAACTGACCAAAACATTGACACATTCTTACATTAGACACTTTGATCTTCGGCCTTTCCACCTCGACTATTGTATCCTTCTTCCTTCTTCGTCTTTTCTGCGAACAAAACGGATAAAATCAATCGAAACCACCCGATTCCGGTTCCGACCGCAACGTCATCTCACTTCTTTTTCCCTTTTTTCCGTAGGCCAGACCCCCCTATTTTCTACTCAAAAATGACCCTGTTTTCTTTTCTACTATTACACGTGTTTCCGGCAGCGGATGAATTGCTACTGCTCACTTTTCCTGCTCAGCTTTTTTGACCGCCACGGCTCAATGATTTTGTGCCTCTTGTGAGGTTCGGTGTCTAGGATAATTCCACACAGAAGTTTCATTTTAAATGGCTGCCTAAAGGTATTATTTGTAGTTTAGTACAAACCAAACTACAGAAAATACCTTCAGGAGGTCGTTTAAAAGTGAACCGGGAAATTTGGCGAATTCGGAGTCGTGTGGCTGAAATTTTCGGTTTTTTATAACTTCATGTATCTCCTTGACGTTAAGATTTCGCAACAAGTTTATTAATGGCCTAGTAATTATGTTACATGTTCCAAAAAGTGATTTTTCCAGTTTGGCGCGAAAAATTGGCCTAAAAACTGAAATTGTCAGAATTTGAAGAACATTACGCGTTATTTTTTTGATAGTCCGTTAAACCCGTCATTGCTCAGCTTCTGGCTCTTTCCTTACTTTTCTCGTACTTTTCTTACTTCTTTCGAACAATTTCCCTCATTTTGCAGGATGTTCCGGCATCTCTACATCGGTCTCATCAGTCTAATCGTGCTGACGGCCGGTCCGATCGAAGCTCGACGGGCGTCGAGCGGCGGAAGCCAGAACAGCGGCGGATTCTCGAGCCGCGGGCAGAGCGGATCCCGGACGGGCGTCCAGCAGGGAACCGGCGGATTCAACAGCAATAGCAATCAGGGATCCCATCAAGGAGGCGGCTTCCAGCCGAACCCGAACGTCCGACCGCAAGGGAACACTTTCAACAACCAGGGCGGCCTCCATCCGAACCCCAACCAAGGATTCCATAATACCAATAACGGGTAGGTGTTCAAGATCCTAAGTTGTAAAAAAAAGTGTTTCATTTGCAGATGGCGCCCGGGCACGGGACCAGGCTCCTCTGCGAGCAGCGGAACGTTCAAGAAGGCGCTGATCGGCGGAGCGCTCGGAGCGGCCGGCGGAATTCTGGCCTACGAGGCGGGCAAAGCGATCATTCAATCGGCGACGCAGCCGTTCAACTACAACGGCCGCAACTACAACTGGGACAATCACGGGCAAGTCGGGCGCGGACAGTTCCAGTGCTCGATTCCGCTGAGCCAGCTGACCGCACAGCAATCACCGACGACCACCACGACGACTACGACGACGACCGCCTCGCCCGATGGATCCACCAGCTCCACTGTGGCGCCAGTCTCGACGACACCCTCTCCGGATCAGGTTCTTCAAAATGTGAGCTACTAGAATATTATGTTTGTGGAAATTCGCGCGTTTTTATTCTCTTGTGCCAAAACGATTGCGAACATTTAAAAAGTTTCAAGGCTCAGTGCTGGAAATCCATGAAAAACATTATCTCGGCACTTTCAGATCCAATACGCTGACGGTTCGCGCCCGAAAACGATTGTGTGGACGTGCAAGTCGAGTGTGGAGGTGTGCTGCGGCACGGATTGTTGCCCGGCACCACCGGCCCAGAACACGAACGGCGGATCCAGCGGACACTCGGGAGGCTCGAGCGCCGGCACCATCGCCCTAATGTCCGTTTTTTCGCTTCTCATCCTTTGAAATGCCAGAAATGATGGGTGGTGAAGGTGTCTTTTGAGTAATTCTGATCACATTTTGTCCTTCGTCCGATCCGAGATGCGATCATAATAATAAATATGTGTAAATACCGCGACCGATTCAGGGACCAATTCAATTACGACTACAATGTTTGACAGTGTAATTTTTCTGGATTTCTCCCCATCCCTCCCCCGTTTTTTTGCCCTGATAACTCGTGGTTTCTTTTGTTTTTTTGTGTGTCACTTACTAATTCCTTCTGCATGTTTAGACCCAGTTTTGATGTGCAATTTGTTTTCTCTCGAAAAGCTCAAAAAGCTGCTTGCAGTGTTCTCGTCCTTCTGCTCCTCTTGTGCTGCGGCTGCTGCCTCGGCGCCTATTTCTGCTGCCGGTCCGTGTTCGATTGCGGAGATGATAACAAGAATAACCATTATCAAGGTAACGGAAGTTTCGCAACTGAAAAAATTTAAAAAAAAAAACGAAAATCTTGAAGGCCTGGACTTTTAGGCCACTCGTAAAAATCTGATCGGACCCAAACTTTGCAGGCATCTTGTACTTTGGTTAAAGTATATTGGGTTCGAGTTTCAGACCGATCGGATTATCCGGTCTCGAGATATGTAGATCGGAAAGGGCCGGGAAAATTGCGTAGATCTCGGGACCAGATAATCGGGTCGGTCTAAAACTTGGACCCAACACACTTCAACCCAAGTCCAAGTGGCCTGCAAAGTTTGGGCCCGATCGGATCAAAATTCCTGTCACGGAGTTATTCAGGAGGCGTTTTTACATGGCTGAATTGGGTTTGATGTAAAAATGGGTGTAAAAAGCCCCACTAGCGCCTGAGTTTTCAGTATTTTGTTCGTTTTTTCATAGCACCAAATGTTGCAGACGACTACTCTCAACAGCAACAGTACCAAATGCAAAACTATCCGCCACAGCAACAACAACAACAAGGACAATATTATCAGCCGCAGCAGGGATACCCGCAAGGGGGCAACTATTATCCGCCCAATCAATATCCGTCCCAACCCACTTATTAATTTTTTCCCACCTGAAACCACCACCCAAATCTGTGCCATCCCATGCTGCTGCTTTTTCACTTTTTAACCCTTTTTTTGGAGACCCTCCTATTCACAATTTCGCATATTATCCAACCAATTACCACACGTTTACGGGCAAAACCATTCGTTTTGATTGTGAGAATAGAGAAACAATTTTCGAATTTTATCATGTATCAACACCGTGTGGCACAAAAAAATGTTCGGGCGGGGGATAGCAAAAACCAGAAAAATTCTCCGAAAAAACCGTTCAACGGGCAAGGCGCGAGAGACAGGAAAAATGGAGGAGTTGAGGTGACCCGTTTGAGCAGTAAATCAGCGAATGTGTCCAAAAATAGATTATTGAGAAAAAAAGAACTGGGGGGCAGAAAAACAGAGAGAGAGAGAGGTACCAGCCTCAAAAAGTGTAGTACACACACATAGGTATACCCATAATTGAGAGGAGACCTCGCGAAGGGATGCGTGGGCGTGAGGAGGGCTGAGACGAAGAGAGAGAGAGAGAGAGAGACAATGAAATGAAATGCTAAGTGTGAACATGTTTTGTGCAAAAAATGAAGGTGTCAATTGCGACAAAATGGGTCTCGCCACGAAAATCTCTGGATTGAGACCGTGTCTTGGACTTTTGGGGACCACTCGCAATAATCCAATCGGGACCAAACTTTGCTGGCCTTTCGGACTTGCAAAGTTGTGGTCCAAACTTTGGCAATTCGTGACGAGACCCGCAATTTTGTACAAAAAAAAATTTTAACGCAGTGTTAAAATTGTGATAAAAATGGCAAAACTAAGCTGCAAAGCTACGGAACAATGAACAAACAGAAGCGAGGCGAAACAAACGGGGGGTAATTTAAATTGAGAACGGTGCTCTCATTGGGCCGTGATTTCGGGCGATTTCGACGACGATGCCACGTGGCATTGTTGCGGCGGCGACGGCGGCGACGACGTCGACGAGGAGACGGGCGCGTCCGGACAGATTCCGTGCGCGGAGAGCAGTTGGCGAAGGTGCCGGTTTTCCGATTCCTTCGATCCGAGCTCTTGCGCCAGCAACTGCGTGTCGTGGTCCCGTTCGAGCAGCTCTTGTGCCAGCTGAAATACGAGTAGGTTTAGCATGGTTTTTTGGCGGTTTTTTAAGGAAAAAAAAATCGAGAAACGGTAACGAAAAGGCGTGCAGCAGGCCTGAGCGAAATGGCTTTTCACAATTATCATCAATCTTGGCGTGGAGTGTGATTATCTAAACTAGAAGAAGCACGAGTTGCGAATCGCTAAATCTCCAGTTCATGCTATAATCCGCTGCAATGCGTGCGCGCGCGCGTGCTGAAACTCTCAAACTAGACACTCCTAGCCAAGATATGTCAAAAATCAAAAATCCTAAAGCTTTTCGCGTCAGCTCTGCGCAAAAACGGCAAAAAAATTGGGTGTTGGTTGGCCGCGCCCCCCCCGCAAGCTGTCAGGTCTTCTCGTAGCGGCGGCGGTCTGTGGCCGGGTGAACCCTTTTTAGTTGGTCGCCGGGGAACGACGATAATATTGTCCGTTCGAGTCGAGTGTGTGGCAGCAAATGCGCTTTGATGACAAGTTTCCACGAAACATTGCGTTTCACTGCAATCGCGCTCTGTTGAGAAACGCTTTTTGCACGGCAAATTGCAGTGGAGAACAACTAGAAATTAGTTCACGGCATTGAGAAACTCGGCCAGATTTGGAAGGCGCTACAACGAAATAGAACTCGAGTTCTATATCGTAACAGTGCATATTTGCTCACACTTGGCTCGGAGTGGTCAATAATAATAATAATCCTAGATACTCTCCAACAACTATCGTCCCCGGCAGTGTGTGGTTTTCGAAAAAGTGAGAGAGAAAAAGAGTGATAGAGAGAGAGAGAGAGAGAGTGTGAGAGAAAAAAAGAAAAATGATGGCGGGCAATATAAATGGGATAAAATGTGTGTGTGTATGGGATGGGAGAGTTGAATAATCGAGTCCAGAATCTGTGGGTCTCCTTCTCAATTCTTTCTCGACGCCTTCACAACCTGTGTCTGGTGTGTGTCTGTGTGGGTTTGTGTTTGTTTGAGAGGAGAAGAGAGCCCTGTGGACGTACGTGTGTGTTTGTGTGGACCTCGCTGGTTTTCTATAAGATTCGTACGTGGGTTCACTTGCTTTTTGCTACCTTTTTGGCTCCAGACTTACCTTTGAGAAGACTAGTATTTATTTTTTTAAAAAACCCCCCACTAGGAACGTTTACTGGCAAAGATTTGAAGGATTTTAGGCCATATCATTGTCAAAAGGTTGCAAAATAGTGTCACCTGAACAAGTCAGATCTTTGAGCATTCCGGAAAATTGGCCTTGAGCCAATTTGCACCTTTCGATTCTTTTTTCGTCTAGCAACAGTTTTGTTTGGGCAAATAAGGTTGATTTCGAAAAGAAACAAAACGTACAGCCAGTGCTCAAAAATGTTTTTACTCACAATCTTTGCCAGTAAACCGTTCGACCCGCTCCCGATTCCAAACACGATAAGCAACACCCGATTCGTACCTGCGACTTGGTCATACTTTGAATGCGTTCACGCTTCACTTCCAAATAGTCCGTCTCGAATTCGCGCTCCCGCTCGCGGTCCGCCGCCTCGTTTTCCTCGCCGGAAACGCTGCCGTCGCTGCTTCCGCACGCGGTTCCGCCCGTCGCGATCGTTGGCAACGTCGTCGTCGTCGTCGTCGTCGTCGGCTCGGCGTTCCGCGAAAAGTGCTCCAAACTTCCGCTCATCGATCGAATGCGTCGACGTTCTGCCGCCTCGAACTTTTGCTCGTTCTGTAAATCGACAGTATACATCCTAGTAGCTACATGAAAAATGTTTCTATGGACACGCCCCGTGGTCCCAAAATGACGGCAGAAAAGTCAGCGTGGAGGGGATACTTTATGCCGCGTCCAATGTCTCGGAAAAACCGTCAAAACCGCAGATTTTTCTGTCCAAAGTCGGCCGAAATTTGCGTGAAAAACGGGGGTGTGCGCACAGCTCAACGAATGTAACCGTACCCCTAAAACTACGGTATTTTTTGAAAATTTGTTAATTTATTGAGGTTATTTGAAAATATTCAAATTTAATGCGCAAATTTTCAAAAAATACCGTAGTTTTAGGGGTACGGTTACATTCATTGAGCTGTGCGCACCCCCGTTTTTCACGCAAATTTCGGCCGACTTTGGAAAGAAAAACCTGCGGTTTTTACGGTTTTTACCGACACTTTGGACGCGGCATTAAGTCATGTGTGAAAAGTCACAGATCGATAAGATCGGGTGTAACCACGTGCGGCTACCACGTACGAAAATATTGTCAAATGACATGAAAAGTGCGAAAAATTGTATGTGCGAAAGATAAAAACACGTAAATTTTCTTGTTAGCGATTTAAGAAAAAAAACCGAAATTGATGCTTTTCACATTCATTTCTATACACATGGGCGGCCTAACAATATAACACTTGTGTTCTATTATTCTATAGGAAGGGAAAACTATGGAAACGCAAAAAAAAGGAATATGAAATGTTCCATAGTTACGAATATGAGGCAGAAAATGCTTTCTAAAAAAGTTGGCTAACCTCGTACTCGACATCAGCTCTCGCTTCCCGATCATCCAGAAGGAACTGCGTGCTGTTCGGCGGAGCCATTCCGTATCTGAAAGCGATCGTTGAAGTAATAACATAGGGTGGGTGGTCCGGACGACTGACTCTGGACCCCAACGGATCGTGGACCGTGGACCTACCTGTCGCGCTTGTCGGCCTTCTTCCTCCTCTTCTTCATGCTCCTCTCCTCCTTCTCTTCATTTTCGTCCTCCTCGACGTATTCCGGCGACAAACCGTTGGGTTTGTAGCGAGTCGTGGTGCCGCCGCGCTTACGCCGACTCCGCCGAAGCCGTCGTTCGCCGTCGGACTCGCCGTCGGACACCGATCTCGCTTCCCCGCAACGTGCGTAATAATCGGCCATGATAGTAGGAATGAGCTCGTCGTGAGCGTTCGAACGAGCCCCACTTTGTTGGGGTTTCGTTTTCGAAACTCTTTTTGCGCTCCGGGTGCTACCGTATTTGAGCAAAAATGATGCGGGCGTGTATTCACGTCGTCTTCACACACACACACACACACACACACACACACAATGAGTGAGAGAGTGGCCGTGCGTTTCTTCTTCAGTGCACCAGCGCGCGCCTTCGTGCGACACACACCGATTGCAAACTAGAAAGATCGCACTGGACCGCGTCGCTATATATACCACGCGCGACCGCTACGCGTCGATTCTGCCGCACAACCAGCGCCGCCTCTCGTTCCCAGCCAGCGCGCACCGCGTTTTAAACCAGTTTTGCGTACCCTTACCGCTGACTTTATCCTCTTAAAACTATAGGGTGATGTAGAAGAAGTTACGGGCTTTCTAGCGGAATACAAATTATCCGGATTCTCTAAAATCTCGGTAAGTTTAAAAGTGTCCGCTCAGAGGGCTTCCGAATCGCCCGCTCTTCCATCGATTCGTGCACCGCCGTGCGGCCGCTTCTCGAAAACGGAAAACGCGTACGTTTCAGGCTCTGACTGTTGTTGATTTCTGCTCAAAAACCCGAAAAACGTGTAATAACCCGAAATCCTTGTGCTAAATCGTTTTCCTGACAAAAATTGCCTTTCTTCCCTCTCCTGGTGTGCTTATGGGTGTTTTTAGGTAGAGTTTGACGAAATTGCATAACAGAAGGATTGTAAGTTCAAAATCCACATTTATTTTTCATTCGTATGGTAAAAATAGTGAAAACTGTTAATTGCGAGGGTTTTTGGAGCAATCGGCGAAATATTTTCAGCGAAAAAGCAGTTTTCACTATTTGGTCATTCAGCGGATGTTTTTTAACGTTAAAAACACGAAAAAATCGTGTTTTCTTGAAAATATGCGAAAATCGATAAAATCTCGTTCCGTAGCCCTCTCTCCGATGACTCAAAACTTGTAATAGGCCCAATCGCGAAAAGTTCTGTGGTGTGCATTGGATAAAAACGGACGGGCGGCGGGGGGCAAAACCAATTTCGGTTCGGTTCGTCGCAGCAGCGCGAAAGGACGCTTCTTTTTCCGTTTTTGCACATAATTCCGACGCAGCCTAATGGGGAAAAGGTCGAATCGGCATTGCGAGAGACCTTTTTTTGTCTTGAATGCTGACGTCACTGTGAGATTGTGACAAAACAACAAAACGTGTCTCTGATAGCACATTGTTTTTCAAAAGCCAAAAATGCAGCACTTTGATGAGAGGTTCTCATTATTGATTGGTTTTGAAAATTTGAAAAATAGCTCCGAAAACTGTTCACCGTGGGAAACATTTGGCTTTGCTGACCTGTGAGAAAAACAAAACAATTGAAAAGTGTGTTAGTTAGCCGCGTCGTCACTGGTTAAATTTTTGAACGATCTTTGTGGTCTATTTTATCAATAGAGCGCACTTGCGGCACACACGTTTCAACTCGCCGTCCTTTTTTTGTCAAGCTTTGTCTGAAAATTTGCAATTTTTCGCACACCACCTGCAATTATTGAGCACAAAGCTCAAAAAATGCTTTAGCTCGAAAACGATTTTGGGGTTATTCAGTGTTTTTTACATTTCTGAATCGATATTAAAACATCAAAGAAAGAGAAAAAGTGTACACTTTTCCGATCTTCGTGACAAAAATCGGTAATCCGAATAACTTCCGTTGTTAGTTTTCAGGCTTTCCGAGGCTTGGACTTTTCACCCACTTGCAATAATTCGATTGGGACCAATCTTTGCAGACTTGTAAGACTTGGATTGGAGTTTATTGGGGTATTTCCTTAATTTCAAGTGCTTTGACGATTAATGTTCAGATGTATCGATTTATTTGCCGGCAAACAACCGATTCTTCGCTAGAGATATCCGAAAAGGCGAAACGTCCGGAAATTCATCGATAATTTCTCGGAAAAAAGGCGGACCGCTGAAAAACCTCTTTCCAATTTTAAAATTGAGCTGAAAAGTCTGTAAGCAGTCCCCACGGGTTTAGTTTCTCCGATTCGCCATCCGATTCCGGTCCCCTCGCATCCATCCATTCGCATATCTATGCAGCAGTCAGCAGGTCAATATTTTTCAACACTGTGCGCCCGGCGAAGTCTCTGCGTCTCGCCGTGTGTTTTCGTTCGTTCGGCCCTCCGAAATACTATGAAAATGTGAGAGACGCATTTCTCTCACAGTGAAGCATGGAATATTCAGTGTGCGGCCGTGAGTGTGTTTGTGTGAGCGAGAAGCAGCGGCGGCAACAGCCATAGGCCCCCGGCAGTCTAATAATAAAACGGCGAGTGTTGTGTTTTGGGCCGTACATGTTGTTGTTCTCGTATGAAAAGTCTGAATTTGAATACAAACACCAATTTGATCGCTCGAAGCTTAGTTTTCGGCGCCGCAAAGGTCTATCCTTTGAGAAACGTCCATCAGGCACAGAAAACAAACTCCAGACTGATAAAATTTTTTACGAAAAGCTACAAAAATGTTTTGACACTTGGCCGCTGCCTGGCCAACATTGACATTTTGCCTAAAATGTGTACAAAGTAGGTGTTGAGAGTCGAGGTGAGCAAATAAATTGCGAATAGGTGGCGTTGAATGCGTTGATGAGTTTTGCCTTGTTTCAGCCAGTGTTTCAGTGAATTTTTCTATAAAAATCGATAATGGGGTTATTCAGGCTGTGAAAAAATTGGTTTATTCCGTTTTTTTTTCGTTTTTTTACGTCAAAAACCCAATTCAGCGATGTAAAAAAACAAAAAAAAACGGAAAACAAACATACGCTGAATAGCCCCATAATTCAGTGAATTTTTCTATAAAAATCGATAATTCACTACTAAATCCTCTGTTTCTTTACAATTTCCTCGAATCGGTTAGCCCCTGGCCGCGTCCGAATGAATGTTACAGCGTAAATGTATAATATTCCCCCGTTGCGCGTCTCTTCGCTTCCTTCTCCTTCTCTCCTGATTGCAATGGATGGCGATGACGTCATCGGTGACCCGGGTAATCGGTATGCATATATTATGCATACATCTCTTCCTTTTCGACTTTCGGGAGCAGCGAAAAGCGAAAAAAGAGAGAAATGTGTCGGTGCGCTCGGCTCAAAATGCGTAGAAATACGAATTGCGCTTTTTGGAGAAAATCGATAATCTGGAAGTTTACTGAAAAAGTGTCTTCTTTCCTTGCCTTTGTTTCCCATTAACTTAAACACCGAATCCACGGGTTTTTGATGCGGAAATGCGCGGCCGGAGGAGGGGCGGGGGGGCAAGAAACGAAAACGACGAAAAAATGTGACTTTTCTCAATGATCACATGGAGCGGCAAATGCATCATTTTGAGGAGAAGAAAAATGAATGAATGAACGAGCGGGGGGGGTTTGTGGACAGAAAAACAACTGCAAAACTCGTCGAAAATAGCGCCAACTATAGTGTAATCCAGGCATTATCCAGTTGTGATACGAATCCGGAGCCACGTCACGATTTTGATCCGAATTGATCGCTAACGATGTTTGATCAGTCGGCGGGCGGGGGAGCCGAGCGGCTGTCAGCTGACTTTCCGGAAACATTTTCGAACACAAATGGGAACTTGAGCTGGACCCGAAAACGTGGAATTTGAGTTCATGGGCACTCTTATCGAAAATCGATTGGAGACGGTACCCAGTTGAAGTCCGGGAGGGTCCAACAAGCGTATGGAGTCGAAGCCGATTCATACTCGTTCTATGCGATACATACCAAGTGCGATAGACTTTTTATCGAGGTTCATAGAGCCGGGGGTGTGCGGAAGAATTTTTTCGGAAAATTTCTCGGAAAATTTTCTCCGCACACCCCTCGTCTACAATAGATTTGCAAACGGCGCGCACCCGTACGGTCGTTTCCTTCTCAATTTCATTCGTTCTTCTTTACAAACAGCTGTGTCTCTTCCGTCTCCCCCTCCCTCTCTCTCTCTCTCTCTCTCTCTCTCTCTCCCGACCACCAATTGTTGTCCCCCTTCTTTCTCTCCCCTTTGCTTCGTTTGTGTATGCGTTGATGATGGCATCGAGTAGTTACTCGGCCAGAAAGAGAGAGAGAGAGAGGCGGCAGACGCGCAGCCGAGGATCCGAGGAGGGGGCTTTGGAGAAGAAGAAGAAGAAGAAGGAGGGGGATGCGAAGGAAGAGAAAGAGAGAGAGAGAGTGTCTTAAAATAAGGGATGTCATTCTGCTGGAAATGTATTGAAAACGGCGAAAAAAGTGAGGGAGAAGACAGGCGATGCACCATGAGCGGGGAAAATGGGGGGAGACGCCTATAAATTGTATTATATCCAAAAAGAAATAACGATAAATCTAATCTTGACGATCATTTATAGACACAATTTATCGATTAATGTTTGGATACATTTGTTTCGTTTCCTCGTGCCCATTTCCTTTTTTTTCCTCCTAATTGGCCCCGAATACCAATTTTCAGTGAGTAACTCTCTCTCTCTCTCTCTTTCTAATCTTGTGAGGAGTCCCGTGACACACTGGCGCCAAGCTCCGCCCACTTTTGAAAAAGAGAGAGAGAAGGGGAGAAAAGCCGAAAAAAAAAGACGCAGACGGTGAGAAAAAAAGGTCTTCGGAAACACAGACAACTTATGGAGATGGATAGGCGCGCCGAGGGACGCGCACGAGGTTTTTCGTCTGTGTTCATCGTCGGATTTTGTTGAATGTTGGATTTTTGTTCAGGTTGCCGACCCATTGCGATCAAGGGACGTTTTGCAACCAAACGACACACACTTTGCACCTGAAAATCAAAATTTACAGCATTTTATTGAAGCACAATATCTAGTCCTGAAAAATGTCTGAAAAGATATTGTTGTGTTCTTTGATCGCTGGCTGGCTGGATGGTGTGTGTGACGTGGCAATGTGTAAAACTTTCAAATGGATGGGCAGAAGAAGAAGAAGAAGAGGAACAGATTTGATGATAAGAGCGAATGACAGTGATGATAACAAATCTTGAATCGGCGAAAAAGGGAGTTTGATAAGAAATGCGTGCTGGTGCTGAACACATTTTGAATAAAAAAAAGTTATGGGTGCAAAGAACGGAAACCAAAATTATTGATTACATTCGTTCAAATGTTCAGCTAGAACTTGTACTTTTGTACTACAATAATAGCTTCGAGTATTCATCAGAGTTGAGCGGAAACGGAATTTTGAAATCCGGAAGACGGAAGAAAATTTTTTTTTACGGAACACGGAAAACGGAAGAATTTTTTTTTACGGAACACGGAAAATGGAAGAATTTTTTTTTTACGGAACACGGAAAACGGAAGACGGAAGAAAATTTTTCTCCCGGAAGACGGAAGACGGAAGACGGAATAAAAAAATTCACGGAAGACGGAAGACGGAAGAAAATTTTTTTTACGGAACAGGGAATAAAATTTTTTTTACGGAAAACGGAAGACGGAATAAAAAAATTCACGGAAGACGGAAGACGGAAGAAAATTTTTTTACGGAACAGGGAATAAAATTTTTTTACGGAAAACGGAAGACGGAACAAAAAAATCTACGGAAGACGGAAAACGGAAGACGGAAGACGGAATTCCGCTCAACACTGGTATTCATGGACGTCTTCACTCTTTTCCTCGTATTTTTTGCGGCGTCCTGAAAAAAGTAAGTATGGCAGAGAAAGTGAAGTGGCATATCGGGCTAAAATGGACAGAAATGTGGGCCGAAAAGACCATGTGAAAAACAGTGAAATAGGCTCAAGCTTCTCGTCTCTCTTCTTTTCTTTCGACTCGAACTTTTGCATTATCGGCTCCTATTCATCCTCATCTGTCGCTGTCTTGCTGCCAATTTACACCTGAATTCATACCTCAACATCGATAAACGCTTCAAGAAGGAGCCAGCCAAGATTTTTCAGTGAATGCATCAAGATTCGGATTGCCCGCACCTCCACCCCGGCGACCTCTGAACCGAACGGAACCGAGTCAAGAAAAATGAGCTCGCAGTGAGAAGAAGTCTTGACCGCGGTTGCATATTTAGACAGCACATTCGAACGGATTCGTCGTTCCGCTTCAAAAATGATGGATAGAGAGGATGCATGTTATGATGATTTAGACTAAATAAATGATCACAGCGTTGCGAAATGTCGTCGATCGGATCCAGCATAGTTTCGGACACCTTCCTCACGTTTCGCCACCCAAAATCACAGGGTTCTCGACGAAAAAGTGGGAATGAAAGTGAGAGCAAACAAATTTAAATAGCAGTTGTTGTCGTTCGCCACGTCAGCAGATTTTAAAATTGAAGAAAAAGAGGCAAAAAAGCCGAAAATTGACAAATGTGTGAAAGGTTCGTTCGCAGAACCCTACAATATTTGAGGCTCGATCATAATAGCCGTTCAAAATGATAATGAGAACTTGAAGACGACGAAAAGCACTTTGAGGGCCCCGGCAGAGTTGAGCGGAAATGGAATTTTGAAATTCGGAAAACGGAAGACGGAAGACGGAAAACGGATGACGGAAGAAAAAAATCGTCAATGCAGAACGTTTTTCTCCGGTTTTTTTTTTTTTTGAAAAAATAACTAAAGCATCAAAAATTTTGGATCTGGGTCACTGCGCGTGGAAATTCGTGAATGGCTTCTGAAAAGCTGTTACTCTTTTACGGTAAGAAGAAAAAATCCCGGAAGACGGAACAAAAAAAACCGCGGAAGACGGAAGACGGAAGAAAATTTTTTCCTGGAAGACGGAAGACGGAAGAAAATTTTTTCCTGGAAGACGGGAGACGGAAGAAAATTTTTTTCTGGAAGACGGAAGACGGAAGAAAATTTTTTCCTGGAAGACGGAAGACGGAAGAAAATTTTTTCCTGGAAGACGGAAGACGGAAGAAAATTTTTACCCGGAAGACGGAAGACGGAAGAAAAAAAACCACGGAAGACGGAAGACGGAACAAAACCTTTTTTCCGGAAGACGGAAGACGGAATTCCGCTCAACACTGGCCCCCCCGATGAGGTACGATTTTTTTAAGTGAAGACGTAACTTTCGAATTTTCGTTTCGTCAGTACAAACTTTTCAGCGACATGCCTCTTTCAAGTTTCAAAACATTCCACGCTGAACAGTGATGCTCGCGGGGCGAAAAAAAAGAAGTTTCTCATAAATATGCCAATTCCAGTGGTGCCGCTCGCCTCCGTCCGATTCTCACTTCTCTCGTCAGAGTGTGTGTGTCATCTGGCATACACGTGTGTGTGTGTGTGTGCTACATATCTGACCTTGTCTTGTTCGAGTGTGCTCTGCCGGCGGTTCCCGGCGGCTCACGGATTTCAAACTGCTCCGCTTCAAACTATCCGTCCAGTCGGACCTTCTAATGGGCACCGCCAATCTCAATTCGTGTGAGTCTCCGCGAAATTCGATCCCCCCCTCTCCGGAACATGAAAAAAGTGTCGCCAGTTTGTATGAGTGGGGTTTGGAGTGTGTCGTACATAAAAGTGATCCTTTTTACATGAAAAGGATTACCTCACCCTCGCCCATCCGTCACTATTTTAACTCCGACGGGGCTCATGAAAAATCCCACTGTTTGCCCGTGCAAAAGTGCATTTCGAGCCTGAATTTGAGCCCCCGAAAATGAAAATGATGCTCCGTCGAGTTGTTATAAATAAAAAACAAGGAGCGAGTCGCTAAAATGGATGGCCATTCTTGTAAAAAAACACAACGAAATTCCGCGCTCGCTCCTAATTCGTTCTAGTTGTTCCGGTTGCAAAGTGTCGTGGCCCGCCTGGCAACCGCGCCTTGGTTGGTTGCAAAGTGTCTTAGTGATGCCCAAAAAATAAAAAAAAACAAAAAAAAAAGATCACCGAGTTGTCGCAAAAAGTGTCAAGTGAACTCGCTCTTTTTGTGTCCTATCAATCAAAAAAGTATCCGAGTAAAAGGGGCGCCCGAACATTTTCCATACTTTTTTTTGCCATCCGACGAACCTCAGCCTCACTTTTTTTTGTTTTTCGAGCAAAAGTGCACGGCCGGATAACTTGAGAAGGTGACGGGAAAATCGGAACGGAAAAACATGTCATTTTCGTTCAAAATTTCGTGTTTACGTCACTTTTTTTGTGGTTTTTAGTCGGGATTTTTGAATTTCAATTGCGTGTGTGTGTGCGTGAAGGGTGTTTTAGCACAAATAATCGATAGTTCTGGAGATACAGTGGTTCAAAGGTGAGTCTGTTTGCGATTTACCGATGATATTTGAGCGTATAACTTGAGAACAACGCGTTTTTCGGTGAAATGCTCAACTACAAAGTTGTAGAGCATAAAATTTGCTAAATATTTTCTGTTGACAACATTTTGATATGATCATTAGTTCCCGAGATACAGGGGTTCAAAGATAAGGCAGTTGGGTTTCTAGTGATGATTATTCAACTGTCCATAACTTGAAAACAAAGAGTTTTTCGATAAAATGATCAACTACAAAGTTGTAGAGCATACAATTTCCTAAATATTTTCTGTTGACAACATTTTGATATAATCATTAGTTCCCGAGATACAGCGGCTCAAAGATGAGACAATTTTTGAGCTCACTAGTTTTAACATTTAGTGATACATTGTGGCAAATTCGTTGACCGATCACTTTTGCAACCAAATGAGCACCTCTTTTCTGAGCCACCCGGAACCGATTTCCCTTCCTGTTCATCCAAAAAGGTCCAATTTTGTCGCAGCTGGACACCTTCCGGTTTCTCCTTAAAAACTTTCGCCGCACCGCCCATTTCGAGGCCATTCTTCTCGGTTTGATCGGTCGCTCGAGCCTTCCCCTTAGTTATTATCATTCTTATTATTATTATTATTATTATTATTACTATTACTTTTCCTGCCACCCCTCTCGCCCATTGCTTATTCGATTAACAAGAAGAAGAAGAAGAAGAAGAGGGCTCTCAGTGGCCAACAAACATTTGTCTGGAAACAAACCAGCGATGAGCCAGTTGTATCCGACCAAAAACTCTGCGAAATGTGCGGTTTCAGCTGCCGCACAAGTTATGCTTCCAGGTAATGTGCCAACTTTGAAGCCCGGTATCTCGAGAACTAAACGTTATTCAAAAATGTTGTCAACTGTGAATATCTAGGAAATTTTGTGCTCTACAATTTTGTAGTTGACCGTTTTATCTAAAAATGCTTCGTACTATCAAAACTTTCCTCATCTTTGAACCCCTGTATCTCGAGAACTAATGGTTATTCCAAAAAGTTGTCAACTGAAAAATTATCGCAAATTTTGTGCCAAACAACTTTGTATTTAACCATTTCCGTCCATACTCCTTACTTTTCGAGTTGTACGCTTTTAAACGCCACCATCTTCAATAATCTTCATCTTTGACCCAACGCGTCCATTTTCTGTCTCGAAACTTTGTGCTGCACTTTGAACCACCCTCTATTATCCAATTATGTGCCAAAATCTGTGACCTTTGCCCTCCGCCTCGAGTCTAGCCGCCTTCGAAAAGCGAAAAGTGGTGGGAAGAGAAGAGTCTGCAAAAAACGTCGAGAAGAAAAATGATAGTTTTTGTGGGTGGTGAGGGGGGAAGAAAAATGAGACATACATCACGTTTTCACACTTTTCAAATGAAAAATATGGGGGACAATTGCAATGACGTGAGAGTCAGTGTTGAGCGGAATTCCGTCTTCCGTCTTCCGTCTTCCGGGAAAAAAAAAAGTTTTCTTCCGTCTTTCGTCTTCCGGGAAAAAACGTTTTCTTCCGTCTTCCGGGAGAAAAAGGTTTCTTCCGTCTTCCGTCTTCCGGGAAAAAATTTGTCTTCCGTCTTCCGTCTTCCGGGAAAAAAAAATTGTCTTCCGTCTTCCGGGAAAACATTTTTTTTCCGTCTTTCGTGAAAAAAGGTTTTCTTCCGTCTTCCGTCTCCCGGGAAAAAAAAAGTTTTCTTCCGTCTTCCGTCTTCCGGGAAAAAAAGTTGTCTTCCGTCTTCCGTCTTCCGGCAAAAAAAAAGTTTTCTTCCGTCTTCCGTCTTCCGGGAAAAAGTTTTCTTCCGTCTTCCGTCTTCCGGGAAAAAAAAGTTTTCTTCCGTCTTCCGTCTTCCGGGAAAAAAAAGTTTTCTTCCGTCTTCCGGGAAAAAAAGTTTTCTTCCGTCTTCCGGCAAAAAAAGTTGTCTTCCGTCTTCCGGCAAAAAAAAAGTTTTCTTCCGTCTTCCGGGAAAAAAAGTTTTCTTCCGTCTTCCGGGAAAAAGTTTTTCTTCCGTCTTCCGTCTTCCGGGAAAAAGTTTTTCTTCCGTCTTCCGGGAAAAAGTTTTCTTCCGTCTTCCGGCAAAAAGTTGTCTTCCGTCTTCCGGCAAAAAGTTTTTCTTCCGTCTTCCGGGAAAAAAGTTTTCTTCCGTCTTCCGGGAAAAAGTTTTTCTTCCGTCTTCCGTCTTCCGGGAAAAAAAAGTTTTCTTCCGTCTTCCGGGAAAAAAAGTTTTCTTCCGTCTTCCGGGAAAAAAAAGTTTTCTTCCGTCTTCCGGCAAAAAAAAAGTTTTCTTCCGTCTTCCGGGAAAAAAGTTTTCTTCCGTCTTCCGTCTTCCGGGAAACATTTTTTCTTCCGTCTTCCGTCTTCCGGCGTCGTCGTAAATGATCTGGACGACCATTTAGGGCCATCAAAATCCCCCTCTGTTCCTTGAATGTTTCGGAAAAGCTTTGGTGCCCATCTCAAAGTCGGTACTTGATGTGTCAAGTGTCAAGTGACAATGTCAACGTCACAACATGCCCACTTTTGATTCGTCTTTCCCCCAAACCAATCCGGCCGTCTGAGAGCTATCCCAATTCCACAAATTATTCATGTGCGCGATGATGTAAGTGATTTTCTCGACTTTTCGAATAGCGTCACGCGACGAGTTCTTCTTCTTCTTCTTCTTCTTTTTCCAGTTAGCGAGCCCCGAAGAGTGCTCTCTAATTGGTCAAATGAGCACGAAAATAGAAGCTCCTCCCTTCTTGCTTTGGCTCCCGCTCCGGCTCCGTTTAGTGTTCGTTCGTTTCCATCTGATATACTGGATACATTCAGTTCATCCCTTCTCCTTCTCCTTCTTCTTTGCCGACAATCTCTTTCTTAGTTGAGGAAGAAGAAAAAAAAACATGTGTAAGTTTGAGATTCACTCCAATTTTGATGCGATTATAGATCTATATAATGTTTGTTGGGCTAGCAAATTATAGGCAATGACGTCTTGTAAACACATAAATTTGTTCAGTGACTTCTAATGCATATTTCATCTGTTTGGGCCGTTCAAACAGCTATTTAGAGCTTTTAGAATCGATTGTTGAGAGAATTTTAGTAAATTCTATGTAAAAGCATTCATTTGAACCTAAAAACTACTAATGCCGCGTCCAATGTCTCGGAAAACCGGCAAATCTCGCGGATTTTGCACTCCAAAATCGGCAGAAATTTGCGGGAAATCCGGGGTGCGCACAGCTGAACGAGTGTTACCGTACACCATAAAAACTCTACGGTATTTTTTTGAAAATTTACAAAAAAATTCTCGAGAAATTTAAATTTTTTTCAAAAAAATACCGTTGAAAAATTTATCCATGAAATTTGAAAAAAATTGCAAATATTCTCGAGAAATTTAAATTTTTTTCAAAAACCGTTGAAAATTTACGCAAGAAATTTGAAAAAAATTGAAAAATATTCTCGAGAAATTTAAATTTTTTTCAAAAAAAATACCGATGAAAAATTTACGCAAGAAATTTGAAAAAAATTGAAAAATATTCTCGAGAAATTTAAATTTTTTTCAAAAAAAATACCGTTGAAAAATTTACGCAAGAAATGTGAAAAAAATTGCAAATATTCTCGAGAAATTTAAATTTTTTTCAAAAAAATACCCTTTGAAAAATTTACGCAAGAAATTTGAAAAAAATTGAAAATATTCTCGAGAAATTTAAATTTTTTTCAAAAAAATACCGATGAAAAATTTACGCAAGAAATTTGAAAAAAATTGAAAATATTCTCGAGAAATTTAAATTTTTTTCAAAAAAATACCGTTGAAAAATTTACGCAAGAAATGTGAAAAAAATTGCAAATATTCTCGAGAAATTTAAATTTTTTTCAAAAAAATACCCTTGAAAAATTTACCCAAGAAATTTGAAAAAAATTTCAAATATTCTTGAGAAATTTAAATTTTTTTTCAAAAAAATACCGTTGAAAAATTTACGCAAGAAATGTGAAAAATTGAAAATATTCTCGAGAAATTTGAATTTTTTCAAAAAATACCGTAGTTTTATGGTGTACGGTAACACTCGTTCAGCTGTGCGCACCCCGGATTTCCCGCAAATTTCTGCCGACTTTGGACAGAAAAATCTGCGATTTTTACGGTTTTTCCGAGACATTGAACGCGGCATTAAATAGAGGGATTTTGGACAAAAACTGGCCGATGTGTGATCAACAATCCCAAAATGAGTACACAAAAAGATGGTGGTGGCAAGTAATGCGCGCACTAACTCACCTGATACCAATCTTTTGACTCATTCCCGGCTCCCCGTGGAGCCATTTTAAAAAAGAACGAGACTGAGAGTTTCTTTGGGCATGCATACTGGGAGGGGAAAACGGAATTGGATTATGAATTGAGCGAGAGAAGAATGGACTCACTTTGAAAAAGTGTGTCCATTCTTCTCTGTCTGACTCTCAACTACTCCACTCCAGAGTTGAGCGCAAGAACACGGGGAGAATTTTTTTTAATCTTTTTTAGAAAATTTTTTCATGAAATGTGATCAACTGACGAAATGTATAGCAAAGTGAACTGTGCTCATAGAAAAATAATTGTAAATTTAGCTTTTCATACAAAAAAGTTATTCAAGTTGTTCCGTGAAAAAGAGGGCTAACGGAACAACTCGAATAACTTTTTTGTATAAAAAGCTAAATTTACAATTATTTTTCAATGAGCACAGTTCACTTTGCTATACATTTCGTCAGTTGATCACATTTGATGAAAAAATTTTCTAAAAAAGATAAAAATTCTTCCGGTAAGTTCTTCCGCTCAACTCTGCTCCACTCTTTTCATTGTTTTTGAAACCGACAATATCAGAATCATGTTTCAGACTACGAAATGTACAAAATCCATCGTCAAGGCCAACAACAACAGCAGCAACAGCAGCAAGCGAACGGGACCGTCGGCAGTGAGGAGACGAAGAAGCTGACGAAAAAAGTGAGCGTTTGGGGTGATTTATCAAGGGACCACGGGTCATCCGCATCCGCATCATCCTCATCATCATATGTGCCCCGGGTCTCGAATTACCACGCACTTCACCAAATTGGTCCCCGGCAGCTCGGCTGGTCGCGCCACTTGTCGAAGTGCAAACTTTTCACTACTTTCTTTTCTCAAAAATTCGAAAGTATGAAAACTTTCTTAGGCCCCTAACTTATTAATGGCCGTTTTACACCGCTTTCGAAAACGCTTTCATAAAAGAAAAGCGCTTTGCTCGTCGTATTTTCTTTGCTCTACATTCCACGTCAATTCAAAAACTCGTTTTTTTTTCAAAGCTGCTCGTATATGAACGCATTTTTCGAGTATTTTGATGAGAACGGTCTACCGCCGTCGAAACAAGTCAGCGCCAAAAAAGTTCGGTTCGATTTAGACAAGGTATATCATTTAAGTTGATCTTATGGGAGTTTCAAGAAAAGTAATTCTTGAATGTGGTCCCCACAGAACCGGTTTCAGAAGTCGAAATCGCCGCTCGACGATGAGGACGAGGAAAAGACGAAAGTGAAAGTGGCGACGATTCGGATTGAGGACGACGAGGAGGATGAGAAACGGCGGATGGAGCGCAAAAAACGGACCCAGGAGGATATGGTCGCCGATTTTGTGAAAATCCTCGAGCAAATGAGTGAGTGACTTCACTTTGAACCTCCGTATCTCCTTTCATTTTCAAGATTTTCGGTTGATTAAAAAACAAATCGAAAGCTGATTTCCTGCTCTACAACTTCTAGTTGAACTTTTTTCACCAAAATGCATGTGAACTGCGATATTTTCACTTTTCTCGTACATTCTCGTTCTGAGACGCTCCTGCGCTTCCTTGAAAAAACCAAAGTAGAGCTGACAATATGGGCGTGGCCTCGGCGGCCAAAAGGCGTTTTCATGAATTGAGCAGGTTTTCTCTGATTTTTGTGCTCAAAGGCGATGAAAAATGATTGTTCGACATGAAAACACACTAATTCTCTGAATTAATGAGGTTTTTGCGCATTTTTCGCGGACTTTGTTTTTTCGCATTCGCCGCCTAAAAACCGCACTTCTCATTTTGCGCTTTCTTGACCGTTTTCAGACAGAATTGGTTTTGAGAATGATAAATCACGTAAATACAAGCATTTTGAGCGCTCGAACCGCGAAAATTACCGAAAAGCAACTGAAATTCACGCAGTTTTAGCGAAAAACCTTCAAACGGATAAATGTGATTTGCGACTTGACGCTCTTGCGCTTAAAAAATTCGTAATAGCCTATAAAATCGGTCTATCGAGAGAGACAAATGAGAAATTATCGATTTTTCGTGTGGCTAATCTGGTAAAAAACACAAATTTTGCTGTTAAAATTTGAATTTCGCGCCAATGTATCGCTCTATTGGGCGGGGCGCCGCACTTGCGTCCATTGTCAGCCCTGGAGACCGTGAGCACAACAACATTTTCTATCAAATCACGATTTCAGTGAACCCCCGGCAAGCGGTGACCTCGATAATCTCGGCGGCGATGGGAGTGGCGGCGATCACAGTGGCGCTCGTATTTTTCGGAAGCCTACCCGAAAGTGCCGTCAACGCAAAGCAACTCGTCATTATTCTCGCGGTCTATGGTAGGTTAACGCTAGCTGCTCTTCAATTAAAAAAAAACATTTAAAAAATATTCCAGGAATACTGCAAATCGTGCTCGCCACCGCGTTCTTCATCACGTGCATGCAGACGACAATCGCCGTGTCGAAGGGTGTCAAAGACGCCTTTCAAATTGTGATCGGCCTTTTGGTGGCGCTCATCTACGTGGCAGTCACGCTCATTTCGCTCGCCGTCGGCATTTTCGGTACGGCTTTTATTGTATTACGGAAATGCGAAAAAGCAATCGCTTGCAGGCTTCTACAAAACGCTGTGCATAGTCTCGTTCGTCGAGTACGACGATCTCGAGTCGCAATTCTACTGCCCGCCGCCCGTTTTCTATACATCTCTCACCGTATTCATCCTTCATATCGTTCTCATTGTCGCCAAGTGCTGCTGTTGTAAATAATCGTTTAATAAAAGTGTACGTGATATCACGGCGACCAACAAAAAAAAACGTAGAAAGGGGCGTGGCCTAGCGTGCACGGTTTTATCACCATTTTGGCGCGAAATTCGAAATTTAACCCCATTTCTTCATGTTTTTCGTCAAAAATTACCCAAATTTTGTACGATTTCGACAATGCAATCGCATAACTTTGTTAAACTAATCATCGCGCGCACTTTTTGAGCCGAAAACGAGCAGGTTTCATTCAGAAATGAATCAATTGATGCGATTTTCAAGTTTTGTGCTGAAAATGCGCGAATTTCAGTCATTCGCCGATACTTTTTGCCGTCTGAACGCTTAAAATACTTGTATTAACGTGCTTAATCACTTCCGACACTCTCTTCGTCTCAAAACTATTCAGATCGGCCGGTATGAAAGTTCCGAAATTGCGAAATATGCCAAAAACGTCTCAAACGCGGCGTTTTCACGAAAATTGCAATGTTTTCTCTCTTTAATGTCTCTTCTTTCGTCGATATCAACACACAAAAATATCGGAAAAGTGCTGGAATTGCGGCAATTTTCAGAAAACGCGTCTCAGATTAGGCCACGCCCCTTTCTACACTTTTGGCCGCCTCAGCGCTGAGCCCAAATCTGGACATTTCTGGCCATTGTTTTCAGGACACCTCGTGTGTAGAGGAAAAAACAAAAAAGGCCGCACAGTTCAATGCAATATTCATGTTCGAGGAAGCAATTAGTCAAAGAATTCTCGTTTTCACGCAATCGGATCAAGCGTCGCTTCCCTCCTCAGTCCGATGCATGAAAGATTTGCGTCGCAGGTGCTCGTTCTCGGCGACCAACTTTATCAAATGTCGCTTAATATCGTCCGAACTCGAATCCGTTCCCTCCAGCCACTTTTGCACGGCGCTCGTCGCCTCCAACTCGGGCTCTTGGAGCAACAATGACGAGCTGCCGGCGTCAATCCAATCTTCTTCGCCGCCACTGCTTTCCTGTCTGGAAAACATTACGTTTCGATGTGTTGAAACAATGCAAAAAAAGGCGCACCCGACGAGCGCTTCGGCCATTTCCGTCGCAAATTCCACGCCTCTCTTCACATTCTTCAATTTTTTCATCGATTTCCGCGTGCCCTCGTCGTCCGACTCGAAGCCCACGTGCATCGTCGTGTTCATCTTGCTCTTCACCGATATCACACTCTCGTTCGACTTGCTTTTTCCGATTTTCTGCAACAAACGTGTGATTGTTCGCCCGCCACGGCGACGAAAAGTGTAGAAAGGGGGGCGTGGCCTAATCTGAGACGCGTTTTCTGAAAATTGCTGCAATTCCAGCACTTTTCCGCCATTTTTGTGTGTTGATATTGACGAAAGAAGACATTAACGAGAGAAAACATCGAAATTTTCGTGAAAACGCCGCGTTTGAGACGTTTTTGGCATATTTCGCAATACGCTCTCCGCGGCCAATCGCCGCCGCAATTTCGGAATTTTCATACCGGCCGATGTGGATAGTTTTGAGACGAAGTGAGTGTCGGAAGTGATTAAGCACGTTAATACAAGTATTTTAAGCGTTCAAACGGCAAAAAATATCGGCGAATGAGTGAAATTCGCGCATTTTCAGCACAAAACTTGAAAATCGCATCAATTGATTTATTTCTGCTATGAAACCTGCTCGTTTTAAGCTCAAAAAGTGTGCGCGATGATTAGTTTTACAAAGTTATGCAATTAAATTGTCGAATTCGGACAAAATTTGGGTAATTTTTAACGAAAAACATGAAAAAAATGGGGCTAAATTTCGAATTTGGCGCCAAAATGGTGACAAAACCGTGCACGCTAGGCCACGCCCTTTTCTACGTTTTTGGTCGCCGTGCGCCCCGCAAAATGATGAATGAATGTCTTACAATCTGAGGTTTGAAGTTGATGGCCGGCTTCACCTGGAACGCCCATCCCATCACTTTATCGAGTGCCGGCATTCCGATGGTCATTTTCGAAACGGATTGGAGCACAAAGAAGTAGGTGAGCCACAGGCCGGCCTTCTCTCTCAACGCACCGCCGATCGGAGCGATCCCCGAGCCTTTCGTCTTGAAATGTTTGAAAACGGCGAGGGAAACGGAGAAGACGATCACGTAGGCGAGATAGAAATGGAAGAGGAAGAAGGCGACGAGCACGTCGATCGGATGCTCCACCGCCGACGGAACCACACGACGCACGTAGCCAGTGTACACCGAAAAGACGTCGTCGAACGAGATTCCTGAACAATTTCCCGGTATTTTTGACGAAAATTGCGGTCATTTGCTTGCCATTTGCCAGAGTTCGCGTGCATCTCACGGCCACCTCTTTTCCAGTCTTCCACAACGACCGATCCTTGAATTGAACGTTCATGCCGCACAAAAGTATTGATTTTCGCGGAACAAACATATGTACGACCCATGTCGAAAGGGATCACGTAGAAAAAACGAGGAAAGTATGAATGTCTATTTATTGAAAGAATTGAGAACAATCGAAGAGTACAAAACAAAATTCCTGAATGAGTTAGATGTGAAGGGCAGTGTTCCGAAGAAGTATTGTACAGTTCTGACTACTTTCTGCGCACTGTGCCGTCCTCGAAAAAGACGCCGCCGTCGATGGAGCAGTACTTGGGGCAGACGCCCTTGACGCCGGCGCCGCCCGCGTTTCCGGCACGTCCTGGTTGTCCGGGGTGTCCGTCTGGTCCTGGTCTTCCCGGCTGTCCTGGCGCTCCCTTTGGTCCTGGTGGTCCGGGCCGTCCGCCGCCCGACGATCCCGGTTGTCCGGCGGGTCCTGGCGGTCCGCGTGCGCCTGGCGGGCCTGGTGGCGCGACTCCTCCGCCGTAGCCATGCGCGTCGGCTCCCGGCTGTCCTGGCGCTCCTTGTCGTCCCGGTTGTCCGGGCCTTCCCGCCGCTCCCTTTTGTCCTGGTGGTCCTGGTCGTGGCGCGGCGCCTCCTCCATAGGCAGCACGTCCCGGCGCTCCGTCCGGTCCTGGCAGTCCTGGCGCGCCGGCGGGTCCTGGTCGTCCGCCAGGGCACGGTTTGCATGGAGCCGGAACGACCGGATGACACGGTCCGCTTCCCGCCTTTCCAGGGTTTCCCGGTTGTCCCCACGCTCCTGGCGCTCCCGGGCGCCCCGGCTTTCCGGGGGTTCCAGCGGCTCCCGGTGGTCCCGGACGGCAGCACGTGTTGCATTGGCTTTGCTGCGGCGGCGGTGGTGGTGGCGGCGGCTGCGCGTATCCTCCGTATCCGGCGTGACGGGCGTTACGAGTCGAGTTGGCGCCACTCGAGACTGGGGTCGTGGCTCGAAGGTAGTTGACCTCGGTGAACACCTCGTCGGCAGAGTGCTTGCAGAAGGCGACCTCTTGCGAGAGACGCGTTCGCATGCCCGACACGTAGTTGTACACCATCGGCATCGTGATGCATACCTGGAGGTCAATTTGTCAGTCTATGGTATCTAAGACCTATGCTACTAGTGTAAACCTATGATATCTACAATCCTAGTACCGAAAGCACAAAAACGTACCGAAATGACGGAGAGAACGCATAGAGTGACAGCGGAGAAGGCGACAAGGCGATACGCCTTGAGCCGCACGTCAATGTCCATCTTCTCCATCGTCTTCTTCTTCAACTGCTTCCTTCCGTCAACTTTGTCCTTTTATACCGCCGCCGCGCCAAACCGTTTGGTTAGCATCTCGAGTGACGTGTGTGTGTGTGTGTGTCTCCGGCCGCTCCGTAATGTCTCTGCGTTCCCCGCCCTCTCGCCACAAAACCGACAAAAGTCATGGTCATTTCGATGAAAACAGTTGATGTTTTGGAGAGAAGATGTAAACAGAAAACAGAGAACACGGAAAGGTGCCAGTCCAGTGCCGTCGATAAGGGAGGAAGAAGGAAGTTACGCCGGGAGAGCGGGGGGATAAGTTCCTGGTTTTTTTGTTTTATCCTTGAACTCATGATATCCGCTTGTTTTCGTTGCAAAATCCCTAAAGAGTCAAAGTTCACCAAAACGATGTCTGACTTGATGATCTGATTTGGTTCGTTCGCCGAATGTTTGGCTGCCAGATCAGATGAGAGCGATCGAAAAAACGGATAGTGGTGATGATGTTGTGGCGTATAGACCTTCATTTTTGAAGAGCTACTGTAGGCCTATATGGCGTTGTACAAAAAAGTTGTAGCGGCCGTTGATTACTTCAATTTTGTAATTGACAAGTTTTCTGTAAAACTACTCCGTAAGCTAGTGTAGCTCTCGAAACTTCCAAGCGCTACAGTAGGCTTCGGAGTAATTGTATAGAAAAATTGTCAATTACAAAATTGTCGTATATTTTGAGTACTTTAACTTTCTAGTTGATCGCATTTCTGTACAACCACCCCCTGAGGTACTGTAGCTCCTGAAAAAGTCAAGTACTAGATGTGACGTTTTCACAAGAACATTCAAACTTCTAGCTCGACTTTTGTCGGTGACTTTTTCAATTTCAATTCAAAACTTGGCTAATTCAAATCGAATCAACTTTCTCCCGTTTCCTCGACCTCTTCAGGCCAGACGACGTGCCTTCCCAAATTGGAATCGACTTTGTTTTCCCAAAAACAGTTTAGCAGCAGTTGTTTACCGGGCGGGCGGAAGGTTTCAACGATCACGGAAGGAGGAGGTGTCCTTCACAACCGAAAATCGGAAGGAAGGAATCACTTCCTCGCTTCCTTTTAATTGTAAATGTGTGCGTGTGCGTGATAACGGTGTTTTTGGCATAAAATCGGGTGGAGGAACACGAAAACTTGACCTGATTCGAATTTGAATGCGAAAATGGCGAACACAACATTTTAGGCGGCCCTGCGAAAATCTATCAAGTAAGAGGGGTTGTGTAAGTTGAGCCTTTTATTGATCTAAACGCGACCTAATTAGATTCGACTGTTTTTTCTTAGCGCAATCGAGATTTGAGCCAGCAGACGGTTGGCGTGAAACTTGATTTGAGAGCACTTATTAATCTAGCTAGAAGATTTATTAATCTAGCTAGACAATCTAGCTAGATAACTCGAGAAGACTACGATCAGATTAATAACGAAATGCCAGAGCGAAGCTGGTTGTGACATTGGTACTCTGGCATTTCGTTACTAATCTAACGGCGGCCTAATAAGATTGATATGACACCTAATTAGATTTATAAATTGTCTAGCTAGATTAATAAATCTTCTAGCTAGATTAATAACTTGTCTAGCTAGATTAATAAATTGTCTAGCTAGATTAATAAATGTTCTAGCTAGATTAATAAGTGCTCACAATCAAATCAAGTTTCACGCCAACCGTCTGCTGGCTCAAATCTCGATTGCGCCAAGAAAAAACAGTCGAATCTAATTAGGTCGCGTTTAGATCAGTAACTTTCTAATTAGATTAATATCGAATTGCCAGAGTATTGGTATGAAACGTCGTGGAGCCGAAGTTAGAAAAAAAATTCTGGCTTTGACCCTAATTTAATTTTTTACACATGTCTTGCTGGTCCTTATGGGGCTATTCAGCGTATGCTTGTTTTCCGTTTTTTTTCCGTATTTTTACATCGCTGAATTGGGTTTTTTGACGTAAAAAAACGGAAAAAAAACGGAAAAAAAATCATTTTTTTCACAGCCTGAATAACCCCATTACTATTAGAATAGCATCACATGATTCCGCTAAAGTTCAAAAACGTTGGTCTCGCCTCGGCCAAAGTTTTCCGAACCAAACCACAACAATTTGTTTCTCGTAGTTGCAAACAAAATTCCCAGACCGCGCGCGCGCGCGCGCGCAATTCGGTTCGAATTTGCGGAATACTTCGTCAAGAACATCATCAAGATATATCAGATGGCATTGAAACTGGTTGTTCGGGGTTAGCGGCACAAGACACATCCCGGCAGACGATTTTTCAAACTTGGCAGCTATCATCGACCCGATCGCCACAAATTTTGTCCTACTGACATCACTACTCTTCTCTTCGTTAGATGATGATTGTCGATCGGTTGGTTGGGGAGTAGGTAGTGAAAAATAGTGGAAAAACACGGGACAAATTGGATGCGAAGTTCATCGGGAAGGCGACAAAATAAGGGGGATGCGCGCTTTCGAATCACCCGCCGCATTTCTCAATTTCACCGTTGAACAGAGGGCAAGTGGGAAACATGAAATGCGGGATTTTTCAATTGAAGAACCAGCAAAAAGGTGAGAAATGTGGAGTATGCGCGGTTTTGCAAAATGTCAGTTGGAATGAGAAATGCGCGGCGGGGTTATTCCAGGGAAATGAGGAATGAGGATCTGAATACATATGTAAAATGGATCACAAGCAGCAACAAAAAAAAATAGTTATTCGTCCATTTCAAATGGATTTTCTTCGCCATCGTCTTCGCTTTCACTGTCTTCCTGCCATCTTCCGTTCCCGCCGATAAAAACGGGCGCCTCATTTTCCGAGTCATCCTGTCCGTAGTGCGGCGTTCCGTTCCGGTATCCGTTGCGATTGTAGAACGAGCCGGTCGTCGAGACGGATTCGGCGTCGTCGAAATCCTCGTCGTCGACTAGCTGCCCTTCTTCTTCTTCTTCCTCCACCATTCCCTCTATTCCCTCCATCTCCTCGTCCATTTTCTCGTTCACCGCCGTCTGATATTTGTGATAGATCGATGTGAGGTGGCCCAAATTTTTGAAGCAAATAATCGAGTGGTAGAGGGCGAGGAGGCTGATCGGCAGGAACGAACGCACGCTCGTTCCGTCGCGCATTTCCGACATTTCCTGGCGCAAACGGATCAGATGGTGGAGCACTGGACCGCAGGATCGCTGAAATCAGAAGCTTTACAGGAATTTTTGTTCCCCCCACCCAAAAACTGACCGGCTGCGAGTAGTACATGACGCCGGGCTCTCGATATTCCACCGATTTGTACACCATGTACATGAGAACGAACATGGAGGCGGAGAGGCGCGAAAGGTACAGAGGGGCCGTCGATTCGCCGGCCAACACCAACGTCAGCGAGTACACTTTCTGCAAATGGCGGGTTTTGAAAATCGCGGGGAAAAAAATCGATAAATCGTACATTGACGAACACTTCGTTGAGCAAAATGATGACGTGTTCGATCGAGATCGACTCGTGCATTTCGAGTTTGTAGTGCGTTTTGCCCGGATCCGAGGTGTTGTCGACGAGCAAATGGTCTCGCCACGCGTCTTGCAGCGATCGGTTGATTTGGGCGTACTTCTCGAAGTAGTCGTAGTAGACCTGGAAGAGAAATATATATTGTCGGTCGATTTTGGAGTGGAAATTGTTCGAGCGCAACATGAAATTCACTATTACTTTTGGTTCATGATGTCTTATTGCCAGATACGCGATAGGCTCGATGAAGAATGAATCGTTGGTCTCGAGACGGACATTTGAAGTGACGCAAATCTGAAATCGACAATATTTATACGATTTTCTACAGACTTGCAACGGGCCGGGCCGGGCCGGGCCAAAATTGGAAATTTTCCGGCCCGGCCCGGCCCGGTCGGCCCGGGAGGATGCACCTAAAAATTCAAAGCGAACTAGAACTTCGAAATGAACATAATTTTATAGACTTAAAATTTTATAGACTTAAAAAGGCAATGTTATAGCATAAAAACATGTTAAAAAATAGAAATTGCTGTTTAGTCGCAAAATTTTCACAAAAATTACGAAAATTTTCTCAAAAGTGGGCGGAGCCGGGCCGACCGGGCCGGGCCGGGCCGGGGCGGGCCAAAACCGGGCCGGGCCGGGCCGGCCCGGGATTTGGCAAGTCTGATTTTCTATAACGACTACATTTATCTAAAACTGCAACGTTTTAAACAAAGTGCCGTCTTTTTTAGTTGTTTTTCACTGAACACGTGGCCGAACTTTTTCATTTTTCTTCAAACTCGGCCCAAAACAATTCGCCCTCACCTTGCCCGTTTTGCTGAACTTTTCAAGAACGTCGGGAACGTTGTAATCGTACGGTGGTTCGAAAACCGGCGCCTGAAAAATGTTTTTGAGTTCACAATAAATTTTGCGACTCCTACAGTATTAATGTACTGTTCGACGGCCGTCGGAATATCGAATTGATGTCTTCGAATCAGATTCGAACCGTAAAGATTCATCCAAGGGCTCCGACGTTCGAAAACTCCGATCGGGAACATTTTCCCGATGGTTTTCTGGTAATCGGCGTACCTAAAAACGCACTTTTCCACAATTCTTTTCGATAAAAACTGACTGTGCGGTGAACAACTTCGGCCTCTGGTCGGCGATGAAATCGTTTCGATTCTGCCACGTGTACGGCACGCGGCGCGAGGCGTACGTGTCGTTGGCGTAGCGGATGCGAATCAGTTGGTGACTCAGGTACTTCTCGTCGCAATCCACCAACAGCATCTTGTCCATGTAGCACTGACCGCCGAATCCGTCGCAGATTATGTACTTCTGAAACGCTTTTGTGGATCAGACGATGAGAAATTCGAGGGGGGACACGGTCGATTACAATTCTGGGAGAAATAGCCGATTTAAGGCAGTTTTTTGTTTTAACTATCAAAAAAGCTAAAAATGGTTTGTTGAAAACTTTTCTCTTTGAAAATCCGTCCGAAATCGGTTTTTGCCAGGGCTGGGCAATTGGCCGGCCCGGGCTTTTCGTTGGCCGACCATTGACCTGGACTTTTGAACCACTTGCAATATTCCGATCGGACCGAAACTTTGCAGGCTTCTTGGACATGGGTTGAAGCATACTGGGACCAAGTTCCAGCTCGATCGGATCATCCGGTCCCGAAATATGTGGATCATTGTCCGAAATTGGCCGGAAGCCCGGGTTTTTTGGAAAAAAATCGGCCAATGATCCACATATCTCGGGACCTGATGATCCGATCGGGCTGAAACTTGGTCCCAATGGCCCTCAATCCAAGTCAAAAAACCCTGCAAAGTTTGGGTCCGATAGGAATATTGCAAGTGGTTCAAAAGTCCAGGTCAATGGTCGGCCAACGAAAAGCTCGGGCCGGCCAATTGCTCAGCCTTGGTTTTTGCCATAAAATTCTGGTGTCCTCTCTCGAATTTAAAGGCGCAGAGCCTGCAGCTTGAGAAGTTTCGTTCCGTGCAAAACCCGCCCGCGAATGCATAACATTCCTCACGAACCTCCGAACTTCCCGGCCTACTAGAAATGGGCTTAAAGGCCTTGATGGTGGAGAAGTTGTCGGCAAGCACGCGCATCACATCCTGCGTATCGGGATTGCAGAAGCGGAACACTTTGAGCACGAGCCGTCCGCCGGTCCTGAGCAGTTGGAGGGCCGTCTGCACTTCCGCGCGGATGATCTTCGCCACAATGCGCTCCTTTTCGTGCTCGCGCCCGTTCGTGTTCGTGCTGCCGTCGGCGGTGACCAGGTCGAAGGTGCCCGAGAGTTTGTGCTCGTTCAGATACTTTTCCGTCAGTTTTGCGACGTCGCCGTCGTCGTCGGGCCCGAAGAACCACTTGTTCATGTGGCGGCGGATGTGCGAATCGTCGACGAGCTTATCGAGACAGGAAGTGTTCTCAAAGTACGGATTCAGGGTGTTCGCCGCCCAGGACCACGTTCCCGGGGACTTTGAACGGAGGAAGTGGTAGTAGGTCGCCTCGATGAAATATCCGGGGCCTTCGCAGAGGTGGAACGAGCTGCAAATCGGACAAACAATGTTTTTTTTTTCTATTTTTCGTGCGTTGTCAACCGTAACCGCGCAAAATCGCCGTTTAGGCTCATCGATTTTAGCGCTAACTTTACTGTTCTTTCTTGGAGCTCGAATTCAATAAATTTCGTCGGAACCGGATGGAAAAGCAGCGAAATTAGCGCTAAGATCGATTTGTCAGCCGAAATGCTCACCGAAAATCTTTTTTTTGGAAAATGTCCGTCGGAAAATTGTCGAAAATCTCGCACAACTTGAGGAACGCCTTGTTGCGACAGATGAAGCTTTGTCTGAAAATGTCTCTTTTTTTACAGAGTTTTCGACGGAAAAACGTACTCCAAAACTTTTCGATAGCGAAAAAAGTCGTGAACAAGACTGGTGTGACTGTCGAATTCACGCACGTCCAGATGGTTTCCCTGAAAACAGCTTTGTAGAAAAATATATCGAAAAACTTAAAAACCGACCAATGACATGCGTAGTCTCTCGGTTTGCTCTTCAAATTCAAAGTTCGCATCCGAATCGTCCGTCTTCAAAGTTTTGCGTTCACTGGCAAAGTCGTACTAAACAAAAACACGTTTTTCTTTTCTTAAAAATGGATAATATAACACTTACCGTGTAATTTTCATAAATCTCCTTGATTTTAAACTCTTCCAACAATTTTATCGGATTTTTGTCGTCCGGATCTTCGGCCGGAACAGCGACCATCTGAAAATTGTTTTAAAATCGATTTTCTATGAATTCAACGAAGAAAATGACGTTTTTTAGTGTAAGAATCGATGAAAAATAAGGTGTTTCAAGTCAGAAAATTGATCATACCTCGAGGGAGATGCAAGTGCGCTCAACCGTACTTGGCGAGTTTTCAGTTGCCGAATGGGCATGGAAAAGGTGAAAATTGGACAGAAATGTAAAATTGAATAGAATTTTGTGTGCTTCTTTTGATTTGTTTTGAAAAATTGATAAACAAAGCAAAATTTCCCCGCACAATGTGGGAATTTGGGGCCAAATTCAGATTTTTCGAGTTAACAGAGTGTTAGCGAATTTCAGCTAGGCCTAAGAAAGCAATATTACGCAAGTTTTGCAGAAAACTAAACTTTTTTCAACACAAGACGAAGCAAATTGAGGTTGAGGTGAGTTTTTGCAGAAAAATCGATAATGGAACGGAACGAGGATATGAAAATTATTCGAAATTGAAGAGCATCGAAACGACGGTGTGAAGTAGACGCGGAAACGGCGGAGACGCAGACACGCGCAAAAAAAGCGTCTCTCCGTGCCGAACACTCTTTTTGTTCGATTCGAAAACATTCGTTAACGGCAGAACGCGGCCGACGTGCTCGGCTGCACTCACGAGCCAAAAAAGTTGGCCAATAATAGTGTTTGTTTGAGGAAAACAACAACAACAACGTGTTTCCGGCCATTTCTGTAATTGTAATCGGGGAAAAATCGGAGCAAATCGAAAAAAGTTTGCAAAATTGTCAGCAGAAACGTGAAACCCCGCGCGTTTTTTCAGCGCAACAAGCGCAATTTCAGGTTTAAAAAGCTCAAAGGAAGCAAAAAAAGGAAGTGGAAGAGTTGCGGAATCAGAACGCTATTTTGTAGACAAATAAAGGCATAAATATGACAACAAATTCTCTGTGTGATGCTCCGTAACGGTTATTCGAGAAGTCGTCCGCTTATTGCGTACTATATCTTGAGAACGAAGCGTTTTCGGGCAAAATGCTCAACTACAAAGTTGTTCAGCACAAAATTTGCCACATTTTTGCAGTTGACAACTTTCTGAAATAATCATTAGTTCTCGAGATATAGACGCTTTTACACATGTGTATACCGACGCGCAATTCACAAAGCCATTGGCGGGTTATTTGTAACAAATAGTGTGTAACTAATTCTTCGCATGCCAAAATTCATGTCATTTTATTTCTCCAAGAGTTGCACACCCCGAAAAATTGTCAATTGTCACCAGAAAAGAGAAAATAAGAGCGTCTTACAAACGGCTAATTCTGGCTTAAATTCGTTTCATCATCTGGCACTTTTCACACTTTTTATCATCGTCATTTCAAAAGAAAAAAAGGAAAATTGAAGTGATAAGAGACATTCTATCATTTTTGTGTCCTACAATGTTGCGACGGCTGTTTTTCGCCAGTCTGCTGCTCTTTTTGTGCTCCGCGGCTCCGGCTGATCAGGAGATTACTGTAGGTTACTGTAGCTTTCCGATTTTTGATAACTTTGTTTTTCCAGACCCTCCCCAACCTCACAGAACCGTTGCGCTCCAAGCACTATGCCGGATACCTGCCGATTTCCGATCTCAAACAACTGTTCTACTGGTAATTTTTCAATAATGATTAGATTATTCAAAGCGATGTATCTCAGTGGTCTGTAGAGATATCGAAATGTTGTCAACTACAAAAATGTGCTACACGTCAAGGACTACAATTTTGTAGTTGACCACTTTTTGATATCTCCATCACCAGCCGAGATACGTCGCGCTGAATGCAACTCTCAATGGAGCGCACTTGCTCAGGTACGTGGAATCCGAGGAGAGCCCGGCGACGGCTCCTACGATTCTTTGGCTCAACGGCGGTCCGGGATGCGCTTCGATGGAGGGACTCTTCATCGAAATGGGACCGTTTCGGGTGCGAAATGACGGAGAAGAAGTGAACAGAAATCCGTGGACGTGGAATCGGGTGAGCATGGCCTAGGAAAAGTTAGGTCGCGCACAAAGTGTTTTAAAAAATGGTGCCCGAGTTACCGTACTTTAAAGGCGCATAACTCTATGCGCTTACAGATCGCCAACATCATCTACCTGGACGCGCCGGCCGGAGTCGGCTACTCCTATTATAATACAACTAAGCCGGCGTTCACCGACGACGAAGTGGCTCAGGACAACTTTGACGCGCTGAAACTCTGGTTCGAGGTACCGTAATCCTGGTACAGTACAGTACCGACCCCATTCATACCGTAACCCGTTTCGTCAGAGAAAAATGCTTCAAAAAAAATTCAAAAATCAAAAAAATGCTCAAAAAAATGCTCAAACATGCTTCAAATTGCTCCTAACTGCTCAAAAAAATGCTTCAAAAATGCTTCAAAATGCTTCAAAATGCTTCAAAAATGCTTCAAAATGCTTCAAAATGCTCCTAAATTCTCAAAAATGCTCCAAAATGCTCAAAAATGCTCCAAAATGCTCAAAAAAATGCTCAAAAAAATGCTCAAACATGCTTCAAATTGCTCCTAACTGCTCAAAAATGCTTCAAAATGCTTCAAAATGCTTCAAAATGCTTCAAAATGCTCCTAAATTCTCAAAAATGCTTCAAAATGCTCAAGAATGTTCCGAAATGCTCAAAAATGCTCAAAAATGCTCAAAAATGCTTCAGAAATCATTTGCAAAAGAAGATTCGCGGATATTCCCCGCAATCATTGGTCTCCAGACCGGCTCCAGTTTATCCATCGGTAGGTAATGTTGTCGCTTCAAAATGCTTCAAAATGCTTCAAAATGCTTCAAAATGCTCCAAAATGCTCCAAAATGCTCCAAAATGCTCAAAAATGCTCCAAAATGCTCAAAAATGCTCAAAAATGCTCAAACATGCTTCAAATTGCTCCTAACTGCTCAAAAATGCTTCAAAATGCTTCAAAATGCTTCAAAATGCTTCAAAATGCTTCAAAATGCTTCAAAATGCTCCTAAATTCTCAAAAATGCTCCAAAATGCTCAAAAATGCTCCAAAATGCTCAAAAATGCTCAAAAATGCTCAAACATGCTTCAAATTGCTCCTAACTGCTCAAAAATGCTTCAAAATGCTTCAAAATGCTTCAAAATGCTTCAAAATGCTCCTAAATTCTCAAAAATGCTTCAAAATGCTCAAGAATGTTCCGAAATGCTCAAAAATGCTCAAAAATGCTCAAAAATGCTTCAAAATGCTCCTAACCGCTCAAAAATGCTTCAAAATGCTTCAAAATGCTCCTAAATGCTCAAAAATTCTTCAAAATGCTCCTAAATACTCAAAAAGGCTCCTAAATACTCAAAAATGCTCCTAAATGCTCCGAATGCTCAAAAATGCTAAAAAATTCTCTAAAATGCTCTAAAATGCTCCAAAATGCTCCAAAATGCTCAAAAATGCTCCATAATGCTTCAAAATGCTCCATAATGCGCCAAAATGCTCCATAATGCTCCAAAATGCTCAAAAATGCTTCAAAATGCTCCTAACTGCTCAAAAATGCTCCTAACTGCTCAAAAATGCTTCAAAATGCTTCAAAATGCTCCTAAATGCTCAAAAATTTTTTAAAATGCTCCTAAATACTCAAAAATTCTCAAAAATTCTCAAAATTGTTCAAAAATGCTCAAAAATCGCTCTTCCAGAATGCCATCCACGGTCAGCCGGATTGTGCCTCGCACAGCGATCATTTCCCGTACTTGAACGCGCCGGAAGTGCGAAAAGCGCTGCGCATCCCGGATTACGTCCAGAAATACGAAATGTGCAGGTGAGCGGCGGCGGCGTCTCGGCGGTGGCCTTGCAAACCGAATTTCCGCATCTACAGCATGGCCGTGGCCGAACTCTACACTTCGCAGTACGCCGACATGAAGCAGTTCTTCGGCCACGTCATCAAAGCGAAAAAGCGGGTAGGTACCGTACCGTCGTCCCCGACTACAGTAACCCGTTTCGCAGGTGGCAATGTTCAACGGCGACGCCGACTCGATCTGCAACTACGTCGAGAACTCGCAGTTCATCTACAAGACGCTCAACCGTTCGTTGACCGCCAAAATGACGTACTGGAACGATGCGAACCAGTTGCCGATGGCGGTCGGCCAAGTGACCGAGTACGACGGCATCACACTCATCTCCATCAAGGGCGGCGGCCATTTTCCGGCGGCCACCGAGCAAAAACCCAAAGAATCGTTCCAGATGTTCCAGAATTATGTGCGAAATCAGAACTACAGCACTCCGGTCACGTTCGACCGACAATGGAATGCCACTGGTGCCACGTCATCATCGACGAGTGCTCCGACGACGACTTCTGACGCCACAACGACTACGGAGGCTCCGACGACGACGAGCTTCGTTGCGACGACCAAATACGCCGTTTCTTTCCTTGTTTCCTTGTATTTTAGATGAAATCCTATGAGGCGTTCAATGAAACTACCGTAATCCTGTGTTGTTGATATTGTTGATCGCCGAAAAAGTGGACAATAGACGCCCCGCTGAGCCGGAGCCTAAGCCCAAAAATTCTCTTGTCAGTCAATAATAACAACAATACCTATCTATCAAAGTGTGTATAAATAGTGTTGCCCAAAACAACAACTATCATCCATTTCTCTCTCTCTCTCAAAAATGTCCCCTCCTCTCCTTCTTCTTCTTCTTCTGCTTCTTCCAACCGTACTGTCGGCACTGCCGGGCGCTGCCAAAAAGAACGCGGCTCTTGAGAAGATTCTCGTCGAAAAAAACCCGGAAACGGCGGAGAATCGTGAGCGAATCCGTTCAATTATAGCCGAGGCGTTCGCGAATCGGATCCCGCGGGTCCAGGGTCGACAAGGAACCGGATCCCGAAAGTTGGTCGCCGCAACTGCCAACCATGGACCCAAAAACAACCGGACCACGCGGTTTGAGGTGTTGAACCGCGATATTCATAGTAAATGAGTGTGGTCCCGCTCAGATCATAGCGTTTTTCCTTTTTCAGATTACACCTTCGAGTCGGACATAATGCTCAACGAAAAACAGGCGCGACAGCTGGCAAAATCGATCGAAAACGGAAATTATCGATCGAAAAGACAGGCGATCGTGGAGGCGACCAACTTTTGGAACGTCTCCGTCCCCATCTATTATCAGTTTGACTCAACGCTTTGTAAGCACGATCGCCTTGGATTACTGTAGATTACGGTAGTTTTTCAGCCGCCACCAACATTGCAAATGTCCGGAAAGCGATTCAGTATTGGAACGACAATAGCTGTTTGAGTTTTAGTGTAAGTCATTGATTATGTACTGATCCAAAGGGACCGTCTTGTTTCTTTTTTTCCAGGAAAACTCCAACGGCCTAAATCGACTGTTTTTGACGTCGGCCGGAGGGTGCTGGTCGTATGTTGGCAGGCAAAATGATGCACCATATCAGTTGGTGTCAGTTGGACCCGGATGCGATACGGTAAGGCGTATATCTCAGCTGTTTGGAGAGATATCAAAAAGTGGTCAACTGCAAAAATATAGTCCTTAATGTGTAGTACATTTTTGTAGTTGACAACATTTTGATATCTCTACAGACCACTGAGATACAACACTTTGAATAGCGTGCTGTCTTTGTAAAGCCTCTGTTTATTCAAAATTGCATATCTCAACTGTCTGTGGATATAGCAAAAAGTTGTCAACTGCAAAAATGTACTACGCATTAAGGGCTACAATTTTGTAGTTGACAACTTTTCAATATCTTTACAAACAACTGAGATACACGAGTTTTGAACAAACCGCTATTATCGATATCTGCAGCTCGGCACAGCCACCCACGAACTGATGCACGCCATCGGTTTCTGGCACCAACAATCGCGTGCGGACCGCGACGACTTTGTCTACATCGATTTCGGCAACATAATGCCGAGCCAGGCGTACAATTTCCAAAAAATGCCAGTGGACACCGCTCAACTACTGGGTATTCCCTATGATTACGGAAGTGTCATGCAATACTATCCATGTACTGCAAAACCAGCTCGACAATAGTCGAAAATTGCAGACGCGTTTGCGGTCGACTCTACCAAGTATACAATTCTGGCGAAAGATTCTCCGTACCAAAATAGTTTGGGTCAACGGGAAGCGCCCGCGTTCGGCGACGTCATCGGCGTCAATAAACTGTATAATTGCACGGGTGGGTAATGAGTACAGTATCCCGTAGTACGGTAGCTTTTTTAGCACTGTGCGCCACTCAAATGACGTGCTCGAATAGCGGATTCACGGATTCGCGCAACTGTAGTCAGTGCAAATGTCCGCATTATTTCACGGGACCGACTTGTGACGATCTTCCGAAGGGGACGGCCGTCAATTGTAATGGAGATGTGTTGCAGGTACTGTAGGATACGGTATTTGAGGTCTAGGACTACTGTAGACTACGGTAATAGCCGTAAAGGACACTGTTTTTTCAAATCGATGTATCTCAGCTGTCGATGAAAATATAAAAAAGTGGTCAACTACAAAAATGTAGCCGAGATTCAGGGCTACAACTTTCTAGTTGATCATATTTTGATATCTCTACATACAGCTGAGATAATCGAGGTTATTGTAGGCCACCTCTTCCTGGTCGACATTTAACGCGACGGCCGGCGATCCGAACAGCTACACAGCCACCACGGACACCTCGACCAACTGTTTTTGGCACATAAAAGCGCCGAGCGGACAGAAATTGGAGTTTAAATTGACGACGGCGCCGTTGTCGGCCATCTGCATGCAAGAATGTCCGTGGCAATCCGTCGAGCTCAACCTCGGAAAATTCGATTTGTACGGTATTATGTAAGTTGTTTTTGGGCGGGCATAACTGAAGAACGACAATATTTGAAGTAAAGTGGTCAATTGGAAAGTTGTAGAGCATAAAATTTGCAACAACTTTGCTGTTGACAACTTTTAGAATTGGATAATAGTTCTCGAGATATAGGCGTTTTTTCCAGAACCTGCTGCAATACTCTGCTAAACCAAGTGTTCACTTCGGAAGCCGACACGATCGCAATGCGTGGAATCGTTCGTTACAATCAGCTGAAATTCAGTGTTCAGTACCGTGCAATTCCGACAAATTCTTCTGGAAACTCCACTTCTACACAATAATGGCATCGGTCATCTAAATCTATGGTATCTCGGTTTCTGGGTCTCAATGAATATTGTCGTTCTCTTTTTCATTCTATTCTAGTGAGTCTTTTCACATTTTATCGGTCATTCGAACTAGACTCCGTGCCGGAATCCTCGAAAATGATAAGTAAACAAAGTCGATTTGAAGCGGGCAATAAAATAGTGTCATGAAACGCGAGAAACCGAGTTCTAGCTCACTCTGGCCACGTGCTCTTTGTACCTGATCGGCGACGAAAAACGTGGTAAACCGGGCGCGGTTATCAGTGGAAAACGAAACGGAAAACCGAAATTCGCTTCCGAAGGTACGAAGAACACAGTTTGAGGCTACACAAACGTTTTACGCATGTTTGAGTGGTGGTACTCACTCGGAAAGCGTTCAGCAATCCAGTATTCGTAATCCGCAACGTGTCTCATCATTCAACAAAGCTTAATTTGAAAAAAAAACCCGAAGACGGAAGACGGAAGACGGAAGAAAATTTTTTTACGGAACCCGGAAAACGGAAGACGGAACAAAAAAATCGTCAAAGCAGAACCTTTTTCTTCGTTTTTTTTTTTGAAAAAAATAACTAAAGCAACAAAAATTTTGGATCTGGGTCACTGCCCGTGGAAATTCGCGTTCTTCGGGGCTAGTAAATGGCTTCTGAAAAGCTATTACTCTTTTACGGTAAGAAGAAAAAATCCCGGACGACGGCAGACGGAAGACGGAACAAAAAAATCCTCGGAAGACGGAAGACGGAAGACGGAACAAAAAATCCACGGAAGACGGAAGACGGAATTCCGCTCAACTCTAGTACTCGCGTTCGCTTCGAGACCGACACGTTTGACACGTTTTAAACGTGTTTTCCCCATTTTTCCGTTTTTTTTTCAGTGGACGTTTAAAACGTGCCGAAATAACACGCGGTCTCGAAGCGAACGCGAGTACGGTAGCAGTCGTTTCAACTGTTCGCACCGCGGTTTTCGCGCAAATTTCTGCCGACTTTGGACGGCAAAATCCGCGAGATTTGCGCGTTTTTTTTTTCTAACTTTGGACGCGGCATACAGCCGCTACTGCTCCAATAATTTCATCTTTTTCAGATCATTTGGCCGCACCCTGTTACGCTTCACTCAACCTTTGACAAACAAGACACTTTCGATCAGTGATCAAGTTTTGTTATCGTCAAACTTTTTCCAATCGAGAACCCGGATGAACTCTTTCAATATGTCCTGTATCACTGACTGTCAATAATAAGATAATCTTCAACCCGGAATCGCCAAAAAGTTCGGCTCGTTCTCGATCGCACACACACACACACGTGTCGGCAATCTGTGCCGACGTCAATTCGGTGCGTACCGGCCAGTGATAAGCAGCGAAACGTTTGGGCGGGGATTCGAAGGGAAATCGGATAATAATGCGTATAAATTGAGAGAACGATTCGGCAAACGACATTAGGCACCTTTTTAGCTAGCTAGGTCTAGAAAAAATCTGAGCATCAAAATCGTTAGCTTATCAAAGAACTTAGCCTAGTCCCTAATCCGATGTCTTAGATTTTGAGCCCACAATTCTGTCTCGTTTGACCTGTCACTTATCAGTCCGTCCAATGTCAAACTTCAGAATGCTGCTGAGGTGTGCCGTGCTCTCGCTCCTCTCCGTCTCCGTCGTCTCGTTCGTGCTGCCGATCGCCAATCTCGACGATTGCGCGGCGCCGAACGGAACGGACACGGCGATGCACTGGTGGCAGTGCAACTCGGGGCCCGTGCAGTTCTTCAACGCGACGCCCTACGACTCGACCGGCACCAACTACGAGTACCCGATCCATTTGAGTAAGCCGATCGTCGTCAAGACGCAGATCAACAATCCGACGAATACGTACGTGTCGCCGAACCTACGCAACACTGTCAACATTTGGAAGTACGGAGGATGGTCCGGATGTGCTTGGTCCTCGGTTCCGACCCTCGGACTACTGTGAGTCGATCTCTCTGGAGCCGGCCGATCCGACTAAACCCGTGTTTCAGAAAGGATCTGTCGGCGTGCGAGCACGGCGTACCATGCCCGGTGAAACCCGGAAACCAGGAGCTCGACGTCACCATCGACTTCACCCAGTTCCAGCAGATCATCAATCTGCTCAAGGACAATGAGCCGTATCAGCTCGAGTACTTGCTCCACGACAATCAGAGCGGCGACGACGCGTGCATGATGGTACAGGCGTGGGCGTACATCAAGTAGACCCATCATCATTGTATTGCCATTTTTAAACACACGGGAAATAAAGTGTACATATATATATCGCTACTTCTGTTATCACACCACGCTACCAAAAAAAAAAAACCTAAGCAGCTTTACGAGAAATTGCGTACTTTTCTACCATAAGCACAGTGTCTGCAAGTACGGCAACAACGCTACCGTACTCCATTCCATTTCTAATTTCTGATCTTTGCGGGTGCAGTTCGTCGCGCCCTTCACAAGAAACCCATAAACGGTCTCCGCAACATGCCATGTGCGCTTTCCCCTTATCACCCAATTTCCCTTCATTCTTCCTACATATTCCAGCGCTTTTCCTACACTCCATTTTTAGCATTTTCAGCCCGATGCTCTTCCGCAGCTTCCTCCTCCTTGTTTCGGCTCTTTTCGTCGTCTCCTCTGCTTGCGACACGTGGCCGAACACCACCGAAACCAAGGTCACTTGGTGGCAGTGTTCCAGCGGTCCGATCACCGTTTCCGACGTCAATCCGACCGATAAAAGTGGTGAGTTAATGTGGGGCGCCGCACAAACGCATCCAATGAGTTTTGCGTAGGCGCGTACGAGTACCCGATCCGTCTCACCGAACCGCTGCTCATCGCCACGACGATCAACGATCCGGCGTCGACCTACGACACTCCCGGACTCAAGCAGACGATCAAGGTGGCGCAGTGGAATGTGAACACTTGCGGCTGGACCAATGTCCCAACTTTTGGACTCTTGTAAGCGAATGCATCATTTTTTTTCGACGAAATTTCATAGAAAAATTAAAAATTTTCTAGTTTTTCAATTAAGCCCTTTAGGAATGTGTGATTTTCTATGAAATTTCAAGCAGTAAATGCATTTGGAGACGAAAATGAAAAAAAAAGCAATGCTAACCGTCAGGAACAACATCGACGCGTGCTCGAACGGCGTTCCGTGTCCGATCAAGCCCGGCAACAACCAGGTCATCAACCTCGAACTCGACTTCTCCGACACTCCCGCCATTATCAATTTGTTGAAGAACGACAAGCCGTATCAGCTCGAGTACCATCTCCACGACGACGTCTCCAACGAGGACCTGTGTGTCACTTTCCAAGCGAGAGCTCTCACTAAAACCAATTAATTTAACGGCGAAAAATGATAGAAGTGATAACAATAAACACGTGGAATTGATTATTTCGTTGTTAGGAAGAGAGCTGGAGCTGTTTGTAGACTTGTTTGCGGTACTCCTCGAGTCCGCCCTCCAAAGTCGTCACCATTCGGTCCTTGACCACCCAGAGCTCCTTGCAGACCAGCTCGATGAGTTGCTCGTCGTGGGAAACCAGCACAACTCCGCCCTGCATTTGAAATTTGCTCAAAAAATGATCATTCTGACCGTCAAAACTCACATTAAACGTGTTCAACGCATTTCCCAGTGCCTCAACCGTCTCGACGTCCAAATGATTTGTCGGTTCGTCGAGAATCAGGTAGTTTGGACTGAAAAACAGTTCTTCGCTATTTTAGTAGAGAAAACATTGCAATTTTGGGAAAGCGCAACATTCCGGCGCAACTAGACAGTTCAGACAAAATCACGATTTTGAGCTATCGAGAAATGATTCAGTTTTTACTTTTTGGACGAAATCAGTTTTGTGCTCTCCTCCAACTCACTTCATCAAAGCCAAATTGGCAAACGCGAGACGAGACTTTTGACCTCCGGAAAGGGTCTCGACGGACTGGAGGGCCATATCTCCGGCGAGTCCGAATCGTCCGAGTGCGGCGCGGTAGTCCTCCTGCGACTTGCCCGGATGATTCTTCATCAACACCTCAATCGCCGACGTCTCCATGTCCAGCTGATCGACGTGGTGCTGAGTGAAGTAGGCGATGCGGATGCGGCGGTTCACGTTCCGCAGTCCGACCGACGGTTGCAGATCGTCCAGAAGCAGTTTCAGGAGCGTCGTCTTTCCGGCGCCGTTTTCTCCGACGATGCAGATGCGGGAGTTGGCGTGCGTTCCGAGGTTCAGCTTGCGGAACAGGTACGGCTGATCCTCCGAGTAGCGGAAAGAGACGTCGTCGAGCTGCAGGACCGGATTGCTGAGCACCTCGCACTCGGGGAACTTGAAGTGGATGTCCGATTCGAGCTCGACGGGCAGGAGTACTGGCCTGAAAACGAGGAATTTTTAGAATGCCGAATCCACCCAACCCCTTCTAATCAAACCCTTACAATTTCTCGAGCATTTTGATACGCGACTGGACCATCGGCGCCCGCTTCGCATTGTAGCGGAACTTGTCGATGAACTCTTGCGTGTGCGCCCTCAACTGCTGCTGCGCCTCGTACTCCCTCTGCTGCTGCGTCAGCTTCTCCTTCATCGTCCGCTCGAACTGGTCGTAATTTCCCTTGTAATGATCGAGACGTCGTGTGTGCAAGTGCACAATATCCGTACAGATTTCATTAAGGAATTTACGGTCGTGGGACACTGTCAGAATGGTTCCCTCCCATCCCTGCAAATGGCCTTCCAGCCAGTAAACCGCGCGCATATCCAACATGTTTGTCGGCTCGTCGAGCAACAAAAGGTCGGGTTTTACGAAAAGAGCCCTCGCGAGGGCAACTCTCATTCTCCATCCTCCCGAGAATTCTTTGGTCGGCCGTTTCTGCTCGTCGGGCGTGAATCCGAGACCGTAGAGCAGCGAAGAAGCCCGAGCTGGAGCCTTATCCAGCTGTAGGGCCTCCATTTCGGTATAAACTTTGCTCAGCTCGTCGTTCCACTTGTTCTTCTCCGCGTCTGTGAGACCTTCCTTGTTCAGCCGACTCTGCAGAACCTTCTCCCGATCCATAAGCCGCTGTCGATTGGTATCCGACATCAGGACGGCGTCCAAAACCAGCGTATCGTCTCCCTCGACCTCCTGTTCCACAGAAAGCATCGTAATACCCGCCGGAATCTTTAGCTGTAGGCTCGAGATCATTTTAAGCAGTGTCGTTTTTCCGATTCCGTTTCTTCCGACAAGTCCATAACGCCTTCCGAACGCCATCGTCATGTCCGCACAGGAGAGCAGCTGCTTCGTTCCGATCGAAATGTCCACACTCTCCAACTTAATATCCTTCGAGTTGGCCCCCCTGGCTCCGGTATCACGGATCGGTGCCTGGGAAGCTGTGGCCGACGGTCCCTCCTTCTTCTTTTTCCGCTCAGCAGCAGGAGCATCAGTGGCTCGGGCCTCTGCTTTCGCCGCCGCCCGATCCTCCGCCTTTGCCAGCTTCTTCTTATCCACAATAGTCGGCGTGTCCCTCGTCTGCACCTTCCAAATGCTCTGCAACGCCTCAAAGTTCTGATTCTCGGCGGCCATGTCGACGGTCTGTTCGAGCCGCTTCGTCGTCGCCTCCTGCTGCTGCTTTCCGGCCTTTGGAAGATTGTCGCCGTGCAGCAACTTCAGAAGTTGTAGGCAGACGTTCGAGACGTCGAACGCCTTCTCGACAGAAGCCTGAAGATGTTCGCCGACGGCGTCCATCACCTCGTCGAGCGACGTGATCTCCTCGGAATTCTCCTTGAGCACCTGTGAGACGTAGTCGTGGATCTCACCGGGCAACGTCGGAAACGTCGCCGTTAGGTAGCCGGGAATTGCATCCACGTTCGCCATTTTGAATCAGTTGTTCACAAAAAATTCGTTTCCTGAAAAATTAAATGTTCTTTTTCCTAAAAATTGAAAATTCGTCTCGAAATCTCACCCAGCCAGATGAAGAAGTGAAAAACGATAAAAACCGGAATGAGACTCGGAATCAGAAGCAGATAATAGGTCTGATCGGAGATTACAGAAGCCGTGAGCTCGTCCACCAAGCGCGATTCCTCGAGCATACACTGCGAGTCCTAAAAAATTAATTTTTCGAGGGTTGCAGGTGTTGAACGTTGATAAAAATTGATAAGGAAATGTAAAAGTGTATTTAGAACGTGACATAATGCAAACTCGCCAATTTTTGAGATATTTCCCAGCTGCAAATCACGGAAAAGCTTTAAAAATTAGGGTGGTGGCCTAGAATCCGACAGCGGCGAAAACTAGTCCCCGGGTGCCAGCACTGTGCGCAGCGTGTCGCGACGCGGTCTCCCACATATTTTCAGCGATTTTCTATTCATTCTCGCGTCGTTCTTGTTCTCCATGTTGCCCTCAAATCCACGTCATAATTTGTGGTTCATTCAAAAACAACAATTCTCATGCAATTTCGCTCCGAACTCCTATTTAGATGTTTGTTGATATTCCTATTTCGCAATCCTATTTTTGTGAAATGCCGAGTTTTCATCTCAGAAGTCGATAATAAGAGACGATCTGACCGCTTTCTTTGCCGAAAACAACAATTCTCGTGCAATTTCGCCCTGAAATCCTCTCTCCTTTCCGAATTTTCGCTCTTTCGCAATCCTAAATTTTGCAGTTTTTCGTCTCAAAAATCGACGAGAATGAGTGACGATCTGAGCGCTTTCTTTGCCAAAAAGAAGGACAAGAAGAAGAAGACGGCGGTGAAAATCGAAGACGTCGGGCAGGTGCTCGAGCGAAGAGCAAAACGACAAGAGGAATACGAGCAGGAGCACGAGGAGGCGCCCGAAAAGCGAATTGAGGAGGAGAGGCCGACGAATACGGCCGAAGACAGCGAATGGATCGAGTACGGCGACAGTAATCAAGGAAGGTGAGGCGGAAATTGAATAAAAATACGAAAAAATCGATAATCGTTCTCACTCAGTAAATCAGAGTTTCCTCAAACTTGACAAAGGCGTTCATTAGTCTTATTAAATAAGTTTCTGAGAGTTCTAGCCTGCACTTTTTTGATTTCTACATTTTTTATATGATAATTGTTCACAGATTGGAAGGCCTCAAGATCAAGGACATGGGCCTCGAGAACGAAGACGATCAGGTGAACAACGACGAGCCGGAGGATCGTGAAGTACACGAGGCGAAGACATGGGGCCAGGTGAACAGCGAGAAGAAGGCGGCGGGCGAGGAGTCCGATCAGGCGGTCACCATCAGTGACAAGGCGATGGCGGCGGCGTACAAACCGCCGGCCATGAGAAAGTATCAACCGCCGTCTGCGGGCGGTGGCGGCTACAGATCGCGCGCCGCGCCGGCCAACTTCGATATGAGCAACGACGCGGCGTTCCCGTCGTTGGCGGACGCGAGCAAGATCGAGAAGGTTAAAAAGGAGGAGAGCAAGGCGCCGGGCGGATGGGTCAAGGCCGGCGGAAATTTCGCTTCGTCATCCTCCAGCGGAGGGCCGAGGTACCCGACGTCTTCCGGAAGCGGACGTGAAGCCGCTCTCGCTGCGGTCAAGGTGAGATTTGGCGAGCGGAGAGTTCTTCTGCAACCTGGTTACGTTCAGAACATGGCCAGCGCTGCGTCGACTCCAGCTCCGGCTCGTTCGGAAGCCACTCCGTCGCCGACTCCAGCTGCTCCGGCCGCTCCGAAGGCCGGATCCTACGTGCCGCCACATTTGAGGAAGCAGCAGCAGACTTCAGCCTAAATTCTTGTTTTTCTTTACTAAATTTCTATTGTTCTTTTTCTCTCTGTCCGTTTTTTAAAAATGTTTCGCTGTAGCTCTTCTACTAGCACACCCACAATACTCTTTTTTAGACGATTACTTGTTTCTGCTCCTTTTCCCCGCCCCTTTTTCCTCTTCCGTATCATTTTGTGCTCAATTGTGCACCTCTTCTACCCAGTGACAACATTTCTAGGGTAACCGTGGACGAAAAACGCCTAATTTTTTGGTATCTGTCGCCAAAATCTCTGGTATTTTTTGAAGGCCACTCTCGGCGCCCATCTTTCTCTCCAAAATGTTTTGTTTTGTTAATCCCACCACCCTTTCGGATTTTTTTCTAATCATGGTGTCTGTTTCTTTTTTTTTCGGTCCCCTCAATCCCCCCCCTCCCCCCTCACATAAAAATGTTCTGCATTCCCGGAGAAAAAAATTGTTGTTGATCGATTTGTTTCCTTTTTTTGTGTGCTTCTGTGTTGAAATCCCAAATTATTATTCATTAGTCAAAATTTATGTATCACATGAGTTTGAGTTCCTAATCGTACAATTGCTCCTCGCTCGTCACGTTTTCGCTGCAAAATGTTTTATTGTTTCAAAATGTTCATGTCGAATTCGGCTTTTCGCTGTGCCAACGCTTTGTAGACGGGATTTTCGGCGCCCAGAATCTCGTCATAGAGATTCGCACCACTATTGTCGTCTAACATTTCTTTGGCGCGTACGTACCTAGAAAATGTAAACTCTTTTTCGTTTCGTTTCCTGACGAACCTGTCCACATAGGGTCTTCCGTGATCTCCCAGACTCGAATAGTTGGCCATCATTTCGGATGAGGTGGCCAGAAGATCTGGACGCCAACTTTTGAGCAAATACAGAAAAGCCTCGACCGTCGAGCCGTCCGAATCGAGTTTGAGCTGCAAAAATTGGATCAGAGTCGAATTTTTGTTCGAAATTTTATCTAATCTTTAAACTCTCCATGAAAAGTCATAAACAGTTGGCTTTGTGTTCGTCTCGCTCTTCCTCTCTCTCTCACTTCAGCCCAATGTGCACTGCTGCCTCTTTCGGTTTACACACTCGGGCCGTTTCGATCTCTCTCCGTCTCTCTGCCCATTATCTCTCTCCAGTTTCTTCTTTTTCTTCGTCGCTCTTTCTTCTGCCTCTTTTATACTCTTTGTCGACTGGGCGCGAGGACGATTTTCCGATTCTTCACGTATTTTTGTTGGATGCCTGCCGGAAGACGGTCAAAATGACCAGCTGCCGGGCGAGGAAGGCGTAGTGAAGAGTTGAAACGTTTTGTGTAAAGAAATGAAGAGGCTCTAAATAACTTTTTCGATGTTCTTCTACTTTTTAAAGTTAGGTCCTTAACCGTTAAGACCCAGTAATTTCTAGAAAGTTCTACGCGATTCTCATCGATCTTCCCCTCGAATTTATCGTTTTAAAGTGCGTTTCGACAGCTGCCTCTTCCATTTTTCCAATTTTTCAAAACAAAGACTCAATGTCATCGTTTTTCGTATTTCCTCTGCTCCAGGAAGTGTCAAGGACCCAATGTTGGAAATGCGTCCATTTTTGCCTCATTTTTCCCCATCAGCTGACCAAGAAGAAATAAAACTGTTTACTTGTTTGCTTGCTTCTCCGTTCTTTTCTTCCCGTTTCCACACCAGAAAACCGAAACGACACAAATATATGAAAATGTTGACTCTGTGAGTGTGCGTGGCACGGAAATTGATGAAACGCACACACACACACACATGTATTATTGTCCGCCCTTGTCAGTGTGACGAGTCTGACCTTTGCCGTATGTCTAGGCCACGTTTTTTGAGGGTTTTCTGGGCATTTCAAAGTGAATGCGCTTTGTTTCAAGTGTGATCTTCAGCCCGGCGTCAATTAGAAAACAGAGAATGTTCTTCGAGCGTTCGAATGAAAAATTAGGCCCGGAGATCACAAAAAGAAGCGGTTGCTCAACAGAGCGCATTTACTTTGTAGAACATTTTAGACGTTTTAGTAGCACAAAAGTATGGCAATCATTATTATAAACGTCTTTGAAGATTTCACTGTGTAGTTTTCGAGTTTCTAGACCACTCTTACTCACCTGGACCTTCTTCCGATCGTAGAGCGTCGGATAGGCCTCGAGCTCGTCGAGCACCGCCAACTTTTTCTCGCACACTTCGTAGAGCTCTCCTCGAATTTGCTGTAAAAAAATGATTTTTTTTGCAGATACAAAAACTGGGAAATATGACGGTGGAGGCGACGAACGACGGGGATGAGAACGCCGAGGATCACTCGCCACGGCTTCAGGTAAATTTGGAAACGTTTCGAGTCATCCCGTTTCAGAAGTTGCAGCAAAGTCGCTCGATGTCGACGAGCTCCGGCCGCCTGGTGCCGATCACCGACGACTGCGACGAGGTGTTCGCGGTGCACAACGAGGTGGTCGACGAGCGGCCGCGCATGGACCCGGCTCGAGTACGTTGTCTCATGGAGACGTGGCGACGGGCGGCTCGCCGAGCACGCACCAACTACGTGGATCCGTGGGACGAGTTCAACATCCACGAGTACCCGGAGCAACGCGCGAAACGCTACCGCTACTCGGCGATTCGCAAGCAATGGACCGAGGACATTGTGGAGGTGCGGCTCCATCCGGACAGTTTTGCCCGTGGGGCCATGCGCGAGTGCTATCGCCTCAAAAAGTGCTCGACGCGCCAGGACTGGAGCAGCAATTACGTGGCGAAAAAGTACATTTGTCAGGTGGATCGACGTGTGCTCTTCGACGACGTGCGACTTCAGATGGACGCGAAGCTGTGGGCCGAGGAGTTTAATCGCTACAATCCGCCCAAGAAGATCGATATTGTGCAAATGTGCGTGATTGAGTTGATAGACGTCAAAGGCTCGCCACTTTACCACTTGGAGCACTTTATCGAGGGCAAATATATAAAGTACAACTCAAACTCGGGATTTGTGTCCAACGCGGCTCGTCTCACACCACAGGCCTTCTCGCACTTTACATTCGAACGTTCCGGACATCAGATGATGGTTGTGGACATTCAGGGCGTCGGCGATTTGTACACCGACCCGCAGATCCATACGGTCGTCGGAACAGACTATGGAGACGGAAATCTCGGAACACGTGGCATGGCCCTGTTTTTCCATTCGCACAGATGCAACGACATTTGCGAATCGATGGATCTCTCGAATTTCGAGCTATCGCCGCCGGAAATCGAGGCGACCGAAGTGGCAATGTCGGTGGCGGCCGGGCAGAAAAAGTCGTGTGTCGTGCCGCCGACAATGTTCGAATCGCGACGGAATCGGCAGTCGAGCGAGTGCGTGCACGTCGTCGAACACGGCATTTCGATGGATCAGCTGCGACGTCGAACGACCCTCAATCACTCATCCACCGATCTTTCTGTCAAGGTTCGGATTGACCTTAAAATTTGAAACGCTATAAAACTAGTTCTAAAACTGAAAATCGTAAGTTTGCACACGATTTCGATTTTTTAACGATTATTTCAAGAAAATTTGAGCTTTGCGGGTTTGTCAGCCTAGAAATCCGCAAATTGAGCGATAAAGCGGGGTTGCGACCGGTTTTTGTGAAAATCTCAAAAATCGATTGTCTTGCAGAATCACAACGAAGATTGCGTGTGCTCCGAGTGCATTCCGGTCGTCGAGCAGCTGTGCGAACCTTGCTCCGACGACGATGACGACGACGACGACGACGACGAAGAGGAAGAGTACCCACGATCGGAAAGATCGGAGACGAGCCAGAAGAGCCGGCGCTCTCGGATGAGCATCTCGACGCGCTCTTCCGGCGACGAGTCGAATCGACCGCTTAGGTGCGGATTCGTGGATTTGAACTCGTTGCGCCAACGCCATGACAGTTTTAGAAGCTCTGTAGGCACCTATTCGATGAACAGCTCGCGACAGACGAGAGACACCGAGAAGGAGGATTTTTGGAAGGCGCTGAGGAAGCAATCGGTGCCGGCCAACATTCTGAGTCTGCAATTGCAGCAGATGCAGGCGCTGGAGGACCCCGAAGTGACACAAGTGACCCATCCGTTCTCGATCCTCGGACAGATCCACATCGACCTGGCCAGATACCACGAACTCGGACGCTTTATTGAGCTCGACTCGGAGCACAAAGAAATGCTCGATGGGAGGGAAAACGATCCGCGGACGGCGGTGATGTACGACAAACAGTCGGCCATCTTCCATTTAGATATCGCGAGAAAGTGCGGGATTTTGGAGGCGGTGCTCACTTCGGCGCACATTGTGCTCGGGCTCCCGCACGAATTGCTCAAAGAGATCACCGTCAATGATTTGTTCCCCGACGGGTTCGGCGAGCAGGAAAATGGCATTCGAGGTGAGAAAATGCTGGAAAGATCGGCCTAGACTTTTCGAGGCCTTCACTTGAACTTACAGTTCTAGAATTTCCGTATCTCTCGTGCCCAATTGCTACAAAATTGACTTTTTTCGACAGATCTCGAAGAGTTTGGCTCGGATTTGATGGAAATCGCCGCCGAAATGGGCGACAAAGGGGCGATGCTCTATATGGCGCACGCCTACGAAACCGGACAAAAACTCGGACCCAATCGCAGCACCGACTACACGAAATCGATTGATTGGTGAGCGAAAAAGGGGGCAACATTGTTCTTCTCCAAACAATCACTTCATCGTCTGCAGGTACCAACGCGTCGTCGGATTCCAAGACGAGGAGCCGGAGGCGTCGGACGGCAACTCGAAGACGACGTTCTCCTCGTTCTCGCCACTTTCTCGCCACGAAATTCTCGCGAAAATGGCGGAAATGTACAAAGAGGGCGGATACGGACTGAATCAGGACTTTGAGCGAGCCTATTGCCTGTTCAACGAGGCCGCCGAGGCCGCGATGGAGGCGATGAACGGAAAATTGGCCAACAAGTACTATGAAAAGGCCGAAATGTGCGGAGAATAGCTTTTCCGCTGTTTTTTCCTGTCCCAAATAGTGCTGTTTAGCAGGGAAAAAACTTTTTTCTCAGCTCGTAAATCGTATTCGTTGCATGTGCCTTTAAATTATTAACGAACACGATTAACGAGCCGAGAAAAGCTCTCCCAGCCAAATGAGCCCGTATGAAACGATGTATATGAGACGATTTCAAAAAGAAAATCCCAAAAGTTTGTAATATTCATTTCTCCTCATTTTTCTATCAATTTCTCTGGTTCCTACTCATTTTTCGCGGTTGTTGTTACTTTTTGCTGGCTAATAAACTCAATTTTTGGGTACTTTTCCGCTTCTCACTCACATTTCCCTTTCCCGGCTCGTCGAGCAAAAACGGAATGTTGAATTTGGTGCCGACGACGAGCGGAAATCGTTGCGCCGTCGATCCCGATGAAATGAAGCTGAAAAAGCGTGCATTTTCCGTGTTGCGGTAGCGGCAAATGTGTGCGAGTGCGGTGTTTGCGTACCCGACACCATACTCTACGTCGCTTTGCGGTTTTTAGCGTTTTTTCCCGCAAATTTCGAAACGTACCGATATTCGCCGTCGGTTTCCGACAAAACTTTATGATTTGGCTCGCCAGTTTTCAGCGTTCCATACACAAAAACGTTGATCTTTTGTAACATGTCTCTGCAATTTGTGCTTTTTTGCAAACAAATCAACAACGTTTTTTAATAGAAAAGAAACGAGATATTGAAACGATGCAAAAGTGGCTTGGGGAATGTGAGAAAAATCGATAAAATAGTTCGCTAGTTTTATTTTATAAAAAAAACGATATGTACACACTATGCACGAAAAAAATCGATAAAAGGCACTTGATTGAAAAATCTCGGAAAATACCAAAAATCAAACGTGTTGAGCTCGTAAAAATGCGATATTATCGTTTCATATTTTCGAACAAAATGGCGATCACATTCCGTCGAAAGCCTGTGCTCGTTGTCGTGGAGTTCCGCGCATGCTCTGCAACGAAAATAGTCAAATTTTGAAGAGCATTTTTTCCGAGTGTTAGAGCTCGCAAATTCCATGCATTTTCAGTCATTTCCAGTACGACACTCTGAAAAAATAGCGCACACACACACACTCGTTTTCCTCACCAAACGTCCGCCTCGACGCACCAATCGGCTGGCGCCACGTCATCGGAGCGCTGCTGACGCATAAACTTTCGCATACTCTGAATGCTCGGCGAGACACGTGGCACCGCGAATACGGTAGGCTCGGGAGAGCCGGAGCCGATCGAACTCGCGCTTTTCGACTTTTTCTGCGGAGTTGGGGACCACTTTAGATGCTCTCAAAGCACTCCGAACTTTCGAGAGCTACAGTAGTCTTGGGAGTGATTGTACACGAATATGGGCAATTAATGAAATTTAGTGCTCATTGAGCACTGTACTTTTGTAGTCGACACCTTTTTTCTACAACCACTCCCTGGAGTACTGTAGCTCTTGGAAGTTGGGACCACTTGAGATGCTCTCAAATCACTCTTAACTTCCAACACCTACAGTACTCTTCAAAGTGGTTTTAGAGTAAAACGGTCAACTACAAAAATATAGTACTAGACTTCAAGATTATGCTCAAAAAATTTAAAAAGTGATAGAACGTCTTCGGCGCGCTACAGTACACGTTTAAACGTGGCTCACCATTCTCATCGTGGTGAACTTGTCGAAGCCGTGCGCCACGTTCTGCGCATGAATCGCGTCATGCTCCCGGTGCACTCCGTTCACATTTTCCCGTTTGAGCCCATCGATATCACCGCGCAGCTCCTCGAGATGCTCTTTGAAAATCCGCGCTCGCTTCTCGTACTCGGTCCTGAACCAGTTTTGGTCTTGTCGCAAAACAAAAACTCAAAAAAAAAATCAATAGTAGTACCTGGACTTTTCCAGTTCCAACATGATCGTCTGCTGCTCGAAAATCTGACTGATCGACGGGTCCGGAGGGGGTGGCGCCAAGATCAGACCGGATCCGTAGTAAGGAGGCTGTTGCGGCGGCGGCGGCGGCGGCGGTCCTTTTGGTTGCTGCTGTGGTGGTCCCGGCGGATGCTGCTGTTGATGTTGTGCACCACTTGGATTCTGATGTTGGTGCGGAGGCGGATGCGATTGGGGTTGTGGTTGAGCGGAAGGGACCGGCGAGGAGAACGCCGACGGCATGTTCAGACTCCGAGACATCATTTGTTGCGGGTGTACGTTGTCTGCAACAACAAAAAAAAAATGGTCTTCAGGGGGGTGCTAGCAAAAATTGACCAACTACAAAAATGAAGTCGACGTTTCGCACTATACTTTTGCCATTGACAACTTTTTTCTACACCTACTTCCTGGAGTACTGTAGCTCTTGGAAGTGAAGCGGGTATTTGTAAGCATTTGGATAACTTTCCAGAGCTACAGTAGTCTTGGCAGCGATTGTACAAGAATATTGTCAACTAGTAAACTTGAGTTCATATTGAGTACTGTATTTTTGTAATTGACAACATTTCTCTAGACTCACTCCGAAGAGTACGGTAGCCGTTTGAAGCATCTCAAGTGGTCCCAACTTCCAAGAGCTACAGTAGGCTTAGAAGTGGCCCCAGAAAGAAGTGATCAACAACAAATGTGTAGTACTAGACGTCAAGATTTTGCTCAAAAATTTTCAGAGCCATAGCACGTCTCCGCGATCTACAATACACGCACGTACTGTCGAGAGACTGCAGCTGATGAAACGATCCAGTGGTGCTCATTCCGTGATGGCCTGGTCCTTGTTGTTGCGGATGCCAATTCTGTCGTAGCTACCGTAATCGAATACCGTCCCAATACCGTAACCAATCACTTACCGGGTCAATAACCAGGGCGGTTTGACTCGAGTACTGTGACTTTCGATTGACGTCCAAGCTCACGTCGGCCAGCGACATTGACATTTGCTTGGCGAGAATCTCCGCTTCCCGGGCCTTTCGCTCCATTCGAAGAAGCGCCTCTTCGGACTGAAATTGACGGGGCATACGGTGGGGGAAGTGTCGTCTACGAACGAAACCTTCAGATTGCTCATACTCAGCCGATTGCACTCGGCCTCCACCTCGCTCTTCTGCTTGTACAGCATCAGCGTCTCGTGCTCGCTGTGCCGCGCCTTCTCCGCCAGCTGATCGTTCGCCTCCTCGGCCTTCCGGATGCTCTCCTGCGCCTTCATCAGCTCGACGGCCATCAATTCGACCTGCTGCTTCAGCTCTTTGCACTCCTTCTCCATCTGCGCGCGCTCTTTCCGCTCCGACGACAGTTTCGCCATCTCCTGCATCCGCCGCTGCTTGTCCTCTTTCGCCTGCGAGCGCATTTGTTGCACCTAAACGCCGCGTTTTTTGCAAAAAGTTATCACGGCGACCAAAAAAAAACGTAGAAAGGGGCGTGGCCTAGCGTGCACGGTTTTGTCACCATTTTGGCGCGAAATTCGAAATTTAACCCCATTTTTCATGTTTTTCGTCAAAAATTACCCGAATTTTGTACGATTTCGACGATGTAATTGCATAACTTTGTTAAACTAATCATCGCGCGCGCTTTTTGAGCTTAAAACGAGCAGGTTTCATTCAGAAATGAATCAATTGAATCGATTTTCAAGTTTTGTGCTGAAAATGCGCGAAGTTCAGTCATTCGCCGATACTTTTTGCCGTTTGAACGCTTAAAATACTTGTATTAACGTGCTTAATCACTTCCGACACTCACTTCGTCTCAAAACTATCCACATCGGCCGCTATGAAAATTCCGAAATTGCGGCGGCGATTGGCCGAAATTGCGAAATATGCCAAAAACGTCTCAAACGCGGCGTTTTCACGAAGATTTCAATGTTTTCTCTGTTTAATGTCTCTTCTTTCGTCGATATCAACACACAAAAATATCGGAAAAGTTCTGGAATTGCGGCAATTTTCAGAAAACGCGTCTCAGATTAGGCCACGCCCCTTTCTACACTTTTGGTCGCCGTGGTACAAGTATTTTAAGCGTTCAAACGGCAAAAAGTATCGGCGAATGACTGAAATTCGCGCATTTTCAGCACAAAACTTGAAAATCGATTCAATTGATTAATTTCTGAATGAAACCTGCTCGTTTTAAGCTCAAAAAGTGCGCGCGATGATTAGTTTAACAAAGTTATGCGATTATATTATCGAAATCGTACAAAATTTGGGTAATTTTTTGACGAAAAACATGGAAAATGGGGTTTAATTTTAAATTTCGCGCCAAAATGGTGATAAATCGTGCCACGGTCTCCCTCGGCGCGAATTATTTCAATGGGGCGCACTTGCAACGGGCGGGCTGTGTCGATTTACGCGGCGGCGGCCGATTAATTAATTTTCAACGGGAGTTCGCGTTCTTTCCATGTTTTCTGTACAATACACCTATTTTTTTGTACGCCCGGAACCTGGATTCTAATAATTAGAGCACTAGCTACGTTTTGGTAACAGAAATCTCACATATCGTTGAGAATTAGACGAGTTATTTCGATTTGAAGGTTTTGGCCTGGATTTTGATGTTTTTCGAATAGTTTTCGAAAACTGCTCAAGAAAACCAACCGCAGGAACCTGAATTTTGTGAAGAAAGATTCAGCGAACATTTTTATTGTTCGTTGGGCTCATGAAATGCAAAATGAGCTGAAATATAAAGGTTTGAAGTTTTGACGAAATGCGAAAAACATGAAAAACTCTAAATTCTGTAAAGAACGGTTTCCAATCAGTAAAATATTGTATTCTAGACGTTTTTCAAGTCAAAAAGAAGGAAATAATGGTCGTAAACTCGAATTGAACTGCATTTTTAGACCTGCGCAAATTTTCAAAAGTTACAACGACACTCCGCAAGTTACGAGCGCACTGTGTTTAGCATTAGCGCCCTGGGAGCCGCCGAGGCCACGCCCCTTTCTATGTTTTTTTTTGGTCGCCGTGGCGGTTTTGAAACGGTCGGCAGCGTACCTCGAGAGTGTCCGGCTGTCTCCGTCGCAAGTACAAATTGTGGGTTCCTATACACAGGTCGAGGATCGACGAATCGATGGAACTTTCTCGAGACCGAAACGATATTGTCGACTTGTCCACGGTTTTCATGTGAAACTGAACTAGGATTGTGTTCAAATTGCGACAATTTCTCGGTCATTTCAACCTTTTTCGCCTTAAATTGAATATTTTTAATCTCGCTCCAACTGAAAAACGGTCGAGGCGTTATTCGATTCACTCCCTTATAAATGCCCAATCCTTGAGCCGATATGCCCAAGTGCAGGTCCGTTTCTTTGTTGTTCTACAATAGAATACGATAGATTCGCTATTGCCGACACAAAAATATTGTCGGTTTTCGCCGCTTACACAAATCGGATAGTAGAGTATGCCGTACATCTCCAAATCCTGCGCCACGCGCAAATACTCCAACTCGGCCTCCTCTCTCGATTGTCCGGAATTGCGCGACCACCAGCGTTTGATGCGATCGCGCCACATCTCCGCGCTCATGTCGTACTGATCGATCACACTTTTCGGCAAGTGCTTGTCCAGATCGATCGGACCGCCGTCGTCGGAACAGTCGCCGTGCTGGAACATTGGCTTTCGAGAGTTTAGGGAAGACTGTGGCTCTCAATTTTTTTGCGTGTGAAATCTTCACGTCTAGTACTTTATTAAAAAAAAATAAAATAAAATAAAAATTTTACTCTACGGAACACGGAACACGGAAAATTTTTTTTTTTCGGAACACGGAACACGGAAAACGGAAAAAACTTATTTCTACGGAACACGGAACACGGATCACGGAAAATTTTTTTTTTACGGAACACGGAAAAAAGCGTTTTCAAGAGAATTCCAGTGATTTTTTTAAAACAATGTTTTGTTTAATTCGATTATCTGAGTGACAAGGCAGCTGTTTGACTCATGTGAAAGTTTTACTGAAAATTTCATAAAAATAACAAAACCAACAACACAACAGTAAACAACTACAGTAAAAAACGACTGAAAATGGAATCCACTTTTCACGAATATGGTCCGAATCCGAAAATTTTCAAATTTTGACCACAAAACGTCAATTGTCCTAATCTTTCCGGAGATAAATTTAATCTACGAGGCGAGCATTTTTCCGCGGAAAATATAATTTATACGGAACACGGAACACGGAAAACGGAAAAAACTTATTTCTACGGAACACGGAACACGGAACACGGAAAACGGAAAAAACTTATTTCTACGGAACACGGAACACGGAACACGGAATTTTTTTTTTTACGGAACACGGAACACGGAAAAAATATTGAAAAAAACGCGGAACACGGAACACGAAACACGGAACACGGAATTCCCAACATCTCTGACCAAGCGTTACAGTAGGCCAGAGCGGGCTCGTAGCGAAAAGTTGTCTATTGAAAAGTTGAAGTATGCGACGCAAAGATTGTGCTCAAAACATTCGCAAAACGATACCAACGTACCATAGCCTGAACGGCAAAACTGGCGAGCAGAACACTGGCTTCCGGCGAGCAGTAGAGGTTCATCGACAGTATCGCTTCGCGGATTTGGAGGAAGAACAAGTGTCGCGTGACGTCGAGAATGATTTCCGGTTCGACGTCTTCCGGATAGAACTTGACGAGGAACAGAAAGTGGAAACTGCCGTCCGCGTCTTTTTGCACGTCTTGACCGTAAATCTGCAAGAGAGAACAATGATAGGTTTTTCGTACTTTTTGAAGGCCTCCTTTAGACTTTTGGGGACCACTTGCAATGATCCGATCGGGACCAAACTTTGCAGGCCTCTTGGACTTGGGTTGGAGTATATTGGGGCCAAGTTTCAGACCGATCGGACTTTCTGGTCCCGAAAAGGCCGAGTCTTTACAAAAACTCGGCCATATCTCGGGACCGGATGATCGGTTCGGTCTGAAACTTGGGCCCAATATACTTCAATCCAAGTCCAAAAAGTCTGCAAAGTTTGGTGCCGATCGGATCATTGAAAGTGGTCCCCAAAAGTCCAGAAAACTAAAACGGCTTAATTTGTCCGTATTTCGTCAAAAAAAAACGTACAGTTTTATCGTTTTGCAGCCAGCACGGAATGCTCTTTTTGTTCGTGAACTGCAGACCAAAGTACCACGTCTCGCGGAGCCCGATGATGCGGCAAACGGCCTCGAATAAATGTCTGCCCGTCCACGTCTTCTCGATGACAATCTTCTCGAGATCCGCGTCCATCGTGCTCACTTTCGCGTACGTCGGCTTTGTGTTTCGCGAGAAAATCGAAAATCCGCCCATTTTCAGGTGAAATTCCCTTAAATTTTTCGATTGTTTTGAAACATTTGAAGGAAAGTGCGGTGCAAACGATAAAAGATCGATAATTGGGGGAAAAGTGTTGAAGGTAAGAAAAAAGGAGGGATAGGTAAGTGGGCAGCAAGTGCGCTCCACTGCAAACAACGTTGTAAAGAGTGTCGGCGTCTCGTCGCCTCGCTTTTTCTAAGAGAAGGGACAAAAACGGTAGGAAATCGACGAATTTACAATAATTCTCTGCCTAAAATCGATAAATATCGGCGGATTGATAAGAAACAGATATTGTATATCATAACGTATCAAAAATCAACAAACAGATACTATCCATCAAGTTTCTTCTCTTCCAAAAAGACAAGTTCTCAAACTGATAATAAAAACCATTCAACTGATATGATTCATTGGAAAACTATGTGGGGCGGGGTGTGAAATATTTTTGCGATAAATGTAAACAGACGGCGGTCTTGTCTTTTTGAATGATGATTGGAAATTGGAAAGCAACGCAACATTCTTTCGTTTTCAAACAAAACGCCGAAAGCACTGAAAGAACCTATAGTACCGACAGACAGAAAAACACGGCCGCAAAAAATGTTAACGCAGTCAGCAGGATTCGAACCTACGCGGGCAGAGCCCAATTGATTTCTAGTCAATCTCCTTAACCACTCGGACATGACTGCTGCCGGGAACAGGGGCGCGAGGGCGTAGACAAGCTAGCTGCTGGCGGCTGTCGGCGCGCAGCGAGAGGGGAAAAGTGCAGCGAGAAATGTTCGGAAATTGTGGTTTTCGTGATTTTCAGGTGATTTTCCGATGCTAGACAGGTCTAACTCAAACTGGCCCGGCCGCGACCGCGACCTTTTCCAATTTATCACTGAATTCACACGTGGTGTGCAGTAGAGCGCGATTGCAGTCAAATGCACCCCTTATAGGACGCGGCCTTGTTCGAAATTTATCGCATCAACGCCAAACTTGGACAGTCAATCAATAATGTTTGCCACGTTTCAATCCCCAGTCGTCCAGATTTTGAGCGCTTCTCACTTTACACACCGCCCGTTCCCTTCAACTTTTGCTCTCCGCCGCGTACTTTGAGCCAAACTCTCTCTCTCTGTCTCCCGCCGGGGATATCCCTCTTCATAAACACATCGGCGCCGACGAAAAGTGGGCGGAGTCTGAGCACACTTGTGCTCCGAGAGCTTCCTCGATCTCTCCTGCGCTCATTTCGCTCGGCGCGGCGCGTCTGTCGTGTTTATTTTCCATAATCGCTCGTGCAAAATGGACTGTCACTTGTCCGAGAACGTGCAAAAATCGTGTAAACGCAATTTCAGCCTGCATAATTACACCTCGTCATGTCTACTATACCCGATGATTCCGACGCTCCCCAAACGGTCCTTCGACCCGAGGACTATGTGAAAAAATTCGATCCGGAGGCGTATTTGCAATTTTATTTCAGCAAGTCAGTTCATTTTTCATAATAATCTTTATCTCGACACGGTCTCCAGAGCTGACAATGGGCGCAAGTGCGCCCCGCCCAAGAGAGCGATGCATTGGCGCGAAATTTAAATTTTAACAGAAAAATTTGTGTTTTTTGCCAGATTAGCCACGAAAAGCCGATAATTTCTCATTTGTCTTTTGATAGACCGATTGTATAGGCTATTACGAATTTTTTAAGCGCAAGTCGCAAATCACATTTATCCGTTTGAAGGTTTTTCGCTAAAACTGCGTGAATTTCAGTTGCTTTTCGGTAGTTTTCGCGGTTCGAGCGCTCAAAATGCTTGTATTTACGCGATTTATCATTCTCAAAACCAATTCTGTCTGAAAACGGTCAAGAAAGCGCAAAATGAGAAGTGCGGTTTTAGGCGGCGAGTCGTAATGATTATTTCAAAAAACGTGTGCTCTCAAACGTTGTAATTGATCATTTCTGCCTAAAATAACCCGATTGCAAAGTAACAAAGTACTTTGTGTCCGCATGTAGCTATCCAAAATGCGCTTTGCACTTTTCGACACAAAAGTTCACAAACAAAACCGATCGGTTACAATTTTCGAGAGGCCCAACCGCGAAACGCCCCTTTTTGTGTTTTTCAACTTTCCAACTCAAGAGGACGCTGTCTCAAGTGGATGGGATTCATTAAAATTGGACCGTACTGTAGACCATCCATAGAAAAGTCGGTATTTTTTTGCAGAGATGCGATCGAGGACGGCACGCGCGTCTCGCTGTTCGCACTGCCCGTCTTCGCGCACATTATGCTGCAAACGATGCGTCCGTCGGAGCGCGAGACCCTGCTCGATATTGGCGCCGGTCCGACCGTCTACTCGGCGCTCTGCTTCCGCGACGTCGCCAAAACGGTGCATCTGTCGGACTACGTCGAGCGCAATCTCGACGTTCTTCGCAAGTGGATCCGTCACGAGGAGACGATCGACTGGGTGCCGACGATAAAAGTGATCAAGCGGACCGAGGGAGGTCCGGTGCCCACGCAGGACGTGTGTCGGGACGTTGAGGAGAAGGCGCGGGGGCTTGTGAAATGCGGCGGCGTCCATTTCGCCGACATTCATCAGACCGACGTCGTTCCCGAGATGTCCGGCAAACACGTCGACATTCTCGTCTCGATTTTCACGCTCGAAAGTGCGTGCCACACTTATGAGGAGTACTGCAAGTGTGTTGCTAATATGGTCAGTTCGCACGCGTAAAACGTTTCGTTTCGCGTTTTCCCCGATTTTTGTGTAAAATCAGTTCGAAATGTTCGTTTTTTTCGCCCGGAAATTCTTTCGTTTCGTTCGTTCGTTCCTCTTTACACATGTCCACGTCACGCCAAACCGAAACAGATGTCTCACTTTTCACCCATTTGCCAGTGTAATAGAGTGTCAATGAGCTTCTTCACACGCGCAAAAAAGTCAATAGAACAAAACGAAATCCCCGCGTTTCAGATGCGACTTTTGCGTCCGGGCGGTCGATTCGTGATTGGTTCGGTGCTCGAGGACGACGCGTACAACTCGGGAACGCAGGTGAGAAACTTGATCTGTGTGCGCGCACTCTGACACAGATATACCTCCGTTGAGGTCAAAGATTTTCGGCGCACAGGCGCAAGATTATGACGTCAAGCGAGATTCTTTGCAAAGCAAGCAAACTCTGATGATCGCGAACATTATTTGTTGCGTTTTTGAGGCAGCGCGCTAAATTCTACGAAATTTTGCGGACTTTTGCGGAAAAAACCAAAAAAACGCACAATTTTCAGACCATCTTCCATCTGCTGAATCTGCGCGAGAAAATGGTGCTCGACGCGCTCGCCGCCGTCGGTTTGGACGTCGAAAACGCGAAAAAGTACGTTTTGGACGGCGAAGGCGTCATGTTCATGATGGCCACCAAACTCTGATCTTCGACGCGACAGTATTTCATGTAAAATAGGCGCAGGAAACGTAATCGTTAGGTGGCTCCGTCGTCGATTTTTTCTCGTTCGCTTTTCTGTCATTTTCGCATTCTCTAACCTTTTCATACTTCTTTTCTCTCTAAATATTTTCCTTTTTCCCGAAAATGTTGTATTCGAGCTTACCGGTTTGGTTCTCAATTTCTCCTGCCTTTTTAATAAATAGTTTTTTCCTATTACACGTATAAATAGACAGAAAACAAGAACACAACAAGCAATCATAATCAATTAAAATTAGAGTTCCTCCTTGGCCTCCTCTGGAAGCCGCTTGTCCTTTCCATCCCATTTCGGGGTCTCGACCAGCTTCAAAAAGTTATTCTCCTGCTTCGAGTCCTGAAAATTCAAAAAAATTAGGCCTAGAATTCAAAATTTCGCCAACCTCAATAGTGGAAACTCTCGCCCTTCCGTATCCGAGAGAATCGAGAAACTCCTTGATCGCATGCTCGGCGAACGAACCGATTTGGACGGCGTACTTCATTTTCGAAGGATTCAGGGCGGCGAGGACCGGATATCCCGAGTTTCCGACTCCAAAAGCGTGCTCGACGTCCTTCTGCGCGCCCGCCTCCATCCACAACCATCCGTACTTGCGTCCCTTGAACTTTTCCGCCAGTTTCTTCAGCATTTTGATGTGCTCCTTACGGCACTTCGATTGACAGTCATAGATGCTCGGCAGGAACACGAACATGCACAACTGCTTCTCCCGGCAGGCTTCCATCGCGACGCCTCTGCTGGTTGCTTCGACGACTTCCGGCGCGGCCGCGTAAGTGACGGAGAGGGCGTTGGCGAAAGAGATGAGTTCCTGGGCGGTGCGTCCGTTCGGATAATTCTCGGCGTCCGCCGCACTGCTTCCGGGAGGGAAGAATTTGATCGTCGGAAATCCTTGAATGTTGAATTTCTCCGCCGTTTTCTTATGAACCGTCGCGTCGAGGGCTCCGAATCGAACGAGATTCCCGGTTTTCTCGGCGGCCTTCCGCCACTCGGGCTCAAGCTTCTGACAGTGTCCGCACCACGGCGCGAAGAACTCGACCATCCAGATCTCCTTGCTATTAATCACCAATCTGTCGAAATTCGCGTCGGTGAGCTCGGTGACGGTTCCCGTCGTCTCCTTCCATTCATCGTCGGTTCTCGAGTTGATCGTCTTCAAAATCACCTTCTTGACCGCGTCCGTCAGTCCTTTCGCCGTTCGCTTTCCCGTGTACTCTGTCGGCTTCCGTTTGTCGAGCGCGTCGAAGATTTTGATCGTCGGATAGCCTTGAATGGCATACTTTTTCGCGTATTTCGGGTTGGCGGTCGCGTCGATCGCTGCCACGTTGGCCACGCCTTTCAGAACCTCCGCCGCTTTTATGTACTCCGGAACCAGGTTTTTGCAGTGACCACAACTGAAATTAAGCGGAATTTTTTAAAAATTAAGAGCCGGTTACTCACTTTGGCGAATAAAACTTGACAATCCAGATTTGATCGCTTGCAATCACTTTTGATGAGAAATTCTCGTCTGTCAGGTGCACGACGGCTCCTCGCTCCTTGTACAACGCGAAAAGCGGGCCGACGACTAAAAATTTAGGGATTTTCACGGAACTTGAGAGCAAAACCTACAAAGTAAGAGTAAAATCCACTTCATTTCGATGTTTTTTCCGTGCGATTTAATCGGATTTGGGGCAAAAACGAGTGGAACGGAAGTTTCTCGACCGGGCGCCGAATGTTACGCGAATTTGCGTCCATGTGTATTTTTGAATGTTTCCAATGAATCTCCGAAGATCCCTCGACGGTCCGTCCGTCCGGCAGAACGATTCTCTTCTTTTTCTCCCCGTCCACTGCTTTCTCAAAACGCCGCGCGTCGATTCCAATTTGTCGCATCGCTGCGAGACTCATTTGATCTACTTACCGGCTGCACGCGCAAATTTCTACCGTAAGCAGCAGTGCTTTTCTCGCTTTTCTCCGGCACGCTTTTCGTCTTCTTCTTTATATTTTCCGCGCGGCGCATCGCATCTTTTTGCAGTTTGTGTGAGTTTTTGGCCGGTTTGCTTGCGAATTCCGTCTAATTTCGTCCTTCTTCTCTGAAAATTCTCAAGAAATAACAGTTTTCTGTGATTAGCCGCGATTTCTATTATTTTTCATAATTTCCAGTCAAATTCGACGGCGACTTGTTTCTCAATCAGTTATCTGTTATCGCTCTGCAATTGTCGGTCATTTTTTCTTGAAAACAGACATTCTCAATAGCTTCTTCGTAAAAAGCGTTTTTTGGCCCTTTTCGAATAAATTTCTGTGCAAACACTGAGATTTTCAGAATAGTTTATTTCACAACTTTTGAGTTCCATCATCACTGGGCGGCGACCGATCCAATCCCAGAATGAGATCGTCTCGATTCGGAGATTCGGGAGACCGACTCAAACACGGTTTCTTCGCAAAAGACGCTTCCGATTCCTCGGATTCGGCACGTCCACGCTGAAAACTTATTCAATTCGCAATAGAGCGCACTTTACTCGTAGACAAACCGCTTTTAGAAGTACTCGTTTCACCTCATTACAAGAATTTCCGAGTTCTAAAAGATTGAAAGCCGAGCTGATCATTTTGAGATTGACCGGCGCGTAAATTGAAATGTAGTTGCAGAATTGGTGTAAAGTCTGCGGAAAATAGTGGGCGAGTTTATTTTAATGATAATTTCTCGGTACCTGTCCCAAATTATGATGTCTGTTCAGTTCTTGCACATCGTTTTTAAACTTTTCAAACATTTCCAACAACTGCTTCACCTCATCGTAACTAAATCCGATTTGCATTAGTTCGAATTGTCGTTCGGCCGGAAATCTCATCAAATCCTCTTCCGACGCCATCGGGGCCAACATTTCCGGATTTTTTCGCTGTAATAATGTTCGTAAAGGCCTAAAAGTTGTTGTAGAGTGTTTACCGGATGATGTAGAAGATTCTGAAGCGTCGTGGGCGTCACCACAAAACTTTGACTATCCGAAACAAGAGAGTTTTGGGATTGAGAGTCGAAGGCTTGCGAAAAACCGAGTGGCGTACTGGGCTCGAATTTCTGAACGTTTCAAGTTTGATAAGACATTGAAATTCGAGACATTTTTTGCAGATTCCGGCCGAATTTAAAACTCAAAATAGAGTCAGAATTAGAGCAAGTTTTCACGAAACCTACATCTTTATTCGACTTTAACCGATTTTTCAACGAAGCTCTCTGAATATCGGCTGCTCGACAAATTCTATCGAAGAAAATCTCTTTGTGAGGTCCCAACATTGTTGATAGCCTAAAAAATTATATCTTTTTCGAACGACTGCAAAAAGAGAATTGCCCCGAACCAGGATCGAACTGGTGACCTTTAGATCTTCAGTCTAACGCTCTCCCAACTGAGCTATCGAGGCGTCCGTCATTTCGGACGGCCCGCCGCCTATACGTACGTGTGTATTTTGCGCAGTTGGTCGAAAGTGATGGCCGTTTTCGCGTTCGCACTCGACTCCTTCTGCTGACGAATGTCGCGTTCCAGAGACTGAATTTCTCGTTCACATTCCTATAAACAAATGTGTTCTTCTCAATTGCTTTGAAATGCCGACTTACGTGTAAAGACATGTATTGACTTAGTGACGCATCGTCGTTACTGCAAAAAAGGTGTATATCTCATCTGCCTGTATAGATATCAAAAATTTGTAGACCGATAAATTGTTCTTTATAAAATTTTGAACATTTTGTACGTTGACAACTTTCTCATATCTCTACCGACAGCTGAGATATATCGATTTAAATAAAATACAGTTCCTACGGTAAGTAATTATTGGAATTTTTATTTAAAAAAAAAGGAGCACTTACGGATCATATTTTGAAATGGAAAACGTCGACTCTTGACTATCGTCCATTTGAATGAGAATGAAGAAGGAGTCCTTTCGGTTGTTGATGATAAGAATTACTTATCATTCCGGCACAATCGTCATCGTGCTCAAGACCCCCAAACACGCTCTGCACCTCCCCGATCGATGCTATTTGACAATTTTTATGATTTTAGGTCATTTTGCCAATGACTCATCCCCCGTTTCTTCCTAGTCTCAATATTTTAATCGTCCGTATGATTACTGTAGTTTTGACGACCAACGACGTGATTTCGCGTCACGGTGTTTGCGGACTTTTGTCAATAAAACTTATGAAATCACTCAGGGATTTGAGGTGAGGAAACAGCGGCGGAAAGCGGGTGGAACACACTTACAACCGTGTTTCTCCACAGTGCCGCCGCTGCTTCGCCAGAACTCCGCCAGAACAGTGCGTCGTTTTCCGTTGCAACGGCGTTCCGCCACCGTTTCGCCAAAGCTGCCGCCGCAGTGGTCTCGCCACGATTTGAGTTTGGCGAAACAGCGTTCCGCCGCAGTTTCCTCAAAACGCCTCTTCCGCCGCTGTTTCCTCACTTCAAATCCCTGAGCAGGCAAAACACTGAAAAAAGACTATAGTTTTTTCAGCGAAAATGCTCGAGCCCAAGAGCATACACGCTTCGATCGAATCGATGAGCGTCGTGGACACCTCCTCCGACATTGAAAAACTCGGACAATCTGTGAGTTTTTTTTTCAAATGTTCACTCGCAAATTCAAATTTTCAGTTTGTCGAAGAATTGCGCCCGAGAATGCTGCTCACCTGGCACGATGTCACAGTTTCAGTGCGTGTTTTTTTTGTTTTTTGAATTTTTACGCAACAATTCCCAAAATTTAATTCCAGGACGTCTCGGAATCGGAGAGTTCGCCGGGCCGCTTCGCATTCTGCTGCCCATCGTCGAAGATTAGCGATATTGAGAAAATACCGGACGAACGACGCATTTTGGACAATGGTAAACACGAAATGGTCAAAAATTGCAAAAACTTAAATTTTCCCAACCAAAAGAACAACTTTTCAAGTCCAAAACCTTAATTTTGAATCAAAATACGACGTTTCCTGCAAAAATCACTCAGCCCGCTTTGAAATTCGTAGAGCGCACTCGCTAATTGTTTTACGTCTGAAACTATGAAGATCCCGTCGATTTTAGGTAGAGCACACTTGCCAGTCCATAATTTTGTTGCAGTGTTCGGAGTGGCGCGTCCCGGAGAAGTGACGGCTATCATCGGTCCGAGTGGAGCCGGAAAAACGACGTTGCTGAATGTGCTCACGAAGAGGAATCTGGCGAATGTGAAGACGGAAGGAAGTGTGAAAGTAGGCATTTTTTATTGATTTTTCAGACCATTTTGATGATTTCCTTCATTCTTTGTCTTCTCCGGCGCGGCGGTAGTCGTCGACGATAAGCACGGGACTACGGTACTCTGGTACTGTTGCGGATATTGTCGTTGAGCGTAAAGTTTGGCGCTCGATACGCAAACACTGTCCTCGCAGTCGGCGGTTTTGGCGGCGAGAACCGTGTCGACGGGCGTCAGGCAGTCGACCAACTTGTTGACGGTTTTCTGGAATCATCTGCTGTTTTTCACTTGTGATCGAATGTGGAATCATATTGTTTTTTGGGTAACGTCATGTTCTGTGAGGTTTCAGGGGGGAAACGGCAGGAGAAGCTGATTTTTAGGGCTGGAAATCGGATGATCAAGATACTAGTTGTCAATTCCAAGTCCCCATTGAAGCGGAGAAAAATTCTGGATGCGAGGGAAACTCTATTTGCGCGGTAGAAAAGAGAGGCGGAGACTCGCCCCCAGAGGAGTTTTCTCATCATTTTCTCTGGCAGTGGGAAGCGGATCGCTCTCCCTGGCCTGCCATTTTTTTGTAAAAAAGAGGTAAAAAAAGGCCGTACCTTGGTAGCTTTCGAGAACTTTGGCGCTTTTGTTGCTCCATTCACACAAACTAGAAAGAATGAAAGAACAAATAGAAGTGATAGAATCCTACGCATGATTCTACTGTCAAACTGTATCTACGATTCCCAGTCGACCTCCTATAATCCCGAAATAATCCGCCGACCGTGTTCAAATCTTCAATCAATTTATTTTACAAAAAAAAACGACCGACTAGAGATCAAATAAAAGCAGAAATACGGGTGAAATTGGGCTAAATGAGATCAAGTATTGTTTTTGAATTTCAAGCTTTATCCGAGCAGAACTCTTCTCATGATCGGCTCGATTTCCTCTTCCGACTCTGACGACGTCTCGTAATCCGACACCGGAACGCCGGCCGAGCAGCGAGGAGAGCTGGAAATTTGGGAATGTCATCCAGTTTTTATTGAGTGGAGCGAATTACCATAGGAATTGCATGAGCGGCACTCGGTACTTTCCGCAAAAGTCGACAAATTTTACGTGTTCGACGCGGGCGTCAAAGTAAACGCCCTTGCATTCGGGGTTGACGCACTGGCAGGCCGAGTTGAGATATGCCACGAGGTCACTGAAAAAACACTACCGTACTCTTTCTCTGATTTGTTCGCCCCGATCATCGAGACCAATCGGATCGAGATCGAACGAGTACACGTACGTCGGCAGAATCTCCTCGAACTTTGGAATCTCGTGAATGTTTTGACGGACCGATCGCCCCGATAATTCCTTCAAACTCGGCGGCGACAAGTCGATGTTGTGGACGAACGAGTGGACGAGCGGATTGTTGCGCAGCGAGAGTTGTTGAAGACGTCGGAGGTTCAGAATATCGGTTGGAAGCGTCTGAAACAGGGGAATTTGTCCGAAATTTGCTCGGGAAAACGTACTCTGAGTTTGTTGTTGTGAAGCGAAAGCGTTTCCAAATAGTGCAAATCGCCCAAAGTCGACGGAATGGTTTCGAGTACGTTGTCGCAAAGTGCGAGGTTTTCCAGCTGATACAAACAGCCGATCGAGGCGGGAATCTCGCGGAGACGATTTCCGCCGAGGTACAGAACGGTCAGTCTGGAAAAGTGGTCTTTCGTTTTTGGTTTGGACGAATCGGGAAATCGAAACGTGTTTTGAATTATTCGTAAAAATTGGTCGCTTTTCCATCACTTTTTGTTTGAAAACTCACGATTCGAGTGTGTTGATGGTGTACGGGAGGTTGTCGATGCGATTCGCACCCAAATGAAGCGTCTTTAGCTTTCGCATCGCCATCACGACCGGCGGAAAGTAGTCGAATCGATTTCCGGAAAGGAACAAGTGTTCCATGTTCTCGAGGAATTGCATCGATTTTGGCAGATGCTCGAGCAAATTGTTACGCGCCACGAGGGTTCTAAAAAAAATGAATATTAGTGAAACGTTGAATTTTTCCGAAAGAAAAAACGTACGTCAAACCGGTGAGAGAGCCGAGATCTTCGGGCAAACTGGAAAGCGAGTTGAAGGAGACGTCGAGCACTTGAACATTGCGAAACGTTTGAAGCCCGCGTAGAATGACGAACGAATTTTGAGTAACATCCAATTTTTTGACGTTCAACGGATCGTAATCCTCGTCCGGTTGCTCGACGTGATAGCGCATCGGAATCTCCTCGAGACCGTAGTCGTGCAGAACGAGCTCGTCGCATTTGGCGCTTCTGAAAAAAAGATACCGTACTTTTGGTACATTTCCTAGAGAAAAACTTTGGTAGAGAAGTAGTAGTCAGAGACAAAGAGATGATTATCGCACAATCTAGTTCTCCTTCTTCTTCTTCTTCTAATACACACAAAAACTAACCCGTTGGGCCAGAGATTCTCGTCGGTTCGCCTTGACGGCCAGACGGGAAGAAAGACGGACGAGGTCGACGGGGTATCGGACATTTTGTTTGGAGTGAAATGGAAGGACACAAACCCTGAACGGAGAAATTGTTTCGATAATAGTGGAACGCGGGGAAAGCAGTGGTAGAAGAGGGATGATAATTCTCACAAAGTGTGGAGAAGAATGGGGGCGGAGTCGAAGACACAGGGGGGAATCTCTCATTTCCCCTCCCCCAGGGACGCCTTGTGAGAAGAAGAAGAAGAAGAGGATGAGAGACACATTTTTGATGACAATTAACGAGTGTGAGTGTGTGATTTCGCTTCAAAGTTCGATTGAGACCACAGTACACTTGATTAGGGGGGTGACAAGAACTAGAAGATAGTTGAAGAAGCGGCGGTACGGTAGGTTTTTGGACCCTGGGCCTTGCAGAGAAAGAAACGGGGGAAGTAATTTTAGGACGCACTTTAAAACATTTTGGAAAACAACCAGAATCGTCAAAGTCTGCTAAAGGCAGACATCCTTTAGCGGACTTTGACGACGTCAAAAATGTTCTCACAGTCCATTGTACCACCTTGATTTTTTTCATTTCAAAATAGTAAACATTGCCTCCTAATAGCAATTCCCTGGGCGCCGAAGATTTCTGTTCTTGGAGTCTTGAAGAATGTCCGTTTTCTTTTTTGAAAGAGCGAATAAATCGGTCAACTTTTCGTGCCGAGACCCCTCCGTTTTGACAGCGATCTTTGAAGGATTTCATCTTATCATCTCGCTCGCTTATCACCTTTAGAATCACGTGAAAAACGCGTTGGAAGTGAGAGTTTGAAGGAAAAATTTTCGAAAATTGAAAAATGAGGAAAAGACAACTGCCATTGTTCTCCGTCGACCCTCTCGTTTCGCGTCTTCGTTTGAAAAATCTAGATAAACCCTTCCGCGAAGGTCATCGGGAACAAAGTCTGGTCCAGAGAACGTCTATAGTTTCGCCGGCGATCGATATCACGCCGCGGACACATGGACTGATGATAAGAGGTTCTCCTCTTCGTTTTCAAAGATGATCGGACGAATCAGTAGTTCCGTGTCCTTGGGGGGCTGAGGACGAAAAGTTACACACACTCCCGAGAACAAGAACAGCTGACGCCTACGTAGGGGTCTGATCGAGATGGATCCTTTGAGAAAGAGCAGAAAGGGAACTAGGTTTTGGTTTTGGTTTCGAAAAAATCTTTGACGGGTACACTTTTAAACAGTGATAAATTTTACACCTATCTTGATTAGAACTGTCGACGCGAGGAATCACGTGAAGAAGGGCAAAAGTACGAAACTGGTGGAAACTTTGTTTTTGACATAAAAAAGGACTGGCGTGATGTCATTGTTTTCAGAAATCTAGTTCTCAAAATTTTTAAAACGGTCGAATTGAGTTGGCGAGGTTCTGATTGTTCTCTGAGTGATCCGAGATGATTTTGTCGGATTCTCGAGACGAGACGCGGTCACCCCGGCAGAACCTAGGCCATCTTTACGTTAGTAGCCACAGTTGACAGTTTTTTCGCAACCCGATGTCTCTATGAACTTTTACAGTGCAAAGGACCCCGAAAACAAAACACAATTTTGCGCCTTCGAATCCGGTTAGCCTTGCATTGTCGTGTTTAAAGGCCTTCTTTATTTTTTGTAATGAGAAATCAGGAATGATTAGTAAAACGAGTGCTGACTCGGCGATTGCATCAGCAGTCCGTAGGAACATGTGCTCGTAGTGAGGTAATCTTGAAAGCACACACACACACACACACTCACAGAATATGACAATTCGATCACAAACTTGTCGCCATGTGGCTTATGCAATAACGAGCGCACAGAAAATCATTTGCTGCGACGCCGCTGACGCCGTCTCCGCCGCCCACGCGCTCATTTGTCTCTCTTGCGGTTCTGAGATGTTGTGACGATGTTGCGAACCGAACCGAACCGAACCGATCCAATCCGATCAGCCTTCTTTCAATATCATCATTCTCTCCTACCGTACACTTCTCTGATGTTAAACTGATTAACGTTCAGGTCAATGGAATTCGTGCGGAGCGCAGTTACATGCGTCAGGTGTGCGCCTACGTTCAGCAGGACGACTGCTTCATCGGATCGCTGACCGTCGAGGAGCACCTGAGATTCATGGCGAAACTGCAAATGGGCAGCGATCATGGCGATGTGGAGCAGGAGCGACGCGTCCAAGCGGTTATGCGAGATGTACGGAAAGCATTAAGGACCACTTGCAATAGGCTTCTTGGACTGGGATGGAAGTATTTTGGGCCCAAGTTTCAGACCGGTCGGATTATCTGGTCGGGAGAGAGACCATTTCGGGACCGGATAATCGGAACGGTCCCAAACTTGGACCGAAAACACTTCAATCCCAGTCCAAGAAAGCCTGCATCCAAAACTCTTTATTCTTCAGCTGGGACTTGAAAATATCGCCAACTCGATCATCGGAACTCGCACGCGCAAGGGCATTTCCGGAGGCGAGAAGAAACGTCTGGCATTCGCCAGTGAGGTATCATGTGGCCTTCCCAGTCCACCGTCACCTTCTCTCTTCCAGATTCTCACCTCACCGCCGATTTTGATTTGTGATGAGCCCACTTCCGGCCTGGACGCGTTCCTCGCCTATCAAGTGGTGTGCGTGCTCAAAAAGTTGGCCGCCTCGCGAAACATGACGATACTCGTGACGATCCATCAGCCGTCGTCGCAAGTTTTTGCGCTTTTCGATAGGTAACCGTAACCCGAAATTTGCTCACTTCATTTTCCACACAATCAGTGAAACAGACACCGTTTGAATCAAATTTTTGCGATGTGGTGTTTGCAGACTCATCTTGTCAACCGTAACCGCCAAGAAGACACGATTTTTGTGCTATTTTTGCTGTTCAAAACTTGTTCAAAACTATGTCTCTGTCACTGATTTTGTGGCAAACGAGCCAAAGTTGGATGTTTTTTCGAGAAAATATCAACTACAGTACCTCTGCTTGTTTTTCAGTGTTTACATGATGGTCAACGGCAAAGTCGCGTTCTGCGGCAGCCAATCGTCGGCGGAGAAGATGTGGGCGGAGCTGGACCTGCCGATTCCGATGAATTTCAATCCGTCGGACCACTATCTGGCGACCATGTCGATCAGGGATCCGCGCGAGGAGTCGGCGAAGAGAAAGCAGATTGCGACGATCTGCAACACGTTTATGTATTCGGAGAGCGGCAAGGAGGTGTTCCGTCAGTCAAGCGGCCGGGAAATTGACGAAAGTGGGCGAAGCCACGGTGCGGATTACTGTAACGAGACTGTAGATTCTTCAGGAGACAGGGCCGACAGTGAGGCGTGGCGTCGGCGATACGCGTCGAAATTCGGAAACCCGAAATTCGGCGCCTCGTTTCTGCAGCAGATTTGCGCGTTGACGTGGAGAGCCTGGAAGACGGTGCTCCGCGAGCCCACGCTGCTCAAAGTGCAAATATTTCAAAGCATAGTGAGAAAACTGAGCAAAATTCGGCCCCAGAAACCTGATATTGCAGATTATCGCGGTGCTCACCGGACTCATCTACACGAACAACAGTCCGGTGGATCAGCGCAAAGTGATGAACATCAACGGATCGCTCTATCAAATGATCTCCAACATGGCTTTCATGTTTCAGTTTAGCGTCGTACACGTAAGTTGAAAACCGATTGAATAACAATGCTTTCTGCAGTAGTTGTTGCAAATTACGCAAATACTACTTTTTCAAATGCGAAACGTCAATTTCGGCCTAAACACGGCGTTTTTCAACTTGAAATGCAGAAATCATTCGGCTCGCCTTAAAATTTGAAATTCCGCGCACAAACTTGACCTAAAACTTGAATTTTAAATCCTCTCGGTTTTTGCAGCACTTCTGCCTGGAAATGAACACATTCTACCGTGAAACGGGCTCGCATCTCTACCGCGTCTCGGCCTATTTCCTCGCGAAAAACCTGGCCGAACTGCCGTCGTACACGATTTCGGCGCTCGTGTTCACCTCGATCCTCTACTGGATGTCGGGCCTCGTGCCGCTCGTCGACTCGTTCCTCATCTACATGCTCGTCGGATTTCTCGTCCAGAACATTGCCATCTCGATCGGCTACCTCTTCAGCTGCGTGTTCGGCACCGTCAATCTGGCCGTCGCCGTCATGCCGATCTTTGTGGTGCCGATGATGGCGTTCGGAGGCTTCTTCATCAATCAAAACACCCTCCAGTGGTACTTTGTGCCGCTCAAGTACCTCTCCTACTTTGGCTACGGATACGAGGCGATCGCGATCGGCCAATGGATCCACATCGACGATATCCCCGGCTGCTCGAGATCTTCCTCGGATCACTGCGTCCGAAACGGAACAGAAGTGCTCCAGGAGCTCAGTTTCAAGCCGTCCAACTTCTGGACCGACCTCGCCGTCATGGGATTCATGATAATCGCCTTCCGATTCTTGGCCTTCTTGGCCCTCTTTTTCCGTGCCAGAAGCCGCAGATGAGAGATATTTGCAGGGCTGGACAACTTTAGATGACACAAGCAGGCTTCATGGACTTGGGTTGAACTATTTTGGGTACAAGTTTCAGAACGATCGGATCATCTGGTCCTGAGAAATACTGCCTTTAAGACCAGCACATCTCGGGACCAGATAATCGGATCCAAGGCCGAGAAGCCTGTTTGTGTCCGATCGTGGGTTGCCCAGCCCTGGGCGTTTGTAAAATAGATATATTTATATACGTTCCAGAAGTTGTTGTCCGTTTTGTTTTAAATGTATAAATGAATAAAAGTTTTAAGGTCGCTGGCCCGCAGCGCTTTTCCGGACGAGCGGGCAAAAATTTTGTGTGGCCAACAAAAATGTTTTCCTTTTCTTTTCTTGGTTTTCTCGCTCTCTCTCTCTCTTTCTCTCTCCGGGTACATAGTAAACCTCATTGAGTTTTTAAGTCCCAAAAACGCTCCCCGCCCCCCCGGGGGATTTTGTTTCCCATTTGGGCGGCGGAAAACGAGTGAAACGCCACTGGCCACTTGGAAAGAAAAAGAAGAAGAATAGTTGTTTGGGCGAGGAGCAGAAAAAGAAGAAGATTTGCATTTATTGTGGCCATTCTTTTGCCCATTTCATCTCCTTGAGATTTTTGGAGCCTAAAGACTTTGGCGAAACGAGATTAGGCACACATGCAAGTGGATGGGAATTGAAAATTCTTGTCAAACTTGGGCTAAAGCCTTTTTCTAGAGCTTTCCTGTGAAAATGCTAAAACCTACTCAGCGATTCGGAAAAGGTCCGCTGAAAATGAAAAAATTACGAATTCCTAATCGTCATCGAAGCTAAAAATGTCTTGGAAACTTTGGCGCTAATGCTAAACACAGTGCGCTCGTAAGTTGCGGAGTGTCGTTGTAACTTTTGAAAATTTGCAGGTCCAAAAATGCAGTTCAATTCGAGTTTACGACCATTATTTCCTTCTTTTTGACTTGAAAAAACGTCTAGAAAACAATATTTTACTGATTGGAAACCGTTCTTTACAGAATTTAGAGTTTTTCATGTTTTTAGCGTCTTTTTAGAATTTCGTCAAAACTTCAAACCTTTATATTTCAGCTCATTTTGCATTTTATGAGCCCAACGAACGATAAAAATGTTCGCTGAATCTTTCTTCACAAAATTGAGGTTTCGGCGGTTAGTCTTCTTGAGCAGTTTTCGAAAACTATTCGAAAAACATCAAAATCCAGGCCAAAACCTTCAAATCGAAATAACTCGTCTAATTCTCAACGATATGTGAGATTTCTGTTACCAAGACGTAGCTAGTGCTCAAATTATTCGAATCCAGGTTCCAGGCGTACAAAAAAGAGGTGTATTGTACAGAAAACATGGAAAGAACGCGAACTAAATCGACACAGGCCGCCTGTTGCAAGTGCGCCCCATTGAATTCATTCGCGCCGTGGGAGACCGCCGGCGGTCTTAAAACATGCTCTGCAGAGCGCTCTGTAAAGTTGACTAATTCGCTCGACTAAATTTAGTTTGTGATGCGGCAACAAAACGTATCCGCTAATCTCGTACTTCCTTGAAAAACGACTCATCATCATCATCATCATTTCCTCATCCGTCCGAAGCTTTCACCTCCGTCAAATCACCGAGACGACGACGGCAGCCTAATCCTAATCTTTTCGCAGGCGACTCGCTCTCCGCTTGCCCCCCCGGTGAAATCGGAGACGGTCGGAGGGCGGCTCCTCCTCGCTTTCCGATTAGTTACATGAGATATTTATTTGTTGGCAAAACGAGACTTTGTCTCTCTTTTTCTTCTTCTATCGGATCCTCAATTTTTCGCTTTTTTCGCTTTTTTTAAACCCATTTGACGCACTTGAACGTTTCGGGCCTGAATAACTGCAGATAATTTAAAAATTATGTTCCTCTAAACATTTTTTCTCACCGGTCCCACCTTACATGCTAAAAAAAGTGCGCAAGTGCAATGTAAGCGGATCAGACACCCAATTTCCGCTCGAGTCTCCTCGAATCTTCGAATCTCGGGGGCAACCGATCTCTGAACTCGTGTCCGCCTTCTCCTCCTCCTCCTCACATCTTGGTCGCTCTTTCTGCGGCTTCCGGATAAGCGATATTTTTTTTTCGGCGAAAGCTTACACCAGCTCTTTGTACTACTACTATTATGTACATTTCTGGCTCGAATGGCCGAATGACTCACTCTTACTATTCATTCATTCATTCATTCATTTATTTGCGTCCAGATTCAAAGAACTGACTAGTTCACTTGTCTTGCTGTGTGAACGCTATTGAAAAATCTGAAAAATCGATAATTAATTTTTTTGCAAACAATGCCCAATTTCAAAGCCACGTCATCATTTTCGCTCACTCGCCGCCGACTGGGGTTGTAGGCTCTCTAAAAATATCCGTCCAACACTCAGAAATACATTTCTCCGTCATAGTGTGTTTGTGTGCGAGCACGTCTGTTGTCTTGATTCACCGCCCATCATCCGGTGGAGTTGGTAGTAAACCAAGTCAAAATATTATATGGGTTAGCAACAACAAAAAAATTCGAGACTTTACGCTATTGAGTATGTCAAAAACCGACTTTACCCTCGCGTATAGTACTCGAATTTCAAAAAAGTGATTTTTGAGTCCATTTTTGCACAATTTTTTCTCTACGGCGCGCGGGCAGGCGAAAATTTGAACCACGCCGATTTTTGCGTGAAATGTTTCGGAAAAAACGTTGACAAGCCCGGTTAGAAACGTTATTTTTTGCAGAAAAGGTGAAAAAACAGCTCGCGCTTATTCTCACACACGCATTATGTGTATAACGAAACGGAGAGTGCGGAGGGCGCAGAGAGCACGAAACTGCGGCTCGGCGCTCTGCTCGCTCCTCGATTCGTGTGCTGCTTCGGACTTGTCGACGGACGGACGGACGGGGGCCTCCCGCTTCGTTTCTCCGCCGATCTTCTTCAATACTCTTTTTTTTTTTTTTTGCTTCTGCTGCCGCCGCCGCTGCTGTTTTGTCGTCGTTCATGCTGACGGCGAGCTTTTTTCGCAACAAAAACTTTTTATTTTTATCGCTTTTACTGGAACCTTCACGGTCAGCTGTCGCTAGAAATATCTTTAAAGGCGCACACGCGCTTCTTGCAAATTTGCAAAATTCTTACGTGAGCAGTCTGTTCTTCACCTTTTCCGAAAAAACATTGTGAGTTTCTTTCCGTTGAAATTCTGACCACACACTTGTTGTTTTGTAATCCTCCCTCTCGAGAGCTCTCTGGAACAATTCAGTTGGAATTTGCAGAACATTTCCGCGATTTCAGCATTTTTTTCGCAATTTTTTAATGGGGTTATTCAGGCTGTGAAAAAAATGATTGTTTTCCGTTTTTTTTTCGTTTTTTTACGTCAAAAAATCCAATTCAGCGTTTAAAAAAACGGAAAACAAACATACGCTGAATAGCCTCATAATCGAACATGTTCTAGACGTTTTGCGCAAATTTCGGACGTAACTAACAGTTTCCCGTTCAAATGAGTGTCGGAGACGAGAAGAAACCTAAATTCAAGCATTTTGAGCGTTCGACCAGCGAAAATTACTGAATTTAGAGTATTTGCAGCACAAAACTCGAAAATCGTGCAAAATGTAGGTAAAATGGGTTGAAATCTGAAATTGGCGCCAAAATGATGCTAGGCCACGCCCATGTACGCTGTACTTTAAAGGTGCATGCCGGAATTGGCGCCCATCAGGTTTTCGAGCTTTTTCCTGCTGGCTCCGCTGTCGGCGCTTCTGAAATTTCATCCGCCGAACATGAATAATTCATGAGAGTTTAGTGTTGGCGCAGTGTGTGTGTGTGTGTGTGTGCACGAGGAAATCAAGACACCCCTCTTCCGTCCGTTTTCCCCTTTTTTGAGTCGGCGGCGAGCCAAAAAAAGTGAAGTGAAGAGGAAAACGGAGGCGCTTTAACTTGTCACTCTCCCGAAATGTGAATGTTTTGAATCCGAAATCCGCGAAAAACTGCAAAACGTTATTTCGACAAGAGTTGGCCTTATAGCAGATTCCGCCAGCGCCAAACATTTTCACAAGTGCCCTCTAACAACACTTTGCTAGTAAGCATTTGCAAAACAAAATATGAAATGAGTTGACTGAAAATAATCTGAAGAAGCCACACACACACACACACACACACTCATCGCTCAATTTAATGATCTTTCCCCGCATCGTTAACTGCTTTCTCGTCTCCGTCTCGCCCCCCGGTTTCTCGCCTTTTCCTTTTCCAATTTTTCTCCGTGAGACACGTCTCGAACGCGCGGAGGCAAAACAGATGAGACTGGATGATGGCCGTCAGGTGAGATAAGGTGTGAAGTGAGGAGAGCCCCGGCCGCTTTTATTGTGCTGCTCGCTCCGGAGCCCTCCCCCACCCTCCCCCTCTCTCCGGGGCCCCCTTCCTTCCGCCACTTGCTCCCGTTGCCAACCGGCGCGAACTTTAACCCCCTTGCCGACACTTTTTGCCGCATACGCTCCATTTTCACACGCACTAATCCCCGCCCCGCCGTCTTACTTTTTTACTTTACTTCTTTTTCTCGAGCCGACCGGAATTTCCCTCAAAGTGATTACTTTTCAAAACGCCCTTCAAATTTTATTCATGTTCACAAATGTTCACAAATGTTCGCCGTGATCGAGCTGAAAGTTCATTTTAAAATTTCGCGAAATGTGGAATTGAAATCGGAGACCTCTGTCGTATTGATATCGACCCTTTGCTCATTATGAAATGAGATGAGCCGCCCGCAGTGGTCCCTTTCGAAAATCGGCCAAAGTTGTGAGAAATTTCTGATTTTTCCGTTTTTTACACTCGCAAATTTGTGGATTTTCGAAAAATTCGCTTTTTTCACTGGCTTCTCCCGCAGAGAACATATTTTTCTAGGCAGCTCAACACGATGTATTTAACTTTTTTTCTCACAAAATCTGTGTTGTTCAAATTAATTTAATCTCATCGAGATTCAAAATTTTACGAAAAACATTGAATTTCACTGGGGTTCGGCTCGGGAAATTCTGGCAAAACAAGGGCCGAATCGTGAGCAGCGAATCGTTTTTTTTTGTATCGCTGACACCAAAAAACCTCGATTTTGCTCGAAAATTGTTTTCTGCGGAACCGTTTCACACTTACTTACTATTAGTTACGCGCTTCGCTCACGTGGACACGATGCCTTGCGACGTTTGGCGATCAGTCGGGTTCTTTGCCGGATGCGAGCCACTCCATCTCATCGGCGGTCTTCCTTCCGGTCGTTTCGTGTCTCTTTTTCTAGTTCGCCGTGATTTCACACTTTTCTCGCTGAAAAAACACAAAATCCCACCTCGAAACCCTAGAATTTTTTTTGCGTCCGTCCGTCCCACTTTCCGCTCCTTCTGCTTCAGAAAAAAGCCTCAGAAGAAGATAATTGCCCGGCTCCGAGAGAGTTCCTTTAAAGTTCGCCTCCATCGGAGAATCCCTTCCTTCTTTGTCTTTTGCTTCTTCTTCTTCTTCTTCTTCCAAGAAATTGAAAAATGAGGATTGAAAGGCCAAGAAGGACCTTTTTCTCTCTTTCTCCTTCTATCGACGAGACTACGAAGTAGAGAAGAAGAAAAAGCAAAAGTTTTTGGTGCAAAAAAGAGAAAGGGTGCCCAGCGGCCGGCCGGCTTTGTCTCGCCGCCTCTTGTACACACTTTTCGCGTGTGACGTCATCATCCCGTCTTCTTCTTCTTCTTCTTCTTCAGCGAAAGGGACCCTCGGAGAAGAAGGAGAAGAAGAAGAAGAAGAAGAAGAAGCGGCCGGAAAGGGCTCCTGGAGCACACACGGCACACACAGAGAAGGCACGAAAAAGAGAGATGTGCACTTGGCGCCCGCCAAAGTTTTGATTGCACAATTTGCCGCGCGCGCACGCATGCTCTCTGCGGCCTCCCTCCAACGTTTTCCCCTTTAATTCACTTTTCTTCCCTATAAACAGAGATTTTTCGAGCGCCGAAGCGATCATCATCATAAACATTTTGAATTGTACTTGGCGAAATTTCAAGCGAGCATGTTGTTACGTCAAAGACTCTCGGAAGCGGCGTGGCCGTTTGTTCGATTCTTAATTTCTTCGTCGCAATCATCACGGCTAGCTTTTGTGAACATATTTTTATCGTTCCGTATCGCAAACCGTACCGCTTTAGCACCCAAATGAGTCGCGTTTCGCAACAAACGTGAACTACTCAGCGATAATTTGCACTGTCAAAGTTGACGTGGGTCAGGAGACGTCGGGAGAGCCTAAAATACGGGCGGGAGATTCAAACCATGTTCACAAATGTTCGCCGTGTTAATATTCTCATTTTAGAGTCAAAAATGAGCTTCAAGACTTTCGAAATAACCCCATGAATGAATAGCGAATGCAAATTTTAGGAGATACCGGTAATAGATGATCCTCGCTTTTCACTAATTCGCTAAATCAAAGTTCGATCGATTTTTGAAACATTTCACTCGTTAATTTTGATTTAAAAAAAACTTAAGTGACTAGACAACTCTTTCGCCAGACCGTTCGTAAAATGTTGTGCCTCGGCCTCCCGTTCAGCAGCTTTCAAACGAATTTTTTTCGCACACCAATTTTTAAGCTTTAATTTTGCAGAAAATTTGCGAATACGCTCAATCCAAATGCGTACTCCGTACACGACGGGCGTTCTTTTAAACAGAATCCGCAGCAGGCGCGCAGCACCCACAAATCGCATTAGCTCGTTCTCGTCGTCGTGTTCCTTCTCGCTCTTTTTTTGTCGTCTTGTGGCGCCCCAAAAAAAGAAGAAGGAGTAAGGGGCCATGGCGGACAGGTGTTTTATTTATTGGCCGTGGTCCGTCTTGTGCTCTCTTCTTGGGCTTCTTCTTCTTCTTCTTCGTCTTCTTCGTCTTGGCTGGCTCTCTCGGTGGCGCGGCCCCGGCCGTTTCCTGTGTGTCGCACCACCTCAACCCGAGAACGAGAAAGAGAGAGAGAGAGAGAAAGCAGCTTTCTCTCTCTCTCTCTCTCTCTTTCTCTTTCTCTCGGTGCCGCCCACCACATCACCGGTGATCATCATCATCCAGGACATCCAGGCAAAATGAGCCGAGGAGGAAACGAGAGCACACTTTTAATCTTTTCCACCTCTTCACACTCACTTGCGCGCCCTCTGGATTGATAAGGATTTTTTCATCGCCAGCTTGCTCTTTTTTCAACCGCTCAGCAGCCTGTTTTCACTATAAAACATTATTTCAAATTTGATTCACAGATGGAAGAGAAACTCGCACTAGTCCCCCGGTCATGTCGATTTACGGGCATTTTTCGCATTTTCTCTGATTTACGACTGGAAAACCTGAAGAATCGCTTATAACGCAGTATTTCCACGCGTGATTCGATGAAGAATAACGAAAACCGGTATTTTCCTGAAAATATACAATCTCTCGCTTTTTTAGAGAAAAATGTCGCGTTACTCACAGGTTTTGCAGTCGGAAATCAGAAAAAATGCCCGCAAATCGCGTTTCTCTCCCATTGGTGCATGGCATTCCACATTTCATGCCGCCGATACAAGTACAATACACTACAGTACACCCTTTTCATAAATTCCCTCCAATTTGAATGTCTTGCCCTCCTCATTCTCAATTTCCATTCCTCCCTATAATTAGGTCCTCTTTTCTTCCTCTTCGTCTTCTTTTTTTTCCCCCTATTTTTGTCCTCGCCAGTCAGTCATTTCATCTCATTCAAATATTCCGACAGAATTCGTGCCGAAGTGAGAAGACGCACTTGAAAGTGGTGTCCGCCCGCGTCGAAGCCGATTCTCAGATGGTGGTCATCGGAGGTGATCAAGGTGAGCAGTGTATCATTTTTCCGAAAATTTACCTTCCCGGTCCGGGAGCCGACCCTGAACTTTTTGAAAGTCAAAGGCGATTCGACCCAGAAACGGCAAGACTCTTAAAATATTTTCGAAGCCTCTACGTTTCGCAACTCGAACCAATTTTATTGAAATTTTTTTCTGATAAAGCCCGCTAAAGGTGAGCCAAACCCAAAAAAAAGAGCACTTGCTCTTTTTGCCCCGGGTGGCCTCCTCCTCGTCGTTTTCATCGTAAAACTCGCGTCCTTCTCGTTTTCTCCACCCCAAATTAGGTTCGTCTCTTCCTGCTCCGACCACGACGACGACGACGACGTCTTCTTTTCCTTCTTTTCTTCTTTGCATAGACGCTTTTTCTCTCCTCCTCCTCCTCCTAATCTGGGCCCACTGCAGCAGGCAGCCGGTGCGGGGGGACCCTAATCGTTTTTTTTTTTCGTCGACGACGACGACGACGACGACGTCTTTGGAGGGGCACCGGGTGAAATGATGTGAAAAGGAAGGTACGCGAAAAAGAAAACAATTTCGGATTGACTTATTCGGGTGTGTGCGCGAGAGCTCATCGTCAGAGGCAGCGCGGGAAAATTTTTCGCCCACATGCAGGGACTTTTTCTAAGAATTCTCGGAAAAGAGTGATTTCTACTAAAATGTCGTTCTTGACTTTGGCGTTGATCTACCTGCCAAGGTTGTACGTAAATTTTAAAAAAAAATCGCGCACCTTAGGCCAACGCTTATTGATCCGGACCGTGATTTTTTCCTCAATTTCGGGTCTGAAAGCAATCGTTTTATGCAAGAGAAGAATTTAAGAGACGGGCCGAAAATTGTTCCGCACACCCCTGACTTGCGAGCACTTGTGACGACGAAAAAAAGCGTGCGAGAAGTGGGGAGGGCCGTCTCCCAGGATGTATCCATTTCCAACGGCCGTCTCATCATCGATACATTTTGCTTTTTCGCTTTTTCGCGTGCGCTCCAAGTTTCGACACAACAACAGTAATTTGTAGGCAAAAACCTCTGCCGAAAAGAGTAAATATTGAGGAGATGGACGGACGGCCGACGCGCGAAACGACGAAAAATTGGGGGAAAAGACAAGAGAAGTCGAGACGCGCGCTCCCCGTTGGGGATTCTGATTCTTCTTGTTGCTGCGCCACCACACAGCTGAAACTGCTCATCATAAGCACAAAGCAAACTACGAGTGGCCGGCCATGTGGTGCTGTTTTTCCGCAACTCTCGCCCATTTTACTCGCTTTTTACTGCCTCCTCGCTCGCTTAAATCCACCACCGCGGCTTTGTGCAGAATGAACGATGATGATTTTATCGTCTCATTCCACATGTTTCAGTCTCTTACGCAAGTAAATGCGAATTGCGTCAAACGGGCCGCGCCGACACACAAAACTGTGTTCGTAGTCAGGCCGAGTATATAAATAGAAAATGATAAGAATGAGGGTTGCTCTGGAAAAGTTGCTACACTTTTGTACCGGTTTTTTTGCTGCTAAAAACTCGCTAAAAAAAATTGCAGGAGTCAAATTTTACAATGCACATCGCTGAATTGAGTTTTTTGACGTAAAAAACGGAAAACGACACGCAAATTTGTGGATTTTTTTTTCAAATTTGGCTAATGCGCTAAAAATTAATAGACGAAAAATGCGATTCTGGCCCATTTTCTGACAATAATGCCGAAAACGCACATTTTCTAATCGTTGCCGGTCAAATTTGAAATGCAAATTCAATAATAATCGCAGATTTTTCGTCAATTTTGAGCGCAGACAAATAGCCTCATTTGGAAAATACTTTCAAATTTTAGTACTGCAATAGGTCTGCTGAAAAACTGCTGTGCTCAATTTCTTAACCACAACCCCCCGTGATCCACGTCAGTTTTTTTTTGATGGCTCTTGAAAATGACGTGGCAGGTAAAACACATCCGCCCACTCCTTCTTTCCAACATCTTCGAGAGCGTCCGCGGGCGCAATTTCCAATATCCTCTCTCCGCTCCGAAATTCAACCTTATCTAGTCGACGTCTTCTTCTTCTTCTTCTTCTTCTTCTTTTTTCTTTTCCTTTTTTCCGCTTCGGGTTCTACCCTTTTCTTTTTCCTCCGCAAAGACGAGTTAGACGACGACGGCGACGACGCTCCTTTAACGTCATGAAAGTTTTCGGCGGACGCTCAAAAATGCGATTTTGTGCATATTTAAAGTTGGGAGCGCCGCCGTGGGCAACATTCTCACACGCAGAGTTATCTTCTTCGTCTTCTTCTTTCTTCTTTCTTCTTTCGCCAACCAACCCGACCAACTTGGCTTCCGTTTTTCTCACTCACACTTCTCTAAACAGCATGCTTGTACCGTACTCTGTGTGCCACGCAACATTGTAGACCCACGTCCGCCACGACAACGTCTACAACTTCAACGACAAATGCCGTCGCTCACTGTCAGCGCTTCAGAAGAAGAAGATCAGGAAAAAGAGGTGACCGTGTGTGGTGAAGTCGTTCGTGAAACCGATGCGAACGGCAAACAGACGGTGACGCGGCGCGAGGTCTCTGTCGAGCGACGCCTCAAAGTCGACATTCCGACGACGTTGTCCGTCGAGGAGCCACCGACGAAGGAATGTGAGTGTTCTCTCATCATGACAATGCATGCTTCTTCATAATTTTGCTTGGTACTGCTTACCTGACCGGTTTTTTCCACAAGGACCAGTGTGAGTCACGGTGTTTGTTTACCTTGTACTTGTCGATGTGACTGAAGACGTGTAACGAACAAAACATTTCATTTCGAATTCGAAAAAGAGTTTCGCGAAAAGTCGCCTTTCTAGATTGAATATTCCTCGTGTATTTTGCAGAATTGTCAAAACTCGGCTCGTTTTAGAAATTTTAGACAATTTGAGTGTTTTACTGAAAAAAACACGTAGGAATGATGACATGGCCGAATTTTTACACAGCGGCCGAGGCCTAAGTCTAGCGGGCTAGCCTTAGTTCAGTCTCTCAGATTTTACGATTTTTGACTTAGGCCTGCAATGTTTTTCCCAGAAAATACGATTTGACCTACGAATTGTTAACTAGTTGCTGTAAATTTCGTTTTTCGCGCGCGCGTTTCTTGTATTTTGTCCTCGACCGATGCATGCTGATTCTCATTCGGTCACACTGCACTTTGTTCGTCGTGAACTGTCCGCATTAATCGCCTCTGCGCCCGTCCTTCCGCGGATTATTTCGTCGATGACAAGTTTTGTAGCACTAAACGTTTTGTGACCCTTTCAATCTTCTCGCACGATCAATTGTTTCTTCAAGAGTTTCTGCAAAACGAAGAGATTGTATCTTGCGTGTGTTCTTTCCGTTTCGGACATTCTCGTCGTCGCGGCGCCCGCCGTTTGAGCGATAAGAAGAAGAAGAAGTAAATTGGGTGGAAATTGGACGGCGACGTCGTTTTTTTCCCCCTAGTTTTACTCCCCAATGGACCGCCCGATTGACGTCATTCATTGCGGGGTTTCGGACCGTCTATTTGCCTGTTTCATTCACAAAAAAGAAGTGAAATGTTTGCGTTCTTCTCGTCTTTTTCCCCTCTCTCCCTCTCTCCCATTATCGCACTTTGAAATTGATTCAGTATTGCAAAAATTGAACCTTGTACTTACCGGCGGCCGCAGAAAACTGAGACTGTCGCAATTTTAGGCCCGTTTTTTTCGCTTTTTCCTTTCGAATTCGTTCTTTGTTCGTTTCTTACGTCAAAAGCTCAATTTAGCGATGTAGAAACGTCAAAACACGAAAGAACGTGTTGAATAGCTCCTTATAATCGAAAATAAGTTAAATTAGTTTGAAAACCGTTTACCGAAGAGTTTCGTAAAATTTTGTTGAATGTAATAGTTTTAAACCAGTTTCTTCTGTTAAAAACCCGATTACATTAACAATTTTCAGCCCTGGACTCACCGTCGGGAAGCACATCGCGCGCCGGTTCGTCGGTGTCGGCGACCGCGAGTCCAATGCACCGGAACACGACGTCGCAGCACGGCGGACTGTTCGTCTCGGCGCCCGGCAAAATCATTTTGTTCGGCGAGCACGCCGTCGTCTACGGAAGGGTACTTTTCGCCTAAAAATTGTGCGCACCAACTGATTTCCTGTTTTTTAGACAGCGATCGCGGGTTCGATTGATTTGCGCACGTACGTCTCGCTGTACACGTCGGCCGACGGCCGCATCTACCTGTCGCTGCCCGATTTGGGCGTCGAGAAGACGTGGATGCTGAAAGATCTGATGAAGGCGGCCGAGCGGCTCGCCAACGAATATCCGATCGAGGAGGACCAGCCGCCGTCGCTCGAGGTGCTTGTGCCGATCGCCCGCAAATTGTCGGGCTCGTGCGAGGATCAGTGCGGTGTGCAACATCTCGCCATCCTCGCCTTCTGGTACCTGCTGCTCGGTGTCGCCCATCGCAAGAGGTGAGTGAGAGCGGGCAAAAACTCGGGCAAAAACTGGTAAAAAACCTGTGAGAACCGATTTTTTTTTACCTTTTAGCACGCGCACGGTCTCCAGCCACGAAAAAATCAGTAGTTTGTGCCCATTTGTGTTCGTATAGAACGAATGAATAGGTTGTGAATTTTCGGCCTGGCCCGCATCTTTTGACTACCAAAAGCAGGAAAAAAAATCAATGGTTTCGCTCTGGAGACCGTGATATCGGTTTTTTACTAGTATTTTATCCGACTCGATAGAACGATGAGAAGAAGAAGAAGAACCGCTTACTGTGTATGTGTGTGGTGATTTTTTCTAAGTTTACCATATATCTCTGCAAAAAAGTGAGCTCTCTAACTAACCACTACCCTATGATCATGTTGTCATCCTCCCTGCCTAGTGCCGTCCATCCCTGGTCTTCCCCGTTAGTGAGTGACGTGTGCTCATTCGTTTTGCAGTGGACTTCGCCGACTCGTGCGCGGACTTCCGGCTCCACCGCTTCCCGAAGGACTCCATCGAACGAATCTGTCGGTGATCGGAGGCGGCACCGGCGCCAACTATGGTCAGCTGCAAGAGCGCTCGGAGGCGGAGATTGCGCTCTCGCTGCCCGTCCCGCCGTTGTCGCCGCTTCCGTCGCCGGGCGCCCAGCCGATGGCACCGCCCGCGTTCCCGTCGATGTCGCCGACGCCGACGCCGATTCCGATTCCGACGTCGCCGTTTGTGCTGCCGGGCAACGTGCGCGCCGACAGCCCCGCCGTTCAACAGTGTGTTTTTGAATCGAAATATGATGGATTGGTTGTTGTGATAGTTTTCTAAAAGTCTTGGCATGTTTCAATAGATTTAGACTTTTTAATCTTTAGCTTTTGCTCAATCATTTCACTATCAAGAAAACCAACAAAATTCCTCTCTAAACCCGGAACAAGACACATTTTTTTTGCAGAGACTTGCTGGCCGTCAAAGCGACGGTCCGATTCAAGCTGCCCAGTTGCGTCGGACTGGGATCCTCTGGCGCCTATTGCGTCTGCATTGCCACGTCGCTTTTGCAGACCGCCGGTCTCATTCCGCCGCCGAGCATTGTGGTAAGCGCCGCAGCATTTCTTTTTGGGCCCTAGATTTTCGCATAGCTAAAGAGCGCGTTTGTCAAATTTTCCAAAATGTTTATAAGCACACCGATTGCAGGCCGACGAGCAAGGAAATCTGACTTGGGAAGAGGAGCACCTGGACATGATTCGAAAATGGGCGACGGCCGCTGAATCGCTGATTCACGGACGTGCGTCGGGTCTCGACGCGGCCGTCTGTACCTACGGTGCGTGCGGATATTGTCGGCGTTGTTTTTCGTTGATTGGTTCCTCTTCTCCTTCCTCTCTATCTCCTTTTCTTTCCATCTCCAGAGTGCGGCGGGTGCCCGGGTGTGCCTCTCTCTCTCTAATTTCTGCTATCAACTTCCGATCTCATCATCTTGCAGAACCATAAAATTTGCATTTTTTTTTGTAGCTTAGGGCTTAACCAATTTGTGGGGCGCATGATTGGAATTAATCCCTCGAATATGTTCCCTTTGTTGATGATTGAATTGGGACCTCGATTATTATTATTAAGGTCCTATTCAGTCGAGTAAAAAACTGTTTTCTTTTTTACTCGACTGAACAGGCAATCTCTCTCTCCAACCCCTCTAACCGAGTGTTTGCGGTGTCTGTGTAACCCCATATATTGCCCCCCGGGCACCACTCGACTTGCTCTTCCAACAAACTCTACCACGAGAAGAAGAAGAAGAAGCAGAAGCAGAAGAAGAAGAAGCAAGAGAAGAAATGTCCAAGGCGGTTCTGTTTTGCAGGCAACCACACGTACCGTGACTACGGCTATCAGAGTTTCACGCACCTCGGTCACGTCGGATGCTTTGGTAAATGATTTTGTCCGTCCCTCTCCGAAACTCGTTCTTCTTCTCCGTGTCTCGTGTCCGGTGCTCGCAAACGGTGTCGTCTTTCTAATCTAGACCAGTTTTTCTTGTTCTCATAACAATCTTTGTGCAAAAATGGAAGCATTGAACGTTTTCGTACTAACGGGGGGAATTTCACAGTGAACGTGGAAGTGAGATCACAATTTCAACAAAGCGCACTCACTTTAAAATGCCCCATGTGTTGAAATAGTGAAGATTGTCGTAACGCATGCTGCTCCTGACCTAACCCACTCCTCTCTTCTACTAAACTTTTCGGTTTCTGGCCGCTTAACTCACCCGCCGCCCCGCTCCCTTCGAACTTGGTTTCACCCACCTCTTTCTTCTTCTCTTTTCTCGGACTCGAACCCGTTTCTATTCTCTACTATCATCAGGAAGTGTAGAGTTATGAAAAGAGTTTACTGCCGCCTCAGAAGTCTGTCAATCGCGTTCTTACGGGTTTTCACGTGGGATTGCGGTAGAGCGACATTGCCAGATATTTGAGGATCTAATATATGAATCTTAGAAGAATTGCTTGAAAAGTGACAAGACAATTTGTGAATCTTGTACTTAATTCCGCTTGTCAAGTTGAACCGGATGAGATTCTTTCCTGAAACGTTTGACTCGTGTTACTGAATTTTCATGAAATTACAGACACACTAAGGTGGTTTAGTCGGACTAGAAAACCTCTTTAATGACACGATTTTATAAGAGTTAGATGATAATCATAGTCTTCAAAATTGTCCCGGCCAGAAGCCCGCATGCGTTTCTTGACAATGACGATGATGACGGAATTGGAATATATTTGGAGAGTGCCGTGCCGTCCATTTTCATGTGCTCTTTTTTCTCTTATTTTCTGTGTGTTGTCCAACTCTCAAATGTTCAACAATTTCTCAACGAAACGTTTCCAGGAGGAGTCGCCAGTTTCAAGCCGGGACATCGAATTGAGCACTTGAAAAAGTAGGAGTTGACGCTTGTTTCCTCGCAAAATTTCGCCACTTTTAGTCTTCCCGACCTTCGCGTCATTTTGGTGAACTCGAAAGTGGAGCGGAACACGGCGCGGATGGTTCAGACGGTCAAGGAGCGGTTAAAGAAGTTTCCCGAGGTGGTCGAGGCGATGTTCGGCACGATTGACGCCATCTCGCTGGAGGCGGCCAAGGTGTTGCATCGTCCGCTGCTCGAGGAGAACGGCGGCGGCGATCAGGGATCCACTCTTCAGGTACCGCATCTAATATATCGATGAAACATGTGAAAACTGATTTGTTTTTGGGACAAAATTAGTGTCGGTAATGAAAAAGCACGTGAACAATAGGCATTTTGAGAGTCCGAGTTTATGAGCCGTTTTATTTGAATCTTAAAGTTGAACGCTTGCATTGTTTTTGCAGGAAAACGGATTGGGACCGTTTGGCGGAAGTATGCAGGAGCAGGACCATCACTCTCTTCAGGTATTGTCGCATCGCACTTTTTGTCTCGTGTCTCGCCCCGCCCCGCCCCCATTTTTCAGTTTTTTGGTTTGGTCAGTCATATCCATTTTAGCGTTCCCAACAGACGAATTTCAGTGGCTTTTGTCTGGTTTTTTTCTTCGATCTCTTCGATACTTAACATATTTTGGGTCCATTTCTAGAATTAGGGCGTGGCTTGGAGCGTTTTTCGTGTAATTTTTGTGCTTGATTTCTTGAAAAACAACCTGTATTTGTCGGGAAATGAAAAACGGAAAACAGAGGCGCATACAGCCTGAAAAACAGTTTCAAAATAAAAGTACCATAAGCCACGCCCCGTGTTTGATACCATTGACAATATAATTATCGTGTCGGCCCCTGTCCCATCCCCAAATCGAAGCAGCAGCCGAGCGTTGGATTGCAGCCGACACGCACCGCCTCCGTGCGCTCCTCGTCGCTCTCCTCGTACGTGGGCGGCGGAAAACGACACTCGTCGGCGTCGGTCATTTCGGCGACGTCGGAGAAGGGCGAGAATGTGGACACGTTCAGCCGGCTTAATGTGAGTGAATCGAGAACAACCACTTTTGGTTTTGTATACTTTGCCCGGTGTTTGTTGCTCATTTTTCAGTTATCATTCAGAATTTAAGTTGTTTTTTTTTTCGGGTCACTGTGTCCAGAGCTGTATACAGCTCTGACTGTGACGTAGAAAAGATGACAACAACGAAAAAACTTGTATTTTTATGAATAAAGCATGTTTTACCCGTTTCTCTCCTTTGCTCCCCCTATCTAACCCATTGTGCGCGTTACTTCTCTATTCATTTCAAAATGTTGCAGGAACTGTGCCGGATAAACAACCAGCAACTGATCGCTCTGGGCGTCGGCCACCCGAAAGTCGATCTGATTTGCACGACGCTCGCCAGATACGGAATTCATCCGAAGATGACGGGCGCCGGCGGCGGCGGATCAGTTTTTGCTTTCCTCAAACCGAGTGAGTTGGCACAAAAAGTGTTTGGACGTTTTTTCTTGGCCATCTCTGTTTCGTTCGCGGCGGGACTAATTTTAGGAGACAATGCGAAAACGCTCGCATCCTAGGCGATGTTTTTGTGTTTTCCAGAGGAATTTGGCTGAATGTGAAGTTCCTACAATGTTTCTATATGTTATAGTCCCCGCGTTTTCTCAGAACATTTTCCTGACAAGGTACTAAAAAAAATCGAGTACTGCCACGAGAAGATGGTTGTACGCTTATACCCATTTGACGAATTATGACTAAATCCTGTCTCGTAGCATTGTAGAATGTTCTCTACTAAACAACCGCTAGTCAATACAATATTTCAAAACAAATGTTTTTGCAGACACGCCACAAACGCTGCTCGACATGATCGACGGCGAGCTACGCAGTCAGGGCTTCGAAGTGTGGCAGCCGCCGTTGGGCGGTCCCGGAGTCGTCGAGCATCAGCGCCGTCCGGAACTGTTTGCGACGCCCGTCTCCCCGCCGAGCCATTAGTGATATATTCTTTCATTCTTTGGTGTCTGTCCATCCTCTCCAATTATTCTTATTTTTTTATTATTTTTTTATTATTATTACTATTACTAGTGTTTTTTTCATTTGACTTCTTTGGGTAGCCGCCCCTTTTACAGTAATCCCCCGTAACAGTAAAGTATCCTTTGTTTTTTTATATTGTTTTTTTCTTGGATATCCCCCCCTCCCACTTTTTTTCTTTTTGGATATATTTCCTTGGTGTAGACTATCAGTAAAGCAGCAGCAGTAAAAGTCACCGATTTGTAGGAATTATTTTATTTGATTTTTGTCGGTATTATTGTATGCCTATATTTTTTCAAATTTTTTCTTAAAATTGCCACACACCCCCATTTATACCCCCCATTCTTCTTCATTCCCCAACCTTGGAAACAAATTGGAAAAAATTTAATTTTTCGAATTTTATTGTCGCCTTCCAAAAGCTATAACTCTTTCTTCTTCTTCTTCTTCTTCTTCTTCTACTTCTGTTTCCTTTCTCCCCAATTTGTTTAGTGATTAGCCGAGGAAAATACGTAATTTTCAGTCGATTAGCTCCGCCCCCTTTCTTTGTGTGATAACAATGTTTTCAACACACACACACAATTATTATACATTTTTTTCGTCTAAGCCCCCCATTGCTCATATATATATAAGAAGAAAGTGTACACGAAATAAAAAATCTGAAACCTGACGTATTAAATTTCATAAGTAATCAATAAAGTCGGAGAAGAGGATATCGGCTATTATAAATTTAAATAGATTTTTCACTTCTTAATTTTATAATATTCAACGAAAAAAAAGAGAGAAAGCACCGATTCTTTTTTGGGGGGAAGGAGGAGGAGGAAAACGAACTGGAATAGGGGAGTGATGGATGAGAACGCGCTCCATTGCACTACGAAAAGTGCGAATAGAGAGCGGCGTTACGGGCTCATTCAGTCGAGTAGAAAACTGCTGAAAAGGCTCAGTAAAAAGCGGTATAAAAGACTCTATTTTTCTTTTTGTAACAGTTCGAATTGGTTTATACGGGTTTGTACGGTAAAAATCAGTTGTTTCCGTTTTTTACTGTAACAAACCGCATTTTTACTGGTTTTCAGCACTTGTTTACCCGTCCGAATAACCCTATTATTATTATATTGCACGTGGGCGGTTCGAATGAGTAGTAGCCGTCAAGAATTCTATCACAGAAAGAGAAAAGTGTAAATGTGTTCGATCGATCGATGTCGTTGTTACGGAAAGGAAATTAGGTGTCATCACATCGCGAGTTGGATGCTGCTCGAATTGTTGGCTCCGCCGCCACTGCCGGTGCTCCTGCTCGTCGAGCCCGTTCGCACAAAGTGGTTCTCGAGTCGGTGCCGTTCGCCGCTGTGTCGCTCCCGGATTTGCTCCTTCTTGAGCCGTCGCAGCTGGGTCATGTCCTCGCGTTCTTCGAGAATTCGCTGCTCGAGCAGGGCACGACGCGCTCCGATTCGCTCCTCGAGCGCCGTTCGTTCCTGCAATCATTTTGTGATGAATTTCAATTTTATTTCAATTCTACGCCATCACAGGGAGCCTGAAAATGTGTACCTTTTTGATCTGCTCCTCGAGCATGACCCTCTGCTTCTTCTGATACTCGATGAGCTCTTCGAGCTCCTTCTCAAGCTTCGCACTCAGCGCCCTCTGCTCGTCCTCCTGCCACGACTCCAACTTGACCGTCTTGTCCTGCACCATCTTCCTGATCTGACTCTCGTACTGCGACGCCAGCAGCGCGACCTTCTGCATCTGTTCCTGCTTCAGCCGGGCCGTCAGCTCCTTCTGCTCCTCTTTCGGAACCACTTGCACCATGTGTGTCAGGTACACCTTGAATTGACGGGTTTGCGTCTTCACCACCTGCCGGTACTGCTTGCGGATCTGAGCTTCTTGCACTTTCAGTTCCCTTGGCTGCTGTCTCGATTGCATCGCGTGCTTCTTCCGCAGCTCGTCCTGCTGCCGAGTCGTGTACTCGTTCTGACTGGCCGATTCCGCCTCGTGCTGCGTCTCCAGATGCCGCTTTTTCGTCGCGTGCAACTCGTTCAGGTGCTGAATCTCGAGTTCCCTCGTCATTTCGTGCTGCTTCATGAGCAGTCCGTGCCTCGTTTCCATCTGTCGCTCCTGCACATTCACGTCTTCGTCGTCGAGTCGCTCCTCGAGCTGATGCAGATTGTTCAGCTGCTGCCGTCGGTACCGCACCACCTCCTCTTCCATTTCCGTCCTCAACTTGTCCTCGAACTCGTTCTCACGCATGTCTTTCACCCGATTCAGGTCCACTTTCACGTCTTTCATCGCGTTCTCATAGGCGTTTCGTGGCATGTTCAGGCTGCGGAGACGCTGTAAAAATGGCTATTTTGAGTAAAATGTAGGCAATTTTTAATGCAAAAAACGTGGAAAACTTGCAAATTGCGTCATTCTTTTCAGTCCCCCCCCCCCCCGCCAAAAAACCGACCGTTTTCTGGGCCTCCTTGTTGTGCTTGTACTCCTTCAACTGCTGCCCACTGTACAACTTCATCTGCTGCTGATTCTGTCCGCTTTTCGTCTTTTTCAGCCGCTTCTCGCCGTCCTCAATGTCCTTTTTCCGCTTGTCCAACTCGTTGTTCTGCGAGCACCGCACGCGCATCTTCTCCTTTGAGTACGTCGAATTCAACTGCTCCAGCTCGCGGTCCATCTTGATCCTCAACTGCTCGCGTTCCTGCGCACACCGTTCCTCGAACTGCTGCAGTTCTTTGTGGTGCCCCTGCCGGAGGTGCTTGTACTTGCTCATCTGCTCGTACATGTTGTTCTCCTTCGTGTACTCCTCCTGCTCCTGGTTTATGAGTCTCTGCGAGCGGAGTGTCGCGAACTTGTGCGTCTGCAACGTAGCTATCCGCTCCTTCACCTCCCGATTCGGCATGTGCAAATCTTTGACCGGCGCCACGCGCATCATCGACGTATCCAACGGAATCGTGCTCACGTTCGTTGTCGCCTCGTCGTCGTCGTCCGCGCGCTCCGAAGGCGACGGAACGTCCGCGATCGACGGGTTCACCGCGATCGCAGTGATTCCGGCCGCCGATCCGTGACTTGGCATCGTGCCAAGACCAGAGGTTGACGTGGAGGAGAGCATTTGCGAGGGGATCGGAGGACGACGACGCGCCGAGCTGGTCGTCGAGCTGCTTCCGTTGCCATAGCCCGAAGATCCTGAAACATCGGAAATTGTCAAACTTCGCGTTAAAAGGACAGAATTGAATTTGACGCGATTGCTCCACATTTAGAGTCAAAAACTGAGGTTACATGCGCGAAAGAGCAAAAAAGCTACCATGCACGTTGTCCATGGCTCCGGTGGTGTTCGTGGAGACCATGAGTCCGGGTCCTCCGCTGGATTGCATCGATCGGAACGAAGTGAGCGAGGCGCTTCGGGAAGACGCCGAATCGCCGGCTAAAAATAAGCGATAGGAAAGGAAACATTTAAAAGAATAGAATGCCGACTCACCTCTGCCGATAGAATGCGCCTCGATTCCGTGAAAGTCGAGATCATCGGAGGCGGCTCCGTTCCCGCCCTCGCTGCCCTCTTTCCCCTCCGTCTCGTCCAAATACATGAGCTTGCGCATCTTCTTGTACTGGAAATTGTCCAGCTCCATCACCATGTTCTTGGTGCGCGTGATCAGCTCCTGGATCGTGTCGGCCGGCCGCTTCCGCTGGATGAACGGATGCCGGAAGCACTCGTCCGCCGACATCCTCTCTTCCGCCGGCTTCCGCAGACATCTGTCGATGAACTCGACAAACTCGACCGACCACTGCGGCTGATCCGAAGTCTCCACCGCGGCGAGCGTCGGCGGATCGTTTTGCGCAATGTGGTACAGAGCCGACATTGCGTTCATTGTGAACAGAGGCGGACGCCGTTCCGCTGCAAAATTACAATTTTAATATCAAACTTGCTATTATCTATCCGTAGTGTTATAGGACCAGTAAAAGGAAGTCAAATTTCTGCCAAAACTCACCGAGTTCGATGCAAGTGATGCCGAGAGACCAAATGTCGGCCCTGTCCGTATAATGTCCCTCGTCCATTGCCAGAATCACTTCGGGCGCCATGAAGAAGGGCGTTCCGATGAACGTCTGCGCCGGATCCGTGAGCGAGGCCGAGCCAAAGTCGGCGAGTTTGACGACCGCGTGGTCCGACAGCAGGATGTTTCCAGCCTTGATGTCTCGGTGTATCCGTTTCAGAGAGTGCAAATATCGGAGGGCTTCCAGTGTTTGCGAGCAGATCGCCGCGATCTCCACCTCTCGCATTCCTTTCCGCAGCACGTCGACTATGTCTGCCGCCGATCCGATGCAGTACTCCATTACCAACTGAAAATTTGCTTTTTCGGTACAGAATTACAAAAATATGAACATTTCTATGCATTTCACGGTAATGGCTTCATTATGAACCTAATTTGAGCACCCTTTCCGGTGAAGAATCGCAAATTTCACGCTAATTTCAACAAAAAACGTTTTTCATGTGAAAATCTCGCAAGAACTGACCCAACACGTGGTTTCCTTGAGAAAACACGCCTTATAATCGACGATGTGCGGATGCACGACCGTATTCAGGAACGCGACCTCTTTGAGGATGTCGTTCCACTTTTCGGTCGCCTGCTTTCCGCTGAACGCCATTTTTTTGATCGCCACCGTCTGCTCGTTCTCCTTGTCGTACGCCTTGAAATTAAAAACAACTATATAGATGTAGATCAGCGATATAGTCTTACAAAATAGACGGCGCCGAAGGATCCATGTCCGATTTCCCGCAAGTCGTGGTACCTCTGCTCGGGATCTCGGTTACTGAACAGGGCGGCGAGCGAGGCGTCCTAGGAACATTTTTCAATTTTTTTGAAGAAAAACCGTCTAAAAACGAACTTTGATGACACCGGGTTTTTGCAAGACGGCGGGCGCCATCCTCCTCCTCCTTCTGCGCTTTTCGTCCGCTCAAATTGGGCCTTTTCGGATGGCAAAAACGACGACGACGACAATAATAATAATAATTTCTTATTAATTTGCAATTAATCGATGAGTATTCCGGAGAGAAGCCTTCGAAGGAGCACATCGGCCAGACAACCGACCGAATGACCTGCGCGCGAATGGCTCTGCAAAAAAAATGAGGCGAAATTTTTGGAGTTTTTGAAAGAGAGTTTTTGAGAGAAATGCGAAAAAGTTGAAAAGTTTTGTAATCGACGTCGGCGGGCGGCAGCGGATTATCGCGTGCTGGTGACAAAAACACTTTCCTTGTTTTTTCAGCACTTTTTTTCTGACGCTGAACCAGTTTTTGTCAAAAAATTGTGAAATTCATTTCAGCTACTTCAGCTGCTGTAGCACCAATTAAAAAATGCTTTCTTTTTGCTAGTCATGAGTGTGCAAGCCGAAAAACAAAAGGAAACTGATAACAACTCAAAGAGCACTAATTTGGGAGGCGTGCTGAAGCGGGCGATGGATGGAGAATGTAGAAATGAAGGAAAAAAGTGTGTTTGAAATAAGTTACGTTAGGCTTTCTCGGAACGACGCTTAACTTCCGCTACCGTCGTCACAGTTTCATCGATAGTTTCTGCTCTTACTGATAGACTCGGAAAAAGATTCTGAAATTCCAATGGAAAATCCGAAAATTTGGCAGATTCGAACAATTGATCTCAAGTTTTAGAGCTCTCTTATGAAGAAAAAAAAAAGCGTGTGCAATTGTAAACACATCCGGAAACGATTCCAAGGCGAGAAAAATGAGCTGTTTTACCGGGGCACGCACACACACGGGGCGGCGCTTCTTCGTCGCTTCTTCGTCCGTCTCAAAATGCAAACATTCGCAAAAATGGAGCAAACTGGGAGCGGACGCGCAGACGGCGATGAAATCGAGTGCGGCGCTCTTTATTTGGCACAAAATCAAGAGGATCACGCATCGAATCTCCGACATTTTTGGGATTTTGGCGTGCAATAAAGTTTTTTTTTCGAAATTGGAACTTCCTGTTTTTATAGAACGCACTGAATGGTATGACATCATCACTTGCTTAAACACTTATTTATTTGTCCATCAAACGATAGCTATATAACTTTTTCTCCGGCCGAACTCGATGATTCATTGTTTGTTCCCTTTTTCTCTCGGAATTTTTCGATTTTCCGATTTTCCCATAGACTTTAGCGCCTGGAGACAATAAAATGCGGAATTTTTGGGTGGAATTGATAACGAAAAGTTATCGATCGAGTGCCGGCAGCTGCGACCGAAATTCCCGATTGTGACATCATCGGTGAGCCGTTATCAGCGGCTTTTTGTATTATTACAAAAATCAAGTGGAAATGGGCCGAAAATTACAGAAAATCGAGAGAAATTAATGAGAAAGTGATGGGAACATGTTCGCGTCTCGAATTGTCGTCGGATCAAGCGCTACCGTACTCGTCGGCTTTTTCAACAGATTTTCAGTATTTTCACACTGAATTTGATTGATTAACTGGTCGAAACGCAAAGAAATGATAGTGTTGGAGGGCCAACGGGCAAAAAAAGTGATTTGAGAAGCAGAGATCACGGGGAACGGGGAGGCGGCAGCAAGTGTCGTGGGGTGTGGTGCCAGGTGTGCATGTTCACCGACACGTCGTAGTGCACACGCCGACAATTTCGACGGTGACGAGCACAAAAACTCGCACAATTTCCAGCCGCAAATTCGCATTTTCGCGCAGTTTTGGCACACCAAAATTTACAATTCAACTCGTTAATTAATTTTCCTCGTTTGCATTTAAAATAATTCACCCCGCAAATCGCAGAACTTGATGGTGCACGGACACAGCCACGACGGAGCCCCGTGCTCGGGACATCATGGAAAAGACGAGGACGGCGCCGGTGGATCCGGGCACGGAGGCCTTACGGACCCGCAGGCCGTTTCGAAGCTCGTCGAGCAGCTCCGTCTCGCCGGCGTCGACGTCTCCAGCCTGCCGAACATTCCGACGGCGCCGAGAGACATCGAGGAGGCGCGCAACAAGAGCTACCAGTTCTGGAGCACCCAGCCCGTTCCGCAAATGAGTTCGTATCTAGTTTCGTTCAAGTTCTCACTAATTTTAACCGTTTTCCAGACGAGCAAGTGCCGACGAACGTGAACTGTGCGATCGAGCCGGACATTCCGCTGGACAAGGTGCGCGCCGAGCCGTTCTCGCTGCCCGCCGGCTTCCGCTGGTCGAACGTCGACCTGAACGACGCGGAGCAACTCGACGAGCTCTACAACCTGCTCACCAAGAACTACGTGGAGGACGACGATGCGATGTTCCGCTTCGACTACTCGGCCGAGTTCCTGAAGTGGGCGCTGCAGGTGCCCGGCTACCTTCCCGAGTGGCATTGCGGCGTGCGCGCCGACGGCACCAATCGCTTGCTCGCGTTCATCGGCGCCGTTCCGCAGACGGTTCGCGTCTACAACAAGACCGTCAAGATGGTCGAGATCAACTTTTTGTGCGTGCACAAAAACTTGCGCTCGCGGCGTGTCGCGCCCGTGCTCATCCGCGAGATCACGCGTCGCGTCAACTTCACCGGCATCTTCCAGGCGGCGTTCACCGCCGGAATCGTTATTCCGAAGCCCGTCTCCGTCTGCCGCTACTACCATCGCTCGCTGAACCCGCGCAAGCTCATCGACGTGCGTTTCTCGCACCTCTCTCAGAAGATGACGATGGCGCGCACGATCAAGCTCTACAAGCTGCCGGAGACGACGACGACGCGCGGACTGCGGCCGATGACGCGCGAGGACGTGCCGCAGGTGTTCAAACTGCTCACGCAGAGCCTCAAGCAGTACCGGTTGGCGCCGGTGTACACCAGCGAGGAGGAGTTGGCGCACGCCCTCGTACCCGTCAAGAATGTCGTTTATTCGTACGTCGCCGAGGTTTGTACAACGCTAAAATGAGTGGCACTTTCATCCCTTTTCTTTTCAGAGCAGATCCGGAATCATCACCGACTTGGTCTCGTTCTACTCGCTGCCGTCGACCGTGATGGGCAACTCGACGCACAAGACGATCTTCGCCGCCTACCTGTACTACTACGTGGCCGGCTCGGCGCACATCAAGGATCTGCTCAACGACGCGCTCATTCTGGCGCGGAATCAACAGTTCGACGTGTTCAACGCGCTCGATCTGATGCACAACGAGGAGGTGTTCGCGGATCTCAAGTTCGGAAAAGGCGACGGAAATCTTCAGTACTACTTGTACAACTGGAAGTGCGCCGACATGAAGCCGAGCGACATCGGACTCGTCCTCCAGTGATTCCTCATTCCATGTGTTTCCGCTGCTCCCCATACTCTTCTCCTTTATCTGTATCCCCACCCCTCTTTGCTCTGTTCCCGTCCCCTTTTTCTTTTGCTCTCTCGAATCTCTCCGCATTGCCCTTTTTTCTTCAAATTTTCTCTTCATTTTTATTCCCCTCGTAATACTGATTCCCTTCTTATGTGATTTATTTTTTGTCAGAGATGAGGTCAGTTGGGAAGTGAGATGAAAATATTATACAGAATAGATGAGGGAGAATTAGATGCTAATATTTCACAATAAGTATGTTATTTTTTCCTTGTTCGCGATTTTTAATTCTTGTCTGAATGCAAATGCGCGTTGTCGTCCAACGGTTTCGTTTCAGAACGTCCCACTCGGCAGTCGTCAGCGTGCACGGCGAAGAAGTCGCTTGCTTGAGCGCCTTGTCAATGAGAGCGTGGTTCGGCGACATTCTCGGAGCGATCTCAGTCAAGCTCAAGCTCCTTTGCGCGTTCACCTGGATCCATCCGTTTCGCACACAAAGACTGACGATGGCCACAGCCTGATCAAGTCCAATCTTCAACTCTTTCACCACCCGTGGTATCGTCCAGTCGCGTCTCGCATCCCTTCGATTCGTTGGCGCCTCCGCATCATGTCGAGCAGACGGTACTCCGGCTCCGGGTTGCCAATAATTACTCTTCCGGCTTCGGTCAGCTCGACCAGGTGCTCCTCCACTCCCCATTTCTCAACTTTCGCATCCGGGTCGGTCAATTGGAAGTGCGGCAGGGAGTTCAACGGGTTCATCCGTTTGCTGAGCCGACAATTCCGCTGCACTGAAAAAGCGAATATGGAGTAAAAAAAAAAGGTGAGAGAAAGTTTGAAATTACAGAATAGACGTCGTCGTGATTTCGGCGAGAATTCGGAGAATGCTGATCCGGTTCCACGCGCGTTTTCCTCCGAATACCCATCATGTTGATGGCAGGAAATCGTAGATCACTCGAAAGGAGAGTCATGAGAATTTGGTGTGGAATCAAAGAAAACGAACCGCATCCGACGCCGGAACCCGCGCTGTGCTCATTGATGACGGCAAAAAACACGGACACGGCTGCTCATCGGAGTGACGAAGATCGACAGTTCCGCGAGGATCGGAGCGAACGCCAACGCGATCATGCCCATGTACGTGGAGGGCGACGACTGTTTGAGGATCTCCTGGTAGGGAAGAGATCCCTTCTCTGATCATTCTCGACCAAATGCGGAACGAGACAGGAGACGAAGGCGAGAACACACAGCGGAATGCTGATTCCGTCGGCCTTCGGTGAAAATTTCTGCCGAAGTTTGAAATAGCCGGATGAAAGCTGGTGAGAATCCATTCCAAAAATCGTAGAAGGTTTCCCATTTTTTTTCCAGGTTCTCGCTGCTTTTCAAATTTTTTGATCTTCCAATGTGGCGGTTTTCGAGCGATTACTGTATCATTAGAAAAATTATTTTAAAACAAGATTTTTTAAAACGGGGAAAATTTTCGCGCGCTTTTTTGCGTGCAGCTCTCAGTGTCGATTTATGGGATACGGTTTTTCAACTGAAAACACTGTTTTCCCGAGTTTTTTTTGATTATGCACAGTTTTCCTTCAAAACGTTTGCCTCACGTTTGTTCATATGATCGATAGCTACAAAATGATCACAGAGTGCTCGTGTAAAAGTGAAAATTCGAAGAGTAATTTCGTTTTTAAAATTTGGCTTGAAAAAACAAACTTTCGGAAATTTTGAGAAAACAGTTGACAGAATCGAAAAACAGTTGCCTCACGATTGTTCAGCAGACAAAGGCGGTCATCTTGAGCACAGAGACGGCCCGTAAAATGCAAAAATCGCTGAGAAATTTCAGTTGTTGAGGTTCAGAACTGAAATTCGCAGAAAAATGAAAAAATGCGCTCTTTCTTGTGGGCAAAACGCTAATTTCAGATCACACCTGTTATAAACTATTCTGACAATCCCTGTTTTACATAATTTTGCTCATTTTAGAATGAAATTTCGGGTTTTCGCAAGAAATCCAGAAATTTCAGACCTGCTTTTGTTTTCAACGACACTCCGTTTTAACACGGCCCTCAATTTAGCATTAGCCATTGGGGAGACAGTGGAAATGGAAAAGTGACCGACCGGAAGGGCCGGTCAAAGAAAAGAAAGAAAGAAATGGACAGACTCCGTTGGCTTTTTACTGAATGAAAATGATGATGCTGATGATGATGATGGTGACACCTCCGTCGGCCCGACCGAACTTTTTTCGAAACGCATACTCATTTTGCTAACTGTATTTGTGAAAGAGCACTTCTTTGCGTCCTGAAGAAAAACTGTCTCGAAAATCTTTTGGCTTTTTTCGAACCATTTTTCCAGAATTCTCTGTCGGACCACTCGGATTTCGCAAACTATGCTGGAATCTCGTTTCCACTGCAACATTTTCACTTCAGAGTGGAGAATTGTCATTTCTGCGGCTTGCTTCATTCAAAGTTGAGCGGAATAACTATTTTGAAAAGGCAGTCTTCGAACCCGAATTCCTGTTGAGGAAAAATTAATAAGGCGAGTGTTTGCGAGGGAGACCGTGGTCCTTCCTTCCCATTTTCTCCATTCCATCTGTCCCACACCATTCATTCCACCCTCTCTCCCCACATAAATATCGATCGATGCGTTTCAACACACCCAAGCTTTTAACTCCGTTGCTCTTTTCGAAATACACAGGCGTTTTAGTAACTATTATTCTTGTGATGACACCAAGTCTCGCCCAGTCGGGAGACGAATCTCGCCCTTTCGAATTTTTGACTGTATTCGTCTTTTTGCCAGTTTTTTTCACACCCTGTCTCGAAAGTTCCCCGCTGGTAACTCTATTAACGTTCGGAATAGCTCAAAGTGCATTCATAGCTAATATTCTACACGTTCTTCATATGCACTTTGAATGGGTAAATGAACTGTACGAACTGTACACCCCCGTTAGACCCTTTTTGTATTCAGATAAGCATAAACTACGCAAGATGCATGGCCGGAATAATGATGGTATACTCGATTCTCCGTTTTGGTCACATGGGCACCTACCTGATTCCGAAAATTCCAGCAACACTCAGCTGGAGACGCGTATTCGCGATAACCGCGTTCTTCATAATAACCGGACATCTAATGCACCCTTATTGTGTAGGTTTCCAGTATCCAAAAGTGTCAATCAACAATGACAATATTTGTTTCAGGTCCAGAATAACATCAGGATCCACATCTACTCGTATCTTGTAAGCATCGAAGCATTCATCTGGTACTCGGCCGACGAATTTCATTTTGTTCCGTCTTTCCTTGAATCTGATCCGGAATTGTTCGAAAAGTTCAGCAATGTCACTGTGCATGCTAAGAAAAAATAAATAATTGATAAACATGTAAGACGAGTTGTCCATAAGACCCCAACTAAACGTTCTCCTGGCTAAACGAGATGATGAAGCCGACGAGAATGGCCGTTCGTCACATTTTCGGTTTCTTCTTCCGTTTTTGTTGACCACGATGCCTGAAAGAAGGTTTTTCCGGGGAAGCACGTTGAGTTTGATTAGAACTGACCCCGATCCTCCAATTTATAGCATTTTACGCTCGTGGTTCATTTTCCATGTTCGTTTCTTCAGACTATTATAGAGACACCGCACAGAAATGGCGCTCTGTTGAGAAACTCTTTTTGAAGTGCAAATTGAGCGACCTCGGGGCCGAGTTTGAAAAGTTTGGCCACATTTTCAGTGGAAAATTACTTCGCGGCCTAGAAATTCGGCCAGATTGCGAACAGCGCGCCCTTTCTGTCCGGTGTCCCAATAATAACACGGCAACATTCCAGATCTTTCGATGACTTCTCCGAGCGACACGAGACTTTCTTTTCTTGACTTTCCGCTGTGTTCTGACGGCGGCGGAGTGGAGAAGAAGCTGTAAATGTTATACGGAGAGAAAAACAATTGTTTCGTCAAAAACTAACACGAAAATCGCTAAATCCGTGCCACTTTGTTGATTGTTCGCCTGTTCCGACAATTAAAACGCTGAAAATTTGCAAAATTATTGAAATCGAGGTGGGAAAGAGATAATTCGAGTAATTTTCGCAGTTTCAAGCGAGAAATCGGTAAGTCTGTTTTCAGAATTGACATTTCATTGCAAAAACGACTGTAAGCGATGTATGATGTATTTATACGGGTAAAAAATGAGAAAAAACGAATGAGAACCGAAGTTTTGCTGAAATGCTAAAACTACGCGCCGCCGGTGTAAGGACGGAGCGTCGTAGCAAATCGTAACAGGAGCACTGAATTATTTTCCAAAGTTCTGTGTAGGTTTCCAGTATCCAAAAGTGTCAATCAACAATAACAAAACTTGTTTCAGGTCTACAATAACATCAGGATCCACATCTACTCGTATCTTGTAAGCATCGAAGCATTCATCTGGTACTCGGCCGACGAATTTCATTTTGTTCCGTCTTTCCTTGAATATGATCCGGAATTGTTCGAAAAGTTCAGCAATGTCACTGTGCATGCTACGAAAGTGTCTTTGCCGGTTTCCAGAATTCGCAAACATTTTTTTTCGATAGTTTTCATACTGAACGCACTGGAACATGTGTATTACGCAATCCAACGGGCAACGGTTACAAAAAGAGGATTACGGGTTAATCCCCCCCAAATCGCTTATGAGTCGCGACCGAAACTCAACAGAAAAACAGTCAGTTTTCTCAGTTTCCTTGTATAAATACAATAATAATTACAATACGAATAACACTTGACTTGTTTTGTAGGTAACTGTGCACTGAAGCATAGCGGAGGTGTCATGGTAGTTTGTCGGAAATTTATTTTCTTATTCATATCTAAACCCTACAAAGGCATTCCCAAATGCGTTCCTCTTAACCTTGAAATGCCGATCGTTACAATATTTGCATAGTTTACATTATGACCCTTTTCTACACGGTCCCTCCTGGATCGACAAGTTCAACTACTATCCATTTACACGACCTTCCCATGCCTCATTTTGTACACTTTTTATTTTCTCACACGTTTTTCTTCAGCCCCGCCGCCGAAGCCGCCGCGTAAAAGATGGCAAATGACGTGGAAACGCGGCCGTTTTTTCGCGCTTTGTCTGCTGGCTATGCAAACGCGCTCCACTGCACTTTCAGCTCCAAAAGCGGTTTCTGATGAGATTTCCTCAAAAATGCTCGGTTTTTCCACTTTTCTTGTTTGAAAATCGTACAGAGAACACATTTTCAGTTGGTTTCGTTGAAAAACTATCGAAAATTGAAAGATTTTGCAAAAGACTGGCCGTTTTCGAAACGTTTTAAACAATTTCGGCACGATTTTAGAACAAGGGAACAAGAAAAGTGAGAAAAAGCCAAGTTTTTCAGAAAATTCCAGCAAAAAATGCATTCGGAGACGAAAAATGAGGAAATGAAAGTGCCGAGTCGCGGCGGAGCGCATTTTTCTTGTTTCTTTGTCCTTGGCTCACTAATAATGGGCTCATTTCGTATTTTAACGTAAAAATTCAATTCAGCAATGTGAAAAAGGCTACAAAGACTGAAAATCTGCTGCATAACCCCAAAAGTCGTGTAGAATTACACTCCCCCGCAGCCCGCCGGAAAAATTTGTCGATTCTGTCACAAAGTATTATGAAACTGAGCCCCTTTTGCACTTTTCACTAATCTTTTGCCTTATGCCGTTGAACACTTCCACAGATTCTTGTCTTTTCACATTTCCCTCCGAGATCGAATTAGTGATTTTTGTCGGCGCCATATAAAAACTGGACAAAAGCGGGCGGAAATGTTGCGCAGTTGAAAAACGAGGAACACGAAGCTAATGTACTTTTGTTTGCGATTTGTGAAAGCTACATGTGTTCCAAAATATAAAATATATAAAAGTTTAGAGCCACGTGTGCGAGCATCTGGCACTACTAGTCTTCTCAAAACTTTATATTAGTTACTTCCAGAACACTTTTTCCTGTCAAACAACTTCCTTCCGTCGTTTTTTCGCCTCAAAAGGTAATTGAGGCTTGGGTCTGGAATCGTAAACCGAAAAGGGATTCTTCGTTTTTCTCTCCATTTTACAATTTCCTTACAACTTGCAAGTAGTCTTGACCTAGTTTTCTACGAAAACAACTCCAATGCATGATGCGTCTCTATAAATATGTACTCCCAACAATTTTCACACACTATCACTGGATGGGCGCTCTCGCAAACATTTCGTTTTGCAAAGCAATGTTCAGTCCGCGAGAGCCGCTTTCGTTTGTGTGCTCACAAGAGTAGAGTAGTCTCTGTGAACTTGGGTTCTCATTTTGTTGAACTCAGGGCCTTTTTGAAGCATTCTGAAGCACTCTGTAACTTTTTAGGGTATTCTCTTAAGGTTCTCTGGCTTTACCTTGAAGTTTTAAAAGATTTGAGCCACTCAGCGCTATCTTAACGTTATAACTTTGTTGCAGTCGATTCCATCAGTTGTTCATCTCAATCGCTCTCTTTTTTCACTAATTTCTGCAAAAAAGCGTTCGGCGGGTTTGCTCTTTTCGGTCATTTTAATGACTTCTCGTCTTGTCTGCTCTTTCCGTTTTTCCGCTAATCCGACATTTCTTTTCTGAATTTTCATGTCAAACACTCACGGAACTCTCATTTTTCCACGTTTTTTTTCGTAATCTCCACTCTCTCTCGTTGTCGTTTTATAACAAAATTGTCCTGAAATTCTGTTTGAGATCTCTGGCTCGTCGTTGTCTGCGTCTCTCTTCCCCGCGTGCGCACTCTTCGTTTTGTGCTGTCCGGGCTCTTACAATTTCTTCAAAATGTTTATATCCAAATTGCCAATTTTTGCTGTATTCTTGAGGCTCTGTCGTCTTATCATCTCTTCTTCGTTTTCAGAACCACACTTCTCCTCGGCGACGACGACGATTTGTCGAGTGCCACGTGTGATTCAAGAAATTTCCGAAAATGTCTGTTTTCAAGCGATTTGTTCATTATTAAATTTCTGTCAAAGCCCTGTCTTTTCGTCTTTGTGGTCATTTCACTCTAGTTTTTCAGGTGCCCCCTTCTTTTTGCTCGTTTTGTCGGACTTTTCGCAACTTTTGCTGGGCCGTTATCGCTCGATTATCGATTTTTTTCGAATTTCGATCTCTTCCACCTCTCACTCATACTTCACCATGCACGAAATGTCGCGAATCTCAAAATTGATGTAAAAATGGAGGCGAGAATCCCGTGCACTTGCTTATAGTTCTAGGCCACCGTCTGAAACTTTTGAACGACTCGGCAACGGTTCTAACAGGCCTCGCCTCACTGCCCTATGACTTCAGAAGCGGAACGATTCAATCGGATCGTATCGCCCCATCATTTTCCAGTTTTAAACCCCGAAACCCTAATGCATTACGTAATGTATATAAAATTCAACAAATTAGAATAGATACTTATCTGGTCAGCTTTTCCATTTCTTTCGAAATCTCAACCACTATTTTGGGCGGCTAATCGAGTTTTCGGTCACATGGTGGTCCTTGTATGTTTGGCGCAATGCTAACGAGGGTTTCCCATAGTACATGAAGCCACTAAATCGCATCAATTCTCGCCGAAACGCACCGCCCACCGCCGCTCTTTTCTCGTTCTAACCAATTAGCAATCCGTTAGTCGGCGATCTTAATTTCAATGTCGATGGCAGATCGTTTCACGTAAGTTCCTCTTTGTCAACTTTGAGGTTTGTGACTGAAATTTGGTTATGTTTCGAAACTAGGCTATGAAAAAAATTATTTTTTTTCCGTTTTTTTCGTTTTTCTACGTCAAAAAACCCAATTCAGCGGTGTAAAAAAACGGAAAACAAACATACGCTGAATAGCCCCATTAGGACATACGCTTCAGGATTGGGTCTCCAAAAAAATGCACAAAACACACCTTTTTGTGGTATAAACTCTGAGCGCTGTAAAAGGCAATTCAGAGAGACAAAAAAATTTCAAACAATTTGAGCGTTCCCTGGTCCTTTAACAATTCCGAATTAGTGCCGTCCAACTTTGTGTGCCACTTGAGCCACAGTGCTCTTTTGTTTGAATTCAACTCGTACAAATTGACCAGACCACTTGTCATTTTGTGACGCAAAAAAAGAAAAGAAGGGGAAACCAAGAAAAAGACGATCCGAACGAATCAGGTCGCGGATTATTTCGCTCTTTTTTCCTTCTTCCATTTCCGTCTCTCGTCACTTTGGCGTCGTCAATTTACCCGGGCTAAAACGTTTGAAAATGAAAAAGTGAGTTCCAGACCGTCGAACTATTGTTCTCCGCTTCCATTCCAATTTGTTATTACACCTTTCCGCCGACGTTTTCTTTGTTCTTTGTCACATTTCGGACGGTGACACCCATTCTTTCGCTTTGCTTTTTTCCGTATTCTTTCATCGACTCG